TATATATATATATTAATCAATACTAAGACATTTGTTGCATCAAAAAACAACAATCAGTTACACGATCCTTAAAATAGCGTCTTTATCTAACGCTTCTATAGGAATAGGATATATACTTAACTTAAACGTTGAGTTTATTTTGACTAATAGGTTGTGTTTCAATAAAGTCTTTAAACCACGAACAATCTGTTTCTCTTCTGATTTTTTTATATTCAATATTTTCTTGATATCACTGATATCTCGAATATCAACTTCATTAAAACAATAAAGAATAGATGCTAAAGTTATAGGTAATACTATTGTAACTTGTCTTCCTGTAGCATCTATAAATGGACTACTCATTTCTATAATATGGATACTTTGATCCAGTGTTTTCGCAGAGCTGTTTCTATCTATCCCAGATAAAACGTGTGTCCATTTATTCCTAAATTCCTCGTTTGGAAAAACTGGTTTCATTGTGGGTAAAGAAAAAGAATATTCAGAACCTTTCAGATATACTCCAGAAAACTCACAATCAGGTTTCTCCCAATGCTCTGGATTGTTAAATTGTAAGATGAATTCCCTTGTAATATTTACAAGGGGTGACTTTATCTCTTTTGGCAACATATTGATTAGGGTGCGATCAAAGTTTTCAGAAGTATTGAAATTATGAATCCAAACATTCTGGTATGTAATTATTCTCTTCAACAATTTTGGGGCATAATAATACTTGATGAATAATTCTAAATTCGGGGTATAATTTAAGACAAGCGTTAGTAAAGCTCTCATTGTACTAATATATTTTCTGCAAACACCCTCCCCCATTTTATTTTCCAGGATAATGTCGTAGTAACTGTCTATGACATTAAGTAGATATTCATGGAAATGTTTTTCATTCGTTATAGATATTTTGAAATGATTTCTTATCGTTTGTTTATACCTCACAATAATTCCAGATTCACAACTAATTCGGTCTTCAATGTCTTTGTTATTGAGTATTGAATTCTTTTGACTGTTCCTTAAGTCTAACTCTGTATCAAACCCTCTTAAAAAATTGCCTTGTTCAAACTCTTCCTTATCCATTCTATTGTCACCATGTGAGGTACTTATTTCAAATGGATCAAACAAGTCGATTTGATTTAATAGTTGATTCCAGTCATCATTTTCAAATGAGACTGACCTATATTTAAGCATATCAGTCAAAAATTGACCACAGTTATTGTTCATTTTGTAAAAATCGTATAGGACAGATAGCGTACCATCAGTCAATTTTAAATCTCTAAATAGACTTATTAAAGGGGTATTGCCATTCTGACCCTTTGTTAAAAATGTTAGTAGACCCGAGGATGTCTCTTTTTCATTAAATTGATATATACCATAGGTTAAATGTTGGATTAATTGGATCTTTAATATTTTAATGAGAAAATCGGCACTGGAGTTATCGCAATTTTCGATCATAGTATCAATAATGTTATTAATGGCTAATTTCAAAGCATTTATCGATTCCAAAATTACGTCTTTACCATTACATAACTGAAATGATTCTATTTCTGTTATAAAATGTGCATAGTCCGGTAATGTTGAATGTATCGTCTTTATATCATATTTCAAAATCTTGATTAAAATAACTTTCCAAACAACAGAAATATTCAAACATAAAGTGGTAAAAAAAACTTTATTAATTTGTTTGATTGCTGTTTCTAGAACAGATCTATCATCCGAAAAGTATATTAGAATATCGTTCTCCAAATCGCAGAGTACATGAGAGATATTCAATGCTTTTTCAATAGATTGAATACTGTTAGAGCTCAAACTATTTGCATAACGTTTTAAAATTGGTAAAAGTAAATCAATTACAATTTTCAAAAGATGACTATCAAAATCGAATTCATTGTTCAATTGAATACTTAGGAATCTTAATTTCTGAAGGTGGATAAAATAATGGTCAATTTCCTCATCGAAAAATAAATTCTCGGCGGTAGTGGTCCAAAGGTTTAATAAATAGTCATTTTCATCCATCAAAGTGAGTTCCAACTTCTGACGTTGTTTATAATACTTCCGTATGAGTATCTTAAACTATTATTGAGTTTGTATATATGAATTTGTTCAATTTAACTTCTGAAGTATCACTGATCATTTTTTTCTTTTATTTTTTTTTATATACGACTAACTTCTTTTTCATTATTATTTTTCCTATAATATATAAATTTAATGTTAATGAACTATATAGTCGTGCATCGTATAAGTACTTAAGAATAGATATTAACCAGCGACAAACAAATTAAAGGTCTAAGATGAATCATACAATTTCCTTTGATGAACAGGGAGCTCAGAAGCTGGCAGAGCAATTCAAAAAGCATGGGTATTTAGATAGGTTGAAAAAAGAAATATTGTCCAGTAAATTGGAACAAGATACGGATTCTGCAGATACTAAAACATTTGAGGACTCGGTAAAAGAACAGGTAAAGTCAATGGTGAAGGAGATGGTTAGGGAAGATGAGAATTTGATATTTAAAAATAGAGGTACCACGACTGCCCTAATTGAATCTAAAATGCTTAAGGACTATAAACTATTAGAAGATAATCAGAGTGGAATTGATATAAAAAACTATATTGAAGAGAAGCTAAAGAACCCAAAGATGCATGATGATATACGGAAAAATGTAGAGAATTTATATGACGAAAAGGGAGTTCCTGGGAGTTAAATTGTATCTATTAACTCAAAGATGAAATTCTCTAATTTTACCATTACTTTTTATTCATATATGATAAATAAGTATGTTTATTGATACAAATTGTTTTGTCATGGGAAGTATTTTCCGCTTATATTTTCATACCGTAATGGTCCCTTCTTAGAGAACTATTTTCTGGAACATCTTTGAAATGACCTCTCAGGGTTGCCTATCAGAACTAGAAACTTATCTATACAACAATCCACCCTAGGTATATCTAAAAATGGTATGCATTAAAGATGTTCTATATGTATTATTGTAACAGCTCTAATAATGATTATTAATAGATAGTACCTTTTGTGACCAAACATTTTTTTAGCGACTATTTTCATATACGATATTCAAGGTAATTAGGTACTTGAAGAAAAGGGTTGCCAAGAACTAAAATGATTTTTATAGTTCTGGAAATGATAGCTAGGTAAATATACTTTTGAGAGAGTTCCATCGGCTACTTTAGATAATGTCACATATTATGCAGCGAATAAAGCAATAGTGGTTTAAATTTCAAAAGTTATAATAACTGAAGTATTTGACTATTTGAGATGGTTTAGGATATATATATATATTAATAATTGTGATTAATATAATCTTGAGATTACACCGCACAGTTTAACCTCGGTTTTTGCCTACTTATCGGTTGTTAAGCTTTCACATATTCTCAATTAAAACTATTGGGAAGTCAAGCTGTTCAAATTATCAAAATTATATATTAATAATTACATTTCTGGAACTAAAGAAAAAAAATTCATCTCTCATTAACTCTTTAACAACTCTCTAAACTACAGTAAAGGTTAAACGAATGATTTTATTAATCTCAGCCTAAAAGAAGAATCAAAAGTATTATGTTTTAAAGACAAATTTTAATTACATTATGTATATAAAACTATAACGAATAATGTACAGTTGATTAACCTAGATGGGTGAACGTTTATCGTGGTTGTGATCTTCATCTGATTATTAGCAAACTAAAAACGTTAAAGACATCTTAAAATGTCAATAAACATTAATAACTATCCTCAAATGTCACGACCACAGTTTCATTCCTTGAATCTTAAATTATTCACCTTTGTCCTATTCGCATATCTCAGGACGGTGAAAATGAGTACAACCAATTAAAATAAATGACCTCAAGATATTCCTAAGATCAATAACGTTTCATTGTTCAACACAATCAGCGACGGTCCCTCTTTACTACTCTTCTCCCTTTTTCCCCGCTCATTTTTGGTTGCTTATATGTTGCAACTATTTAATCGTATATCTCGAATATATATTTTATTGTAATATAAATAGCCGAACTACAATTTTCTCTATGGAAGAAATATATAACTAAGTGGCTAAGGGAGCGTTATGCTCGTTCCTCTGGTGATTATGGTAACCACTGTAGATGAAGATGAGCGTGTTCCTTTGGTCTCAAGATCCAACATCTATCCCATGTGCTCATATGCATATAACATCACAGTAATATCGCATTGAAAGAATAGCACTGTATATCACACTGTTATATGATTTCCTACATATTGGACTACATAATGTAAAATCAATAACTAAATACTTCTCAAAGACACTTACTTTAATTATCACTCTTAAACTTCGTTCAGTAGTCCATCGTTTAGCTACTCTTATAAGATCCCATATGTTTTGTTACAGTACTGTTGGTTCTATAGTACTTTATGCACTGTCGAATTTAGGTATTACATTCTGTTCAACAACAGATATCTTCGCTTCAAGTATAAAATACAATCTTAGAAATAGAGTGCTTTAGGAGATACATGCACTGGACCTTCTACTTGATTCTTTTGGAACATTGATATGCTGATCTACATATTATTATTTTACCTACTTTCCCGAAACTATAGCCGTTATTGATATTAGTTAAACTGATTAACAGCAAAGCAATATTTTTGAATTTGAATTTTAATCTGCTACATAAATAGTTTAGTCTGTTTCAAATACAATATTTTTGTAGTATTCTGGTCTTATCTCGGCAGTATATAGTAAAACAATTAATACTCAATTATTAAGATTAAATATATATAAATACGTATCTTAATCTATATTAGACTTCTTGTTGTCTTCTGTCTAAATTGTACAGAAGAGAAACTAATGATTCAGATAATTCTGAGATTAGTTCTCTTTATATATGTTTATATACTCAATATAGTTAAACTTGTTAACACTTATAAATATGCATGATTTCTTGTAACTTGTTTCATGGCGTACGGCTTTGTTTCATATTGTGACATGTTTCAGATTGTAACATGTTTCATTCCCAATTAGGATATTAGGCGAGACCTCAACTAGTTGTCACGTGATTAAATGTCATTTACTTTTAATCATTTCTAAATACCACAATTTTTATTGTATTTGAAACAGACTAAAAGTCAAGTGACACTTTGTCACGTGCTAAAGAATGACGACTCAAAAGAATCAACCAATTAGGTTGAAGCATATCTAAAACCTAACAATGAACTAAAAAGGAATGATTTACAATGACTAAGAAATATGAAACAAGGTAGACATAACACGGAATTAGAGGAGTTAACGAGATTAACTATATTGAGTATATAAATCTATATCTTATATAAAGAGAGCTTATCTCAGATTATGAGTCTCTCGCTTATATAATGAATTTATATAGAAATAGAAAAAACGAATATATAATTTTAAGATTCCGATCCGAGTATCAAAATACCACAATTTTTAAAAATAGTACTCTAGGTAGCCAAGTTGGTTTAAGGCGCAAGACTGTAATTTTACAAGAAATCTTGAGATCGGGCGTTCGACTCGCCCCCTGGAGACTTTTTTTGGTTCTTTTTGAAAGTTCAGTCACTTTATACGTGAAGTTTAAACTTGGGTTAATTTAGTTCAACAAGGGAGTACAATTATTCAATATAAATTGAGAGTAGTTTGGTTAAACTATATACTACACTTGGCTATTTTTTTTGATAGAAAAGTTATATGGTGGGCAGTTGATCCATGTTGTTTTCTCATTGCTGGGTTTACCATATGTACACTTATTCTGGAAATGTTCGCACATAATTTAAATCTTTTGACATTGTGTCTTGTAAAAGTTCGTTAATCTGGAACTAAATTTCTTCGATGATATCTAATATTAGTATAACGGCTGTTAGTATTCCAAAGGTCCTGTTCTTTCGTTGGAGTTTATCCTAAATTTTTGTCTGAATGGATATGTATCCGTAAACATATAACAAATTAGATTGTTTCTGCTTGAATTCAAATATCATTTCAGAGATTATACTAAAGGATAATTTGGAATAATATTTTTGAAACGAAGAGTTAAGCTTAATTCAAAGATAAAAAATTTATTAATTTTCAAAGAATTTTAGTTTTTGCTTTGGCCCTACTCATTGGTGAAAAATAAGTCATTATAATTGATCTCTGGGTTACTTGAGTTTCGTAATAAGTTAAATTTCAAATGTTGGTATTTATTACGCACATGTTTTCCTATCCATAGGGCTATCTGAAAAGTTTTCATACAGAAAAAAATTTGATTGGTATTTGTTTTGTTTGAATCTTAAAAAAATAATGCATCTTTGGACTTGTTCCTAGCGGTACTTGGTGGTTTCATTTAATTTGTTGACTCTAAATATAACATGGTATTAATAATTTCCCAGATTTGTGTGTTACCGCATTATATTTTGAAGCTAACTTTCCACCATCATCTGTGGGTTGACTCCAAGCAAGTGACCATTTCTGATAAGATTTTCCAATTACCATATTATGTCTTGCAGCTTCTAATAATTTGGTAGCAATCTTGTTTCCTCTCTGTGATTTGCAAACCCATATCCTTGATATTCCAAGCTCAAATTTTGGTGTAACGTTTGGTACTAATTTCTTCGAATCATATAACATCCATTTTCCTCTACCTTCGTCTAATTGTTCTATAGTTATAGCACTAACAGCTCTATCATTCTTTATATACAGAAATGCTTTACCTTTACCATTTTCATTTACCCAAAATGAATTTTCATCATGTGGCGCATGTAATTCATTATTTACTATATTCATTACATCCAAGGTTGCGTTTACTTCCTGTGGATGATTTGGTCTAATCATTACTATTCGTTCACTGGATGAATGTTGTGATGACGGTGGTGTCATCGAGTTTGTCGGTATAGATACTACTGTACCCCAATTTCGCGACCATTTTCTACCTTTCAAATATGTATCATGGAAAAGTCTATGAGCTGTTGTATCTTCTATATTGTTAGGTGAATAAGCCATTTCACATTTGGCGCATTTAATTAGCTTATTCCCTTGGAAACCATCGAGCTGTAGACGTGATTGAGAGTATTTTTTAGTAGATCGTACTGATTTAGTTCTCTGTGAATTTCTTGGTTTCATATTATGTTGTGAATATGAATACTTGTCATATTTGATGATTAAAATATTCTAAGTTTATTCTATTTATATTCTCTCTGTAAATTACTTATAATTTGTAAGATTTTCTTCAAGCTTTTTATTTGATGATCTTACTTTTTCTCGCCTTTTATTATTCGAACATTTGGTAGTGTTATTCTGATAGTAATATAAATTCTAAGGGTTAGTCAAGTTATATTCATATTTATATTAAATATGGTTTTCATGTTTTCAACATTGATTTGTTTAACTTATCTTCTATTTTAAAAAAAAAATTCTTGGCAATAAATCTCTTCAAATAAACCTTTTTGCTCTTTAATTAACTATTATTATTATTCAGAGTCAAACAAATTTAGTACAATATTACAATTTGCCTGTTTTCTTTGTTTTTTTGCCATCCCGTTAATTCTTCATTCATGACTCAATAAAGAGTATTATACATAAATAAATATAAATAAGGTAAGAAATTCCAAAATTTTTCCAAACAACAAACTGATGAAGTTATATTTTGTCGTATATATATATATAAATATAGCAGAAGACCATTCATTTATCATCAATTGAACCTATTTCAATTCTAAATAGAATTAACTCCATTCTTTTTTTGATTTGAATTACAAAGGATTATTATGCATTCACATCATTCTCATTCTGGTGACTATGTTGCCCATGGTGTCGATCCATTAGATGATATGATTCTACAAGTAGAAAAGATGAAATTCCATACGTATTGTTTAACTGAACATATTCCAAGAATAGAATCAAAATATCTCTATCCAGAAGAGATTGAAAGTTTTGAGAATGACACAGATGCTTTAAAACAATTAGAAATGAATTTTACAAAATTCTTGACACATGCTCAAAGAATTAAAGATTCACATAAGAATAAATATCCAAATATTATAATTGGTACAGAAATTGAAGCCTGTAATACAACACATATTCAATATGCTAAACAAAAAATTTTAGAATATCAAGATCAAGTAAAATTTTGTGTTGGATCTGTTCATCATATTAATGGTATTCCAATTGATTTTGATCAGGATAATTGGTATAAGGCGTTATTATCATTCCCAAATAAAAATTTGAAAAAAATGTTGATTTCATATTTTGAATCACAATATGAAATGTTACAAATTTTACAACCAAAAGTTGTTGGACATTTTGATTTATTTAAATTATTTTGGCCAGATTCCTTAAGGGTGAATATCGATACGGGTGAATGCACTGAATCATCTAGTGAAAATGATATAATAGTGACACCAATGGCGTATTTAAATATATGGGATGATATTAAACAATTAGTAATTAGAAATTTAAAATATATTAATTCATATGGTGGTGCCATTGAAATTAATACATCAGCATTACGTAAAGGTTTAAAAGAACCATATCCAAGTTCGAACATAGGTGAATTAGTTAAACAATACTGTCAAGGTAGATTTGTATTAAGTGATGATGCACATGGTATTGCACAAGTTGGTGTACGTTATTTGGACGCATTACAATATATTACTCAAACTTTACAATTAGATACTATGTATTATTTGATTGAAAATAATGAGAATGGTACTGTTCATTTTGAGAAGATACCAATTACAGAATTTGCTAATAACGAGTTCTGGACCTTACTAAGGGCAAATAAATAGATATAGATAAACGTTGTTACTATTATTTAAATTTATAGAATTTGATATCGTATAACCTGAGAACACTTTTCCTAGCAAAGAAGAGTAGTTGAAAGGGAAGACCAATGCATTAGGGTCCTGCCCACGCCCTAGAAAACTGATCTGTTCTAAGTTCTTATTCCGCGGAGAAGTTTTGCAAGTGAAAAGCCAGTTGATTATTCTTGATTTCCAAGCTTCTTTGTGTCCCCATCCGAATTCGTCTCGGAATCAGATTCCCTTGCAATTTATTTGTTTTTGCCGCTGCCGCCTTTGCCATTTTCTGTTTCTGAATTTTTATGAAAACGGAAGTGAATTGCTGTGTGCGTCGTACAAAGTTACGTTCTGTTCCGCCTCCTCTACAGAAATCTAAAACCGGAAAAGGAGTTCATCGTTTTGTACGTAGCGTAGCCGAGGCATAAAACGATAATTTTGGAATTGTGGCCGAAGATAAATAAAATGGCTATGCGAACAGAATATCTAATTTCAATTGTTTGGAAATTTTGGCTGTGAAATAAATATTGAAACTGGAAGGCCGGCTATATTTGAACCACTTTTAGGGTGAAAAATATATATATATAGATACACATGTATGCATACAAACAACATACTAAAAGTGGCAATTTTGTTTGTTTTTTTGAAAACTGCTTTAAGAAGAACTTTAGATAAACAGTATAATTAGTTTTAGTGTGTTACTATTGTCTTTATTTTAATACTATTTACGCAAACAAGTGAAAAAAACTACTAGTGTTCTTTGCTTGACAGTGCAACATTGAGATATATACATAAAAGCAGTCAAATTTATTGTACTAGTGTATTAGAAGTCTAATATTTCAGCATCAGTATATTTAGCATAATTAGTGGTTATCTTTTCCATTAATATCATTATATTTCACATAATTTTGAATCAATAAAAATGGGTATCAATAATCCTATCCCAAGAAGTTTGGGTTCAGAGACAAAGTATGTTTATTTTTGGTTTTTGTTTTATTTTATTTTATTTTATTTTATGTTTCGGTCATTTGGAGGAATTGAATTAGAATAAGTCTATACTTTAAAAGTATCTATCCTTTATTTTTTTTATCATGCCTTCTTTATGATCAAATTTAACCTTTCTTTTTTGTTGTTGTTGTTTTTTTTTACTAACATTATCTTATCGTTTAAATTAATAATTGTATATTTTATTAAATGTACAAGAATTTTTCAAATGTTCATGTTTTAATGTAGAAAAGCTGCAAAAATTTTATCAAGTTTTGTTAAACCTAATCAAGTATTTGGTGCAGATCAAGTTATTCCTCCTGATGTATTAAAGAAAGCTAAAGGTTTAGCAATTATTACTGTTTTAAAAGCAGGTTTCTTATTTTCGGGTAGAGCAGGTTCAGGTGTTATTGTTGCAAGATTAGGTGATGGTACTTGGTCTGCTCCTTCTGCTATTGCAATGGCAGGTGCAGGTGCGGGTGGTTTAGTTGGTATTGAATTAACAGATTTTGTTTTTATTTTAAATACACCAGAAGCTGTTAAATCATTCTCTGAATTTGGTACTATTACACTTGGTGGTAATATTTCTGTCTCTGCAGGTCCATTAGGTAGAAATGCAGAAGCTGCTGCATCTGCTTCTACAGGTGGTGTTTCTGCAGTTTTTGCTTATTCTAAATCTAAAGGTTTATTTGCAGGTGTCTCTGTTGAAGGTTCTGTTATTGTTGAAAGAAGAGAAGCAAATAGAAAATTTTATGGTGATAATTGTAAAACAAAACAGATTTTATCTGGTAGAATTAGACCTCCACCAGAAGTTGATCCTTTATTTAGAGTTCTTGAATCGAGAGCATTTAATTATAGAACTCAAAATTATGATGATCAATATTCAGAAGGTAGCTTTTATGATGATATTCCAGATTCATTTTCAGAAATGTCTTCAAGAAGAAATGGTGGAAGTGGAAGATATGGTAGAGGAGGTAATAGAAGTAGAAGTAATTCATATTATGATGATGATGATGATGATTTTGATGATGATTATAATGATTCTGGATCAAATGATCGTAACAGAAATAATAATACTAGTAGTAGAACAGGAGGTGTCTCTCGAAATGATTCTAGATATCGTTCAAATGTTAGTTCTACTGGTGGAAGAACAAGAAGAAGTTATGGTGGATTTGATGATGAAGATTTTGATGATCCAAGTGGTGCTAATGATTATTATGCTAGTCATAGAAGAACTGGTAGTGCAAACAATAATAATAATTCAAGATCACGTTGGGAAGATGATGTTTATGATGGTCGTTCTGGTAACCGTAGTTCTCGTAGAGATGAACATGATGTTGATGATCTTTCAAATAGATTCTCAAGATCTCGTATCTCTTCAGGTCCAACTGGTTCAAAACGTTATTCAGATGAAAGACAAGATACAAAAGCTCCAATATCCTCTGCTGGTTCTGAAAAGACACCAAAGGCTGTAGCATTATATAGTTTCAAAGGTGAAGAATCTGGTGATTTACCATTCAGAAAAGGTGATGTTATTACAATCTTAAAGAAATCGGATTCTCAAGATGATTGGTGGACGGGTAGAGTTAATGGTAATGAAGGTATATTCCCAGCAAATTATGTTGAATTAGTATGATTACAAAAGAAGAAGGAGAAACTTTTAAATTATGTTCTCTTTTAGATTTCTTTCTACTGTATTCATTTTTTCATTTTTATGCCTACCAATGACCTATTGTAGTTTTATTTTCAGTACTTTTTTTACCTGTTTATTCCTGTTAAAAAGTATTGCAAAAGTTTTAAAACTGCCAATTAAAACAAAAAAAGTTGCTTACAAGCAATTCCTAATGAGTAATTCAAGTTCAAATGGTATTTTTCTTTCGATACGTAATAACAACAACAACAAAATAAAAATAAAAGAATAAAATTATTTTTGGAATTACATTCCTATAGAACTCCCACAATCCTTTATAAACATATATATATGCCATTGTACCCTTTAGTATAAACAATTTTAGGTTAATGTATTTTCTTAAGTCAAAAAACTTGGTATTGTTAATCGAAAATTAATAATTTTACAACGTCTATGTCTACTTTCATTTGGACAAATACGTATATATATTCTAAATGTTGTATATTATTGTGTTCGTTTGTTTGTTTTTGCTATTTAAAATACTTGTCTATTTAAAGAATTATATCAAAGGTAAGGATTTAAAGACCTTCAGGAGTAGACATCATAGATTACATGTTGTTCACTCTTTTAATGCAGCTTTGACTAACATGCCACCTATTAATCTGTTGTTCATATAATTTATGAGTTGCGTTGCATCTTGGAAAGTTCTGCAATTAATGACGCCGTTGAAAGTAATCGATTCTTTTTGATAGGATTCAATTTTAATACTTGTATAATTTATGTCTTCTTGTAAACAGATATGTTTCAAAAAAGTCTTATTGCACAGAATGCATAAATTAGTTAAAAGAACAGAATTATTAAGTTTTAAGTGATTCGATCTTTTTTTCACAATAAAACATTGGGCAATTAACGTTTTGTTGAAAAATTTCTCATTATTAAAAGTTTTAATTAATATGTCCTTATGATCAGTAGAAATATTTCTAACAAATATCCAACTTTGTCTTTGTCTAATCTTTGGTGCAATTGAAAGTTCTTTATAAGTACGTAACATACTAGGGAGACTTTCTTCTGTCAAACTTAAAGGGAAATTCTTAATAACTACAGTGTAAAATTGAGATTCTGCTGTCTTACTGGCCGCGGATGAAGAATTTTCTTTGGAAGTATGAATTGGTGTCATTACCCTTTCTGTGACTGATTCTTTTTTATTTTGAAGTGAAATACCTCTTGTAACAGGATCAATAATAATCTCTTTTTTAAAGTTAGCGCTAGGTGTCACGACTGGAACTTCTTCTTTATTTCTTAAATATTTTTCTGTAAATATTGAACAACCCAGTTTCTGACCTTCTAATGAAACACCATCGAAGGAATTAACAACATTTTTTGCATCTTCTTCATTAAAATAAGTAACAAATGCTTTATTATTTTGATTTTCTAATTTACATGACAATATTTTACCATATTTGCGAAACGTTTCAAAAAATATTCTAGTTGTTAGATTAAATCCACAAGGACGGATATTCGAAAATAATACGGTTGTGCCTATGGTTGTTCTGTTTTTTATATCTCTCATAGAGGGCATTAACCTAATTTCTTTCGACATAATTTTTGTGTAATTCAATTCTTCCATAGCTAACTCAGCATCATTTTTACTTCCAAAGTTTAAATATCCATGACCCAAAGAAAGTTTGGTAAATTTATTCATACAGATTTTTGTAGATATAAAAGATGAATATTTGGAAAATATTTTAGTTAAATGACTCTCTGTAATTTGAGGGTCTAAATCTCCAACAAAAAGAGCTTCATAAGATTCGCAATTTAATCTACCACTTTTATTATTAAATGAATAAGCTGTATGTAGATTCATTGGACCAGATGTATCTGATGAGGACTCTGTAACGGTTTCTGAAGTAACTGAACCTCCGTCTTTCCTACCATAATGTAGATCGGTTGCTGCATCCTGAGGCGCACACAATTTGGTAGTACTGTGAGATAACGCAGAAATTAGTGACATTATTATAATACTAGGATCTTCAATCTGTTTGACAACTTTTCTTTGTCTTATCCACAAAATATAATCATATTCAAAATTATATCAATGGAATTTTTAAGAATTGACATTTTATTATTATTATTATTATTTATTTGTACTTTATATTTGTGACGTCGTTTTGTTCAGGTAATAAAAAATATAGTTTATACAGTAGAAAATGAAAAAAAAAGTGTCACATAGCACTATGCAAAGTATGAAATTAACGAAATACTGACTACCATATACATATGATCAAAGGTATATAATATTGAAAAGAGCAAATAAAAGAAAAAAAAAGCCGTGATAACACACTAATTTTAAAATTTCTTATCCATCTCTTTGGATTAAATTTCCATTTCCAATGCTAACATTACCAGTAACAGAATATCGACGTTGTTGAGGGGTATTCAATTTTTCAAATGGTTCTGAAAATGTCTGGAACAATTGGTTTGTTGTTGGTAAGTTAAAAATATCTCTTGAGCTATTTGTCGCACCACTAGAGTCACCCATTGGTGAAAACCGTTGAATTGTTTCAGTAATGGCTGCATCGAAGGCTCCAGTAATAACAATATCGCTTAAAAATGGATTATTTGATGAAGTTGATGATGATCTATTTCGCAAACCTTGTGGTGCAGATCTAACTATATCTTGAGAAGATAGATGTGTATGTGCTGGTGCTGGAATGATAATGGGTGTCGATTCCATCATGGGAAATGGATTTGTCAAAGAAGTCGATCTAAATCTCCTTGGTTGTTGTTGTTGTGGATTGTTATTCATACTTGATGTTGATATGCCATAATAATCTTCCATATAAGAAGGTGGTGGTGGATCTCTTGTTTCTGATGGATCCAAAATTATTTCATTACTTGGAATATTTGTTATTTGTGAATTTGAATGAGAATGATTAGTGGTGGAACTACTCAATGTATAATTTCCTAAATTTGAAATAACATCATTTTGTTGAATATTTAGTTGTGTATCTTCAATTGTAGTATCTAAGCTATTGAATTGCATCTCAGGCATAGTTTGACATGATGCATCACTCATTCTTCTATGATCTGAAACATCCATATCGATATCTCTTAATATACCAGATGGAGAAAAATTATCATTGATAGGTTCATAAGGTAACATATCAGGTGCAATATCTGAAGGTGGAGGTAATAAAGCAGAATCTATATCGATATCATTACAAAATCTTCTATCAAATACATGATTTTCATATTCTGGTGGTGCTAATAAATCATTTAATGCAGTCACAGGTAGTATTGATTCATTATCATAATGTGCAGAAATTAATCCTACATGACCTGTTTCGAATATTGTTTCCTTTGGTTCATCATTATTACGTTGTTTACCAATATTTCTTGTCACACAAGTAAAATCTGTTGTAGATTTCATTCGTTTAACTTTTAAAGGAACAAATTCAGATATGAATAAAGAAACAGGAATATTAGCTTTTAATCTTGAAATATGACCATCTTGATTGGCAAAATCAATTGCAAATTTAAATTTATGTGAAACTCTAACTTCATTAATTATTTGACAATCCTGTATACATCTTGATAAACTTGCAGGGATTCTAAATGGTATATCAAGTTCCCATTTTTCTTGAAATTTATTATCATTCATTACTTTCATTAGCATTTTTTCTGGATGTTCTAATTTAATTCTTGCAACAACACGATCAATCTTAGATCGTATTCCTTTAGAATAATATTCTGCAGTTTCATATAATGATATTCTAATATTACTTAATTTAATTCCACTTTTCAATGGTATAATAGAAATATTAATAGGAACTTTTGAACCAATGGCCAAAGTCTTTGCTGCTACCGATATTGAATAAAAAATTCTATCTGTCCAAGTATCTGAAACATTTATTGTTTCTGAAATTTCAGGAATATCAGGTGTAATTGTTCTAATAATTCTAACATATTTTCTACAATATAAATCAGATTTCCCTTTAGTTCTTTCAATAATTGCTTCTAAATAATAACTTACATTTGTATTTGGTAAACCATCAATAGTTTCATTAACATCACCTGGTAATACTGATGTAAATGGAAATTCATATTTTCCTTTCAATAAAGTATGTGATTTTCTTCTTTGAAAAGGTAAAGAACCTGAATTATTTGAAGAATTTGTTAAAGTAGTTGAAGTTCTTAAAGATAATAAAGAAGTAGTAGATTTAGGTCTTATAATTTTCCCTGTATTATAAGCAGAAATAATATTTGATCTTAAATTTTTTGAATCAACAATCGGAGTCTTTGATTGATAATTTTTATATAAACTTTTAAAATATGATTCAATATTAAAATCATCCCATTTATGATGATATAACCATCTATCAACAGTTAACCTTTTTAAATTAATTTCATCATTTGGTACAATAGGTACATTATAAGTCATTCTACCTGTTAATCTTAAAGAAACAGATTTAACTTTAACAGTTTCCGAAGTATTTAAAGTAATTACACCTGATAATAATACAGGTGCTGCAATATCAGGTGGACCTTTTAATATTATAACTTCATCATTCCCACTTTGAATTGTAATATCAATAGTTGGATCTTTATTAGTTTGCATTTAGTAATAAATCGTAATATATATAGGGTTTTCTCTCTCTCCGTTATTATGCTGAAGGGGAGGGGGTATAGTATATTAGGAAACAATCAAACTTTTTATAAATATGTGTGATAGTAAATGTCAAATATATATATATATATATCTGAATGAAGCTTCTTGATAGTTAAAACAGTCAAATGAAAAAGCAGGCTGTGTAATAAAAAGAAAGTAAGTTAAACAAAAAAAAGTAACGAATATTTAAAAAGGGGACGGTATAGTTGGGTATAATTTTAAATTTATATTCGTGTGGCGGTATCCCCAAACATATATATATATATACGTATATGTTTATAGTTATATATATATGACAAAGATAAAATTCAGTTTGATTCAAACACTCCAGGATATATAAAAAATCTACAACAAAAAACAAAGAAAAAAGAGAAAGAATTACAATAAACAAAGAAACAGTTTAATAGATCAAAGTATATAAAAGAAACACCAATCAACCTTTAAAAATGATGTACAGCAGAAGTAGCTTGATTAAAAGATGTAAATACCCTTTTGAAAAGAATGGTAGTCATCACTGCATTATATTCACACACACACATATATAATACCAATAGCTTTATATCCCCTTGTTCGAATGGTGAGGAAACCCTTTCATATTCAACTAAGTTGATATATACAATGGAATTAGCTAATACCAGTAACTCTATTGTTATAGAGTGCAACAGCAATAGCAATAGCAAAAGCAGTATAATTAGACCCTTTTTCTTTATGCTGAAAGCACAATACAATTCTTTCTCATCCCCTTTCTCAATTGCTCGTTCTCATCGACTTTTGCAATGCCACAAACTACAACGGCAGCGGTTATTACCTATAACCATTATTGCTGTGCCGGTGTAGCTAAGTGCGTGGTCTCGGACATTTTTCTGTGAGAGAACCGGCAAGCTGGTCACCGAGCTAAACGTTTCTCGTAGAGATGGGAAAGATATGCATAACCCCCCGTAGAGGTGCATACAAAGTTTAACAATTTCAAGAAATATTAAATCCGGGGGACATGGAAAGGGAGAAACCGCACAGAAAGAGTTGTACACAGATCTGTCCATCGAGTCCCTGCATACTTTGTCTGTGGAGATGGTCAACAGTATGTGTAGACGCTATTGCTCTCTTCCCGTCGGATATAACTTAACTGAGTTATTTATGTTTTTGGTGTACGTGCACAAAGAAATATGTGTATAGGGTGGACATTGTACACTAGTACTTGTCTCGATCTATAGAGATGGAAAAGGCAGAGTTATCTCCGAGAATGTATATTGTACGATGTTTATTGCTATCATCAACACTATAAATAATTGCGAGTTATTCCCGGTTAACTACAGCTGTCATCGTTACAGCAATAAAATACATTATATTATTGGCTGTAGTTATTGTTTGAAATACTCGGCGGCTATCCATTTTTCCTGCTGTTCAACAAAAACAATGAAATACATAATACAATTATACCTTTAACCTACTGACTATAATATATACAATTGAGATTGTAAAATACATTCTCCCCCATTGACTGGATCTAGTAAATATGTGTAAAGGTTACCATCAGAGGTTAATATCTTGATTCGTAAATATAATAATGTTAAGTTATTATTATCATCATTGTTATCCATAGTCTTCTTTATAGGAATTTCATTAGATGAAGTTGTTTGTAACTGTATCAATTGCAAACCGTTTAATAATATAGGTTCGGAATCTATATTAATTATACTAGATGATCCACGCTCTTTGATTTTATCTATTGGAAATTTACACCATGCAAAATGTCTTTGTATATTTATTTTATTTTGGGAATCTTCATTGCCTCCTATAAATAATTGATTAAACCTCTTATTAGCTTCTCGTGTTATCTTTTGAGACGACTTCTTAATCATTCTTCTCATTGAAGTTTTACTATTATTTTTATTGTTATTATCAATATTTGTTGTATTATTGGCAGAGATAGTATCTAATACAATAAGATCTTGTTCAGTTGTCTCTTTAACACTTATATTACTATTATTTATTTCAGATTCTTGCAATTTATTAATATCATATGACTGTAATTCAAATATATGAATAGTATTACTTGAACTTGTTACTACTAAAAAATTATTATCAGAAGAAAATTTCATACTTTGTATTATACTCTTATAACTACCACGACGAAATTCTTTTATTTTAGTTCCATTTATTGTGTTAAATATTCTAATTATTGTACCCAATTTTGATGCTGTAGCAATTAATGAACCATCTTCATTTATTTCAATACATTGAATTCGATTCTCATGTGCTTCAATTACCATTAATGGTCTTAATAACATCATATCAAATATAATTATATCTCCTTCCTTCATTACTTCATCCTCGTCCTGTTCTTCCTGTTCTTCCTGTTCTTCAATATCATTATCATAACTATTATTGGTGGTTAAGGTGCCAATGCTACCATTTGTACTATCATTCGATATTTTTCTACCACTATTTCTTCTCTTTCTACGTGTTGAATATGTTGGATATATTAATAAATTAGTATATGGTGTGCCCATTGATAATGAAATTAAACCATTTAATTTACGAAGATTTCTAATAACATGTAATAATTTCATATTTGTCAAATTATAAATATATATTTCATTAGTCAATGATACAACTATTCGATCTTTATTAACTTGAACATTTGATATAGTATCTGAATATAATAAATGACATATCATTTTTGATGTCTCAATATTGTATAATTTTAATTCTCTTGGTGAAAATTTAATATCTTCTCCCAATCCAACAAAAATTACTAATGAAGAATCAAAATATAATTGAATTTGTGAATATGACCCTGTTGCTTCATTATATAACGTTTTCAATGTATCTGTATTGATGATTTTAAAACCCTGACTATCATCATTCACTAGACAGATATTACTACCAGTTTGATTGAAACTGATATGTCTCGCATGTTTTCGAGTTTCTGAACTCATTTGATCGATAAATATGATACAATATTAAACTAATCCAAATAGGCAAAGAGTAAAAAGAACGGTGACTTTGTTTGAATTGTGGATATAGTGCTTATCGTTTGTTACTTTCAGAAAATTTTACATTCCTTTTCTTAATTGTGCATTTCCATTTAGTTCAACGAGTTGCTCTCTAATTTTGCAATGACTCTCTGACCTTTGGATTTGAGTATCCCCTTTTGTATATCTGGAACTTCTTTCTCTCTCTCTTTTTTTTTACGGTTCAAAAAAATATAAAACGTAAGGTCAGTAAGATGTGTTTTTCCTTTTACTACGGAGTTTTCTCTCTAAGCATTTGGAAACTTGATAATAATTTTAATAAATGCAAATAATAATAAATACTTAAAAGAGAATATACATATATATTTAATATAATGTTAAAATCTGTATATGAATTGATAAATGGTCTATCTAATTCGTTTCTTGGAACCAAGGATCAGGGACCATTAATATATACCTTTCCATAGCCTCTCTAAAACGATTCTTATATTGTCTTGGCGTAACAACAGTAGGTTGCTTAATAATACTACTGCTTCCACCACCAACTAAACCTTTCTCCTTAACCCAACTTTCAAGTTTCTTATCCCATGTGAATGTTCTAATGAAATCAATGATCCCAACTACCAATGTATAATTATCATTATCAATTCCAACCACTAATGAATAATCCATAACATTCATCTTAGCTAAGAATAATGTATCATTCCAAAGAGATGCTCTTAATAATTTTTTATCATACTCTCGTACATGTATAGGTGATTCATATATATATTCCACCATATTTTCATCTAGAAGCACTTCATTCTCTTTACCCGTTTGTTCAACGTGTCTATTTCTCATCGATCCCTTAAGATCAAATATTCTACTTGTTTTCTTTTCATAAAATAAATTTTCCATAATAATTACATCCATTTTATAACTTTTAGAACCAGACAATGAATTCTTTACTTGAATTTGATAGAATCCAAATACTTTAGCCAATGAAGTAGGTAAATCATGAAACATTGCTTGTGCCATATATTCAAAATAACTTGGTGCAAACTTAATAAATGCATCTAATTCAGAATGAGATAATTCTTTGATAACAAATCTATCATCGAGAGTCTTCAAAAATCCACTACCACTCTTACCACCACTAGAATCCCATTTGACACATCTTGATAAACTTTGAATGAAATTATCTCCACAGTTACATATTCTTCTAAATGCATCGAAATGTTCTGTGAAAAAAATCTTACATGACATGACTGTTAATTCATCTTCAAACTGATATCTCAGATGAACTGCAGTTTTCTTTGTCATAAAGGATTCTAATGTATTAAATTCGTTATCCACAGGTTGATTTACTGAAGGTGTTGCAGTATTTCCATTTGTGTTATGCTCTCCGGTTACTGTCGTGGTCGAGCCAGTTTCTATCATTCTTGAAGTAGACTCCTTGTCTGATGCTTCCACTTTATGGGTCTCTGAAACTTGTTCGTCATTCGTATGATTAGTTTGTACCTCATCTAGTGTACCATCACCTGAAACCTTCTGTTTGTGTTGGGTTTCCATTTTATTGATTTTAGTTCTATAATCAGTTGTATTTAGGCAGAAAGCTATCAACGAACTTGGTTCATCCTCGCGAATTATAACAGTATTATCTGAAAAGACATGTTCTGTAGGGGACGTGGGATATAATAGTGGATTCCACAGAGATGGTGATCTATCGGCCCAGAAGTTTGTTAGTGCTTTCATTAATAGATTCTTTTCAGGGGCCGGAGTAGAGTCATCCTTAACTGCAACTGTGGGTGTCGTCACTGGAGGTAAAGGTTCAGGAGTATTACTATCAGTCACTTTATCTGCAAACTCAATAACAAGATCCCCATCCTTTGGTTTTGTTACATCATCTTTCTTTAAGAAGTGTTGTCCCCACTGAGTGATCGAATTCTCTAATTCGTTCTCCAAGTTCTGATTTAGTTGCTGAGTAGGTGATGATCTATCACCCAACTGAGCACCCTTTTTATAACTAAAAAGAGAATCCACATGGTTATCCTTGTTTATATCATGTAACGGTTCATCCACGGCATCATTAACATCCTTATATATTTCTACTATTGGTGATATTGATTGTGGCTTTAAGCCTTGGTATTTAGTCATGTTTAATTTTCTACGTTGTAATTCACGTTGTAAATCAAATTCCTTTGAAATAGCATCTAGATGCATTTGATCAAAGAAGTTAGCCAGCTTGGTAACATTATTGGATTTGGAAGAGTTAGAATATGATCGCCCATCCTTATTAATATTTGAATCGATTAGTGGTGATGGTATATGTGTCTTGTGAAGTAGCGGTATTGGCTGATTATCAATCGTTTTTATTTCTCCTGGACTGGTATCAATTTCCGAAAATGAATTGATATCTGGTTTTAAGTTTGGTATTTCCTCAGTTGATGCCGTCTTTGTTGGTTCTTCTACCGCTTTTTCTTCATTATATTTTTGTTCAGATGTGGCATCAATAATGCTTTTGGGCTCCTTGAACTTCGATGAACCTAAGGAAGATATACTATTTTTTCTATCATTGTTTTCATCAGAGAAAAACTTTTTTAATTGGTTTGTTGTAATACGAGAAATATCTGTTTCAGATGGTAAAAATGTTTTTCCAAAAGAACTAAATTCAGAATCCCAAGCCAGAGCATTGTCATATAATTCTTTAACTATACTATTCAATTTCAAATGTGAGTCTCCCGAAGTTCCTCTGTATATTGTTTCCAAATTATCGAATAATGTTTTCTTCTCTGTTTCAGACTTTTCCTTCAAACTTAATATGATTTCTTCTCCAGATTGAATTTTCTCCTCTGATAAACTATCCAATTTGATTCTATCTAATCTATTGGTAACACTTTCATAAAACATATTTATCTTGTCCAAAATTTGGTAATATAGTTCCACTTTCATTTTTATATCGACCTTAGGTTTCCAATTAATTTTGGGAGGAGGTGTCAGTAGTTCATATATTTCAAGATCTGAATATTCCATCCTAACAACTAGGTCATTATAACCGAAATATTTCACATGGTCTTTAGTGAAATCATGTTCACATTTCCCAATGTCTGATAGACTTCCCTTTTTACTCCAAAACATTACTTCCAGATACTTCCCAAACGAATAATTCCATGTCTTTTCACTTAATTGCAGAATCGGTGTCGATGTACCACATTTTTTGCAATAACTCCAAGTTAAAATTACATTTTTTAATTTGGGTAGTTTAGTTTGGAATTTTTCAATAAGGACATCAACTTTCCCACTGCCATGAACATAACTCCGATAGTGGTCGAACAAAAGTCCATTACAACCACCATCACAGGGATACCATGCTGTTGAAACAACATTTTCTATGAATTGACCAATAGAGATATCGGTATCCCAGAAGTAATCAATTGTGACAAGCTGCGGATCAATACATGGGGTAGCAGTTTTGGTAGAAACCATAGAATATAATACAGTGATTGACTGATGTGAACCTGTACCCAAAAGATTGCTTGACAAAGAATATGACACTTCCCATTGACGGCTTTTCCTTTGAAATTGCAGCTTTAAATCATTTATCTCCCTCTCCATTATAAATTTTGAGATATGCTTCACATCTGTGAGTGTCAAAGTTGATTTTATATCCAAGTCTGTAAGTTGGTTAGCATCATTGGTTGTACTGTCATCATTAAGTTTATCATATTCTAACAGCTTATGATCAATATTAGCTTCGATATCTCTTGCTCTTTTTAAAAGGAAAGGAATCGGAAATTCAACAGTGGGGGACACAGTAAGAATTCTCTTATTCAATTTTTGCAGAAAATCGGAAAAGTATCCTGAGCAAACCATTGTTTCCTTTTCAATCTTTTGTTGTAAATAAAAGTTTGTTGATAGTTGAATAAAATTATCATTAAAAAACGAACTTTCTAATTTTAAAGAAAATTCAACATACACCATAAATTCAACTACGTGTTTGATCTTTCTTAAATTATCAGCATTATCACCTCTTAACAAGATCGTTCCTCCAAGGGACGAGTTACATCCACGAAGGAAAGTATACGTTCTGCTGATATTCCCATAAATATATGTTTTGATTTCGAATGATGCACACTCTCCCATTTTGACGTTTGATGCCAATTTATCAATTGATATTGCGATATCTGCCTCCGTTAATCTTGCTATTCTTTCAATCACTTGTGGTTTTATATTGAATTGGACTACTATCCCTGCATCGTGTAATAATTGTAAGGCGTAACCACTAACGTTGGCCCCTGCAAATATAATATCTGGGTTTAATGACGTAATTCTGGAAATTAGTTTATTTAGATATTCTTTTTCTTGTGAAAAGACAGATTCTATACTTAAAAATTGATTTTCGTTTCTTTGATATTCTAAAGGAAACATGACCAATAATATCCTTGGGTTATCAACATATCTTGGCATACCTTTCATAGGAAGGGCTTTAGCAAACACAATACCATCTATATACTCTGAATCTGTAATTGATCCACCTGTTATTCTTTTTATTTTAACATATTTCTGCCTATAATCTAAGGTGTTAGAATCTCTGGCACTAAGTGTGATATTCTGAATATTTGCTAGTGCCATATCCTCCAATATATTTAGCCATTTATCAGTATTTGTTATATCCTGATCATTTAGAACTTGAATTAACAATTCTTTGAAGTGCAATGTAGCAACCTCATTTAGAACATTTTTATTTCCCTGATGATATCTTAACCCTGACATACTGGATAATCTTTTCCACTGATTAAAAGTGTTAGATTTTCCACTATTGTGTTTCGATGAAATAATCATAGAATTTGAAAGTGAATTTGGGGTTGTTTGGGGTTTTGAATTTTGTGATCCTGAGAGATTCATATTGGTCTTGGAATTAAAATCTGTACCTTCGATAGTATCAAATGATTGACTATTATTATCCTCATTGACTACAGAGCTATCATCTGGAAATTTACCTATTGCAAATTCAGATGTATCATTATCGCTGACAACTGATAATAAGTTTGGAGTACTGTGAGTTAATAAGTTAATATCTCTATATATGTTAACAGTACCGGTTTTACTTTTACTTTTCCTCCTACTTCTCATACGTTGTAATGAAGCTTCGGCTCTTTGGAATGATCTTGTCGAATTTCTTGTTGATCTGATAGGGTTATCAGAGTGCACAGCACCATTTAAAGAGGAATATATCGACATAGTTCCCTCATCTTCTCTAGTCTCATCTGGTGTTAATTTTGTTTGAGTTTTTTGACTGTCAGAATCTGATACTGTTTGTTCTAGTTCTTTATTATCATTACTTTTCTGGCCATAGTTGAATTTAAATTTAAAATTTTTATTTGTTAAATTCTCTATAATATTTTTGGCATGATCTGTAGCTTGTCTTTGTTGGTTATCATGAAGTGTTGTTTCGGACCTTTCATCGAAGGGTGCAGATGTGGCAGATGTTACGTAATTAAATATTGATCTTCCTAGTCTTGTAGCACTTGGTTTATTCCTTACATGATAAGGTTGATGGTAGTTTGTCTCCCCTTTGTTTGAAAAATTTCCACTTTTAAATGGGGAAGATGAAGGTGTTCTAAGTAGACTTATATCTCTCAAAGAATGAGGATCACGATTATAACTGTTGTGATTACTGGGACTGACCATTTTCATCACACTGGGGAGTCCATGATTGACATTGTTATTTGGAGAAATTATTTTTTTGTTTCTGCCTGTATTATCCTTAAATGATATCTCTAAAGATTCCCCTTGTCTAGTGGCAGGTATAGCCATTTTCGGTGGTGGTGGTGGGGTTGAAACAAATAATTTTGAATCTTCACCTGATGTCATTATACTTTGAACATCATCGTTATTCAATAATAAAATCTCATTTTGTTTTCCATTTGTAGATAATTCAGATGGATTTTGTGAATCATAGTATTCTTCATTTATAGATGTCATAGATCTACTAATATTGTTGTTATTATTGTTGTAGTCGTTATCAATATCATTTTTTAGTAATGAATGCGGATGATCTATAACTTGACCAGATACATCTACTATATTATCTTCATCCTCATCACTAGAATCCTCATAATTATTTGCTTGTTCAAAACAATTGCTACAAACTCTCATATTTCCTGAAAATCCAAATTTTTCAGCAGGTATTTGAAGGGTACAAGAACTACAAAATATTTGACCACAAATTCTACAATGATGTTTTCTTCTAAAAGTATTAAATGGTTTCCCACACGTGAAACATTCTTTTGAACTTTCATCCTTCATCCAATATTCCTTTGATAAAACATTTTTAGTTGTTTGTTTTGATTTTTTATTATCATTATAGAAGCCAAATAAGAAACTTCTCGACAGAGATGTTGTCATTGATGAAGATCTACTTATAGAAGATTCTGCATCATTTAATGAATAATTTAAAGTATTATTTTTCTTATTTGATGCTATTGGAATGGCTTTAACTGTAGATTTAGATGCATAAGTACTTGACCTTTTCAATTTTTTTTCATTATTCAATGTAAAAGTCAGGGATGTGTTTTTATTTTGTTGTTGCTGTTGTTCTCGGGATAGTGTTGTTGACGAGTCCTTTATAGATGGTATACGTGCGGCTACAGCAGGTGAAAATGTTTTAGGTATCGGTATACTTCCAGCGTTATTATTTTTCTTATTAGGAACACTAATATTATCATCGGCTCTAATCTTTCGTAAATCTATTGGATTATCTATTTGACTTTGTACGGTTGAGGTGGCTGTAGTTGCCGTCGTCGCAGTAGCAGTTGTAGTTGCCGTTGGAGCCACTGAACTCTTTTGTGATGTATTATCTAAGAAAATTTTATTTGGAACAGTAATATTACTTAATACGGGATTTATATCAATATTTGTTGTTGATTTTAAAGGCATCGGTATTGGTCTACCAAGAAATTCTGGTTTATCTATTGACGTCAATGTATTAAATTGATTATTTGATCCCATATTAGAATGTATTGAATTTTCATCTTTAGATATATTTTCATTACTCATACTTTTGAAAATTAACTTCTGTTGTATTGAGGGAAAGAGTATAATAATAATAATAATAATAATAATAATCTGAGTCTCTTTTATTCCTTTCAAGTTTACAGTAAATTTATTATTGTGTGTGAAGCGTATTGGTTATATATTGATTAAGTCATTGATGGCTCTCGTTTGTTTATACATCTCATAGAGTAAATAAACAACTGAGTAACTGCGGGAAAAAGGGTGGGTGGGGGAAGTAGCAAACTCATCGCACAAATGAAAAACCCACTAGCGGGTAGTTGCGTTTTCTTTCAAGAATACCGCCCTAATTCAAATAGCAAAAAACCCTAAAACAGGAACACGCGAAAATTAATAGCCAAAAAAGAACGAAAACCGTAGAAAATTATTCCGTGCAAATTGAAAAAAAAATATCGAGTAACTGTTTTGGAACGGAGTGGGACGTGTGAAGAGGTAGAGAGTTTGCATTTCGAGACTCTGGAGAGTTCGATTATAATAGCCAAAGAAATACTAAATAAGTGAAACATGACCTGCTATTAGGAATGTGTTTTATTCACCAATAGAAGTTTGTTTCTGACTGGTTGTTGATATTAAGCATTATTATAGTCGGGCACATTACACAACACGGAGAAAGAAGGGAATAAAATGACATTATATAAACGAAATGCATGTGCGTTGGTGTTTCTTATATTAAGTATATTTTTCAATGTGACAATAGTTCAAGGTAAATTTACAGAATATCATAATAAACATCTCTCAAGAGAATTATCTCTTTCAAAAGATGGTAAAGATAATTTATTGCTACCATTTGATGTTACTAGAACACCTGGTAGTAATAATTCTTTAATGATTCAAAATTTCATTACTCAACATTTTCAGACTAATATGAAAAATAATTGGACAATTGAATATGATAATTTTCAAGAAAATGATTATAATTTTACAAATTTAATTTTCACATTAGATCCAAAAGAAATTAGACAAGATAAGGATAAAAAATATATTTTATTTGCTGCACATTATGATACATTAGTTAATATTGATGGATTTATTGGTGCAGTTGATAGTGCAGCATCATGTTCGATACTTTTATATTTATCACAATTTTTAGATGAAATAATATATGAGGATCAATATTTAATTGATAAGATAGTTGAAGATAATGAATATGGTATTAAAATTGTATTTTTTGATGGTGAAGAAGCTATTGATGAATGGACAGAGACTGATTCGATATATGGATCGCGTCATTTAGCTAAAAAATGGTTAAAAGATGAAACAATGTCACAAATTGAATTATTTGTATTATTAGATTTAATCGGTGGTAAACGTACAAAAAAAATAACAGAATGGAAAATTAAAAGTTATTATAAATCATCACATAAATATTATCAATTATTAAGTGAAATTGAAGATAATTATTTAGAGAATGAAAATACTATTTTTACAAAGAAAGAACTATTTCCAACTGATGTTTTATATTTGATGATGAATAAAGTATTAATCGAAGATGATCATGTACCATTTTATAATGCAAATGTATCAATTCTTCATTTAATTCCATTCCCATTTCCAGAAGCTTGGCATACCATCGATGATAAATTTGACACTTTAGATGAGGATGAAATTCAACGTTGGGCAATCATATTAAGTGAATTTGCCATTGAAGTAATCTCCGGATAAAATATATAAATACATATGTATGTATGTCCTTAATATCAATTAAACAATTCATAGTACTTTAGTATTGCGGGATGGGAAAATAATATATATATGAATGTATGAATGCATTTTCTCCGATGTAACAGCTATTACGTCTTCCAACCGTCATTGAACTTTAAAACTCTATAATATATATATTGAGAGAGAATCAACAGACTAGAGTGTAGTGAAATTTTTAATGTTTTATAGTTTTGAAAGATCACGAGAAACTAACAATTACTACAAAACAAAACCACGGTACTCTAAAATGTTTCAAAAATTCAAATTTTATTTTTACTCTCTCTACTTTGCTTGTAGTACAAATACCGTTATTTTTTTGTTCGCTAAACCTACGATTATTAAATTGTAATAGTTTCCGAATATAGCATGTTTGACTGTATTACTACTACTACGAGGTTAACAGAATAATATAAATTTGTTTTAACTAGTTCCATCATTTTTCTCGAATCGACTCCCTGTATAACTAAAAACACATAATATTTATACAGTAATTTCTTTGAGTTGTAAATATGTATGTATGTAGTGTCTGGGTGCACCCTAAAATTTTCTCGTAGTTCTCCTTCTTCTTCGTTTGCCTGCTAACAAACCACCGTGCGGACAAACAAGGAGGGAGGCGGCGGCTAATACACCTATCCAACATTTCTAGTGTACCTTCCCCACATCACCTGGCGTTGAAGGAAAAAAGGAATATTTTGTTTTCACTACGACATTTTCTTTGATAAATGCAGATGAAATTTAACCTTAATGTTTCTCTAGCAATGAATAGTTAAACTGGATGACCTCCCTCTCCCTCCCGTTCTCTCTCTCTCTCTCTCTCTCTCTCCCCTTCCCCTAAACTTAAACTATTTGCTATAAGGATGAATGCACAGACAAATTAAATATTGCAATAAATCTTATCGCCGGAGAAAATAAAATAAATAGTATTGCTTCTATACGCAACAAAAATGATTTCTGCTGCTATTTACTACATTAAATGAAATTACAAAGAAATCTTTATTGAATTTGTCCACCTAATTGAATCGAATATCAGCAGATACAATAATAATATTAGCAATAATATTGTGTGTGGTTGTTGCTAACTGAGAAATCTTGGTTGAGTTTAACTTTTATCCCTTTATATCTTATATTGATTTAGATTTTAAATAGAAAAAAACAAATTTATTAAATCTATACATACTAAAGAATAAAGATAACCTTGTTGAATCATTAAGTAATTAATGAGTTTTTTAGTTGTTTTTTTAATAGATATATATTTCTATATATAAGGACATCGAACTTCTCATTTTTCTTCTTTTCTTTTTAAGGATTTCTCAGTAAATTTTATATTTTTTTTTTGTTACTTGTGTTTTCATTATTAACAAACACAAACACAAATATATTACATTTTATTCAATATGACAACAAATTTTAGAATTTTTAATAATAATTTAAATACACAATCTGAAGATTTTATTAATTTATCAGAACCACCAAAACCTAAGGATTCACCAATGTTAGGTTTTGAAAACGGTATATATTATAATAGTACCGATATTAATAATACTACTAATAACAATGATATTGATCCAAATAATAATAATTCTAGATTATTTTATGGACCCAAGAGATTATTATTTCCAAGAAGAAGGTCAACAAATTATATGGATGCATTGACATTAAGTGAAAAACAAAAAAATAAAAATAGATTATTTGGGAATAATCATAATCATCATAATAGTTTTAGTAATAGTACAAATAATTTTAATGGTGAAAATTTTTATACTTTTAAAGGTGATATAAGTACAAAGAGAAGTCAAAGAAGAAAATCTTTATTATCTGGAATGGATTTTCAAGATACAAGACATGATATTCAAAATTCAAATGTTTCTTCGGATAATAATTCGATTAATGATTATACTTTACATCATCATAATATGGGTGATTATATTCAAAGACCTGAATCACCAGAGTATAGATCGAAACCAAATCATTCTTTATTTAAAAAACAATATAGATCAGATGGAGTCACAGCTGGTACTGAGACTAATAATAATTTAACTCAAGATGATAGTGAATCTGATACAGAAAGTATACCATCAAGAAGATCATTAAGTAGAGGGAGAAAATTAAGTTTTGAATATGAAGATTTTAAAAAAGATATTTATAATAAATTAAATTTCTTTGATAAAAATTAATTATTATTTGCTCTTACTTTAAATGCCTCACCCTTTTTTTTTATATCATAATATCAACTATCATCATTTATTACTTCATAGAAAGAAACCATATTCTGCATCCAATCAAGATAAACATTATATAATTATGAACCTTTGAAAATTTACTAAAGAAAAAAAAAATACAATTTTGGAGTAGCTATTAACATATTTTTTTATTTGCTAAGGATAACGTTGCAAGTTTTAAGTTTCAGTCTTTTTTTTGTTAACAAAATGTTATAATTGACAAAATATAAAGGAAGAAATTTATGTAAATAAAAGGACTATTGGGATTTCTAACATACTGGCTACGTGACACATATGATATTGTCCTACTTAAAAAAAAAGCGGAACGGACTTCTTCCTTGCTCAAACTTATTTAAAGTTGTTATTTTTTTTTTTTTGCTGTATCAACAAATAATATATATTATTTGTTCCTACAATTATTTAGCTGTGTTAATCTTTGTTAATTAATTTAGTTATCTTTTTTAATTTTTTCTCTGAAAATTTTTATTTAAGTACTATATATACTTTTATAATAAAATTTTATTTCTTCGATTTAAATCACGGTAGAAAATAGATGTACAAATTCTCAGAATAAGAAGAAAATATATTCAAAATAGCATTTCATGAAACTGTTTTATTTTAGAGTTACAAGATTCTGGATTGAGTTTTAGTAACTTACAAATGTTCATCTGCAGCGATGACTTCAATGTTTTTTTTTTCTCACTCTTCAATCATCTATCATTTTAACTCTTTCCAATTGTTTCAATCCCGTTGATAGTAATTTTAGAAAAACCCATTACAAGTCATAAAAACACTCAATTTATTTGTTAAAACATATTTTTACTTCACTTAGTCATTACCTCAACTTAATGTTTCTAGTTCTTTTATAATAGAAAGGACACAATTTCTAGAAGAAGATCATTTTTCACGAATATTTACTTCGCAAAATAATTTTGAAGTACGGAAATTTTTCTTTCGCTTTGAAGAAGCCAATTTTATGCTGAAAAAAAATAGCTAATCGTAATATTCATTAAGTAGTGTTACAAGAGTAGAAGAGTTTACATATAAGGATATTTGATTCAGACCAATAAGATATCCGAGTAGTTCATTCAAAATACAGATACACATGTCGTCCATTGGTGCACAAGTCAGAAAAGTTGCCACCGCTGTTGATCCAATTGTCACAGATTATGCAGTTGGTTATTTTAACCATTTATCTAAAGTTACATTTGATGCAGTTCAAAGTAAACAATTAGACTTACCTTCAGAAGTTGATTTTGTTAGTTCATTATTAGTTGATGCAGGTGCTCAAAAGGACAATATCGACACTTTAGCTAAGAATATTCTTGATCAATTAACTATTCAACTGAAAGAAAATCAAGCTAAAATGGAAATTACTGGTGATACTTCAAAGAGATTATTAGATGTTAACATTCTGAAGAGTCACAACGAAAAGGAGAATATCAATGCATCTTTGAATATTTTGGGTGTTAATGGTTCTGATATTGAACATACCGGTAGAAAGATGGAAACTAGAGTCGATTTAAAGAAATTGGCTAAAGCTGAACAAAAAATTGCTAAGAAAGTTGCCAAGAGAAACAATAAATTTGTTCAATATGAGGCTTCTAAATTGATTGAGGAACAACAAAACGAAGATTACGATTCTTTCTTCTTAAAGATTAATCCATTGGAATTCGGTTCTGCAGCGGGTAAATCTAAGGATATTAAGATTGACCGTTTCGATTTATATGTTGGTGATGGTCAAAGAATTCTTTCTGATGCTCAATTAACTTTAAGTTTTGGTCGTAGATACGGTCTTGTTGGTCAAAATGGTATTGGTAAGTCAACATTATTAAGAGCGTTATCTAGAAGAGAATTAAATGTTCCAAAACATATTTCTATTTTACACGTCGAGCAAGAATTGAGAGGTGACGATACCTTGGCATTACAAAGTGTCTTAGATGCTGATGTGTGGAGAAAACAATTAATTGGTGAAGAATCCAAAATTAATGAGAGATTAAAGGAAATTGAATCTCTAAGAGGTGAATTTGAACCTGAAAGTCTGGAAATTAAAAAATTAGATAATGAACGTGAAGATTTAGAAAATCATTTATTACAAATAGATGAAAAATTAGTAGATATGGAATCTGATAAGGCAGAGGCTAGAGCTGCTTCTATTCTTTATGGTCTAGGTTTCAGTACTGATGCTCAACAAAAACCAACCAACTCATTCTCGGGTGGTTGGAGAATGAGATTATCATTAGCTAGAGCATTGTTCTGTCAACCTGACTTGTTACTACTGGATGAACCTTCCAATATGTTGGATGTTCCATCTATTGCCTATTTAGCAGAATATCTGAAAACTTACCCATCGACAGTTCTAACAGTTTCTCACGATCGTGCATTCTTAAATGAAGTAGCTACTGATATTATTTATCAACACAATGAAAGACTTGATTACTATAGAGGTCAAAACTTCGACTCCTTCTATACTACTAAAGAAGAACGTAATAAGACTGCTCAAAAGGAATACGAAAACCAAATGGCATACAGAAAGCATTTACAAGAATTTATCGACAAATATAGATACAATGCTGCCAAATCCCAAGAAGCTCAATCTAGAATTAAGAAACTGGAAAAGTTACCTGTTTTGGAACCACCAGAACAAGAAAAGACAATTAATTTCCATTTCCCAGATTGTGAGAAATTGTCCCCGCCTATCATCCAATTACAAGATGTTTCATTTGGATATGATGAGAATAGCTTGTTATTAAAGGATGTTAACCTTGACGTCCAAATGGACTCTAGAATTGCATTAGTAGGTGCCAACGGTTGCGGTAAAACTACTCTATTGAAGGTCATGATGGAACAATTAAGACCAATAAAGGGTTTTGTATCCAGAAACGGTAGGTTAAGAATAGGGTACTTTACACAACACCATGTTGATTCTATGGACTTAAATAGTTCTGCTGTTGATTGGATGTCTCAAAAATACCCTGGTAAAACTGATGAGGAATACAGACGTCATCTTGGTTCTTTTGGTATAACTGGTACCTTAGGTTTGCAAAAGATGCAACTATTATCCGGTGGTCAAAAATCTCGTGTTGCATTTGCAGCCTTGTGTTTGAACAATCCACATATATTAGTTCTGGATGAACCTTCCAATCATTTGGATACTACAGGTTTGGAGGCATTAGTGGATGCCTTAAAGAACTTCACTGGTGGTGTCTTGATGGTTTCTCACGATATTTCCATTATTGATAATGTTTGCAGTGAAATTTGGGTATCAGAAAATGGTACAGTTAACAGATTCAACGGTACTATTTACGATTACAGAGACTATATCATATCATCCGCCAATGAAGCAGGTGTTGTCAAAAAGCACTGATCATATTAGGCAATATATATATATATATAGATAGATAATAACTATTTTATAAAATATCTGCATTTAGTCAATTGATTTAACTACTGTCTTATTACGTTTTTTTTGTATAAGACATATGTGTAAATATAATAGCGTGCTTGAAATTATGAAGAAAGAATAATATACATATGTGGTTTGAATGACGGTATGGAATTTATATAGATTATACTAGTAATAATTCTGCCTTACGTTTACTGCTTACTGGATCCAACACTGATCTGACTTGAACGTCAACCTTTTCAAATACATGAACCTCTCTTATTTTATCACTATTCTTCGGTTTGAACGACAACTTAAACTCTAATTCATCATAAACGGCATCTTCTGCCGCATCTGTTAAATTCTCTATTCTAATTAGACCCTCAACACCAAACTTCGGTACCAGAACCACAATACCGTTATTAAATACCTTGATTACGTAACCTGTTTCAATGGACTCATTGTTTCTCATAACTTGACCAACATAGTACTCAATACTGGCACGACCGGCAAATTGTGCATTTCTGTGCTTTCTATTGATGTTTCTACAGATCATATCCATTTTATGCTTGTCTCTATGTTCTAAACTTAATGGTTCGTATCCAATCGCACCTGCTAATTGTCTGTGAGCAACGACATCACAGTAACGTCTAATTGGTGATGTAAAATGGGTATATATATCAACAGCTAAACCATAATGTTTGAAGTCAGGGTATGAGTATGCACCAGAATAGAAGTATTGTGCCGCCATCATACAACGTGTAGACATGATACGTACAAGTGTGTTGAAGTAGTTATCTTGGGGATCGACACAACGATCTAGAGAATCAGCCAATGCTTTTGATGATTCTAATGAAATATGCATGTTCTTTCTTTTTTGTAACATCTCATTTAGCATTTCAAAGTTGGTAGATGGTGGAGCTGCATGTCTTCTTAGCATTGCAGTTTGAGGGAATGCATCGTAGATTTTTCTTGCAACGGAAATATTGGCTAATAACATAAATTCTTCAACTAATGAATTAGTAGCTAATAATTTCTTAATTTCAACTTCACCTGGATCAGCAGTTTCACTATCCATGTGGACCTTAACTTCAGGGGAAGCCAAATTTAGAGCACCTGCGTCTAATCGTTTTTGTTTCAATTTGATAGATAAAGCTAATAGGGCTCTCATTCCTAGTGTTAATTCATCCTTTTGATTTGGATCATCAATTCTTAGTTGAGCCTGTTCATATGAGAAAGCCTCTCTTGATTTAATCACAGATTTTGTGAAATTAACATTAACGATATCTGCATTGTCATTTAATTCCCATAAGACAGAGAAGGCAAATCTATCGACATACGGTTTCAATGAACAAAGATCAGTACCCAACAACATTGGAAGCATATCGATACGTTTATCGACAAGGTATACAGAGGTACCCCTTGAGGCACCTTCACCGTCTAATGCAGTACCAGTTTTTACAAAATGTGTAACGTCTGCAATATGAACACCCACCTCCCAATTACCATTTGGTAATTTCTTTGCGTGTAAGGCGTCATCGATATCAACACAACCGGGAGGATCGATGGAACAGATAAGCTTGTCTCTCAGATCTTGTCTCTTTGGCAGCAATGGATCCTTGGAGATCTCTTCTGGATCATCTAACTTAGCAGGTGCTTTCCAGTCGTGTCCCTCTGCTGGAAGACATTCCAATACCTTCTTGGAGAATGGTCTATACTCGACGTCATGTTCTAATAGTAAGGCCTCTGTCTCGGCTTCTGTGCTCTCGACATCACCAAGATCTCTTACAAAGTGTCCAAGAGGATATTTGTATGTCTCTGGCCATGAATCTACCGATATCACAATTCTCTTCCCTAGTAATTCTTGAGCTCTTCTGGTGCGGATTCTGATCTTTGGTAGACATTTATCCATAAGAATAACAAATACATTCTGTATTCCGTTTGTCTTTCCATCAACTGAACTTGGCGCAATTTGACCGACATATTGTCTCCAGGATCTTCTTGTAATAGAAACCACCTTCGCAGTTGGTTGAACCTTTTTGGATTTTTGAGCATTAATTGCCTCTTTAGCTAACAATCTTCTTTGTTTGTCACTTATCACAGTGGTGGAATTTTCATTTGTGAATTGATCGTCTTCACCTTGACCATCTGGGTTATCATTTACATCAAAATGTTCAGAATCTAAAGTTAAGGTCGATGGTGCTTTCCACTCAGTTTCAGGTAGAAGTTCTACTACAACTTGATCACCATTAAATGCTCTGTTCAAGTTCTTTTGACCAACAATTAAAACAGGTTTAGAAAATCTTGGTAGTGAGACAGAACCTTCCAAAAAATTATACTCTGAAATTTGGACATTACCTTGGAACAAAGAACCGCTACGTAAACCGCCCATAACTCTTGAAGTTTGGTAGTATTCTGGGAACACGATCTCAGACATATCTTCTGGTAGTAATTCTTTTGATTCGGCATAATTATCAACATTTGGAATTAATTCTTTGATTTCATCTGCATTGGAAAGTAAATCAGCGTACTCATAAAGACTCTTTGTAAAATAGCCATGAGATTCGGACTCCTTCTTCACAGCCTCTCTATTTAACCTATCATTTGTCACTAGAATAATATTAATACCATAAGCTTTCAAATGTTCGGCGTACCATTCACAAGTCTTTCTGATTGCTCTATCATTTCTGTCATTGATGGTTTCATTGGGAAGTCTATCAATAAATGTCTTCTCATTAAATTCGTTATGGAAGACAATAAATCTTTTAGTATCGTCACTATCCCTACAAAGTGTTCTCAATCTTGTATAAACTGGGTAAGATCTGTTCCTAACTTCGTCTAGTACAATTTGTGGAACGATGACATCGAAAAAGCAACTAACATTCTCGAGAAGATCTATCGCAAGCAGAACGATGTTTGTATCTACGACAACATAATGTTTCCCAATTTTGGATAGTTTTGGTGGTTCTTCTGAAAGAATGAATTTCGGAAGTTCATTCTTCGCATCCGGGACAACTATACTTTGACATTTAGTACAACTTTTAGATAAACATGGTATATCGTTTCTTAGATAATGTTCCCTGATAATTTTGGTTGCTCCCCCATTTCTAGATCTAATAAAGACCTTTTGGGTAACAGTTAAACCTTCAGAAAGCCTCTTCTTACGTGGAGCTACAACTTTGGTACTCATTAGATGCTCTCTGTTTAACTTTTTGATATGATTCTTATAACTTCCTTTGATAGGTCAAACTAAAATCTGTTATACAAAAATATGAATAATAACCAAAAGAGGGAACCAATTTAATTTAGAAATAATTGAACTGTATAAAGAAACTCAATTATGCGTTTAATGGAACAGTTAATCATATTACATTACATATTTGGTATCTCATTGCAAGTTATTACTCAAGCTCTTCGCTTTGTAATTTTTCATTTAAATTTTCAAATTTTCTCATCGCTTAAATCTGTGCGACGTATAAGATGATCCACCACCCGTGTTAAGTATTGTAGTACTAGAAGTTTGCCACCCTATAAACGTTTATACTAAAATAGTAGAAAGATATAAAAGTTTATTTATGCAAGTAAGTTCCTGATATTGAAAAATAGAGCGTTCACTAACACTGTTTCTCGAGAAATAAATATATACAGTATTATATTTAAATAAATAAATATGAGCGAATCCACTTTTGAATGTATGTATACTCAATTAGATTAATATTTCAAGGCATGTTACAGTATTTTTTTAAGGACACTGACGATGTTAACAATAATAATAATGACTTCATATTGCATTATTTTCAATGACATTACTAGTATCCTTGAGGAACTTTAAAGGTAAAAGAAATATAAGAATATAAGGGAGCATTCTTACTAACAACCAATTATTAATATGAAACAGTTAACATTAAAAATGCTGGGAAAAGTTACCCTATAACTTTAACATCTGCAGAATCAGTTTCTGATTTGAAACAAAAAATTGAAGATTTGACTCAAATTCCAGTTGCTCGTCAAAAATATATGGTTAAAGGAGGTTTATCTGATGAATCTGCAACTAATCTATCTACTATTATTAAACCAGGATCTACAGTGATGTTATTAGGTACTCCTGATTCTAATCTAATTTCCAAACCAAAAGTGAAGAACCATTTCATTGAAGATTTAAGTCCAGATCAACAAGTTCAACAATTTAATGAATTGCCTATTGGTTTGAAGAATATGGGTAATACATGTTACATGAACGCAACTTTACAGGCATTGTACAGAATTGAACCACTAAGACAAATGGTTTTAAACTATGATGCTTCTAAAGATAGTTCCAATAGTAACCCACAATCTGATGTTCACTATAAGTTAGTTCTAGAGATGAAACGTTGTTTCGAAGGTTTACAAAAAAAAAGTTTTAAATCTATTATGCCAGTTGTTCTTCTTAATGTATTGAGAAAAGCATACCCACAATTTGCTGAAAGAGATCAAAGCTCAGGGTTTTACAAACAACAAGACGCTGAAGAATTATTAACCCAATTGTTCCATTCTTTGAATGTGGTATTTGGTGATAAATTTGGTGAAGATTTTAGAATTCAATTTAGAACAACTACAACCGATACGGCTAATGCGAATGACGTCACTGTTAAAGAAGAAGAAAGTGACATCAAATTACAATGTCATATATCTGGTACCACTAACTTCTTGAAGTCAGGTCTAATTGATTCATTGAATGAAAAAATTGAGAAGAGATCTGATACTACTGGTGCTAATTCTGTATACACAGTTCATAAAGAGATTATTAGATTACCAAAACTTTTAATGGTTCAATATGTTAGATTTTTCTGGAAAAGATCCACAGGTAAGAAATCTAAGATTCTTCGTAAAGTTGTTTTCCCATTCCAAATGGATGTTACTGATATGTTAGAAAGTACATATCAAAAGGAAAAGATAGAGGTTCGTGAAAAGTTGAGAGAAGTTGAAAAGGAAAAGACAGAAAAGGAACGGGAATTGAAGAAAAGAAAACTATCTGGGAATGGTGATGATAGTAATGAGGTGGTCGATGTTGTGATGACTCCTAAGGAAGAATTTGAAACTAAGAAGGCTTTAGAAGACAGCCAAGCTGAATTCTGGAAGGATGAGTATAAGAAACAATTTCCAGATAACCTTACTCCTGGGGAAAATCCATCATCTGTTTATAATTTAATTGGTATTATTACACATCAAGGTGCTAATTCTGAATCAGGCCATTATCAAGCCTTTATGAAGGATGAAAAAGATGACAATATTTGGTATAAATTTAATGATGATAAAGTTAGTATAATAGAAAAGGAAAAGATTGAAATGCTAGCAGGTGGTGGTGAAAGTGATAGTGCCTTAATCTTGTTATATGAAGGTTTAGGGTTATAGATAATTAAAATGTACATATGTATGTATATGTGTATAGAAAAGTGAAAAAAGGGGATAAAATTTCCTTGTTATCCTATCGTAGATGAAGTCATCTCTTAATTGATGAGATTAGATTATTAATATGCTATGTGTTTTTAGAAGAAGAAAAACTAAAAGTTTTATGTTTTCTACTATTTACTTTGTGAAGTGATTGAATATAAAAAATGTATAGAATAAGTACATGGGTATAAATTGAGATAACAATCAATTCTTATCTAAAAATAAAATTTGAATGTCAAGAATGATATTTCTATTTATTTGAGTTATATCCTTTTAAGGGTTGTTTCTTTTTTATTGTTGTTGTTTTAAAAAAAAGGTTATTTTCATTCAGATGTTAATTTTTTAAATTGTTCCATAATTTCAAAACAATTTAATGGTTTACCTTTATTTTTTATTAAACATTCTGTAAGTTTTTTTTCGACATTTTCTTTATCCTTTTCAGTAAAATCTTTTCTTTTATCAGAATCTAATTGTTTATAAAGATCGATTTTAAGATTTAATGCATCCATCTTTTCATCTAAAGATTTAGACGATAAAGTTCCAACATCAACATCTGTCAACAATAAAGATTTATCTAATTTATCTTCGAATTTTTTTAAAGTTTCTCTCTCTAATTGAAGTAATCTTTCAGAGATTTTACTCTCTATAAACCTCTCAGCATCTTCTCTCTTAGCAAAATCTGTCTCTGTTCCTCCTAATCGTTTAATTGTTTCCTCTGATGCATCAAACTTAATATCCGGCGTTATATCAGTTAAGGATGGTCTTGATGCTTGTGCTCCCATTTTAGAAAATTTATATTACTGCTTGTGTAGATTCCTAGAAATATATATGTATTTCCCTGAATTATGGTAATGAAATTTGGAAATGATGATATATGGTTCTAATTCTAATACTCTGTTATTTCAGTTTCCTTTGAATCCTTTAAGGTCAAAACATTAAATTCAATAGAAACTTTTGTTGTTCCCTTTGTTAATAATGTATGTTTTCTTAATCTTTGCCGTCTCATAAATAATATTATTATCCCGTTTGTTCTACGCCCTCTGTGTTTACAGCTACTCGCTTTGTATATTTTTTTTTTTGCTAACTGAACTTTCTATTGGATAGAAATTATTCAAATTAAAGCAAAGCAAAGAAAAGAAAAGTAAACAATTAGTGTATGGGAGAGGTCAAGGAGTTGTATAAGATGCTGTAGAAGGTACGATCTGTCCCCTTAATGTGTGTGAGTGTCTAACCCGGGTACAAATTACAAAGTGTTCTGTGTATAAGATGAGCCCACAGTTCAAAACAACGCTACAAATATAATATTGTTTTAAGAAATTGCAGAATTGAATATCTTGTCACAGAGCTGTTACTCATTCTTGATATATGTATATATTGCCACTTTTCCTAGAACCAAGTACTACTCTTCATAACGATTGACTATCATTCAGAAAGTGTGATACAACAATCTCACCATAATTAAGAAAAGACTTGTTGGCGTCTCTATTTCATTTTTGCTTGTCGCGCGCGCGTCTTTCCTTCTCGCTGTGGTGGTCGCGCCGCTCTCTGAAATTTTCACTTTTTTTTTTTTTTGTTGTCGTTAAATCAGTAAGAGCTTGTTGATACCATCATTCATCATACTTATATAATCTGGTGAACTGTTTGCTTATATCATTCTGAATGATGTATTTACATGTGCATGTTAGAATGGCAACAACTGGATTGATTCGTGTAAATTTTGGGTAATGTGTAGGTGTATCTGTTCACACATGTAATAGTAGCAAATTATATTGAGACGCTAACTTGAGATCAAATAATTCTGTCATCGTCATTTTAAATTGACAGTAGATAATTCTAAAGTATGATATGTACTTTTTCTTAATATCTGTAGCATATTCTTCTCATAATTTAATTGAATTGCCATATGTAGAGGGTTTATACTGAGTTCTATGTTGCTCTTTTTACCTTTGCTTTGTATGTTTCAAACGATTCAAGTCAACCGGTACGCGTGAAAATTCTTGGAAGATCGAAAGTTTGTAACAAACAACATCGTTGAAATATAAATTGATATATTTATGCACCTTTCTAAATATCGTTATACCACTTATTTCTCAGAAATTTTTCATTGGAGAAAGAAAGACTATAACTATAGACATTTTAACGTTCTTATTTTTGTTCGTCGTAGTGGGTAGTTTCATACGTCTAATAGTTTGAGCTTAGCTTTATTATTCGTATTTTCAGATGTCTGACAATATTACTAACAGCGGAACAAGTGGTCAAAGTGATAAAAATAATCACACTAGTATGGATCCTAGTGCCAATAATATCCCTCAACCTGATATGAATAACGTTACTAATGTATCAGATACAACTAATCCAGCGATGGATTCTACAAATTTAGCTGAATTGAATTCTGGATTGAGAAGATCTAGTCGTGTTCCAAAACCAAGAACTGATCTTACTGCAGATTTAGAAGATGAATATAAGAAGAGAACATATAAGAAAAGAGTTAAACCAAAACAAAAGAAGCATGCAGCCAATAAAGATAAGAAGAAGAAAATTACTAAACCATCAAAAAAATTAAAGAAGACTAAAGCAACTAAGAAATCTGCTACTGGTAAGAAAATTACTAAGAAAGATGAGAAAAAAAATAATGGTAAAGTAAAACCAACAATTGAAACACAAGAACCATCTCTAACGGAAGCAAATTGGGCACCTTGTGCTCCTTTATTGAATTCTGATTTTAAGACTCAACAAAGTGTAAGTTCAAGATTAAAAAATCCAAATATGAAACCAGTACCATATGCTGGAGATGTTATGAAAATTATGTCCTTTATCAATAAATTTTATTCTTTATTTGATCAAGATCTTTTAAATTTATCATTTCAAGATTTCGAAGTGGGTCTTGATTTGTATCCAGGTAATTCTAAGGAATCTGCTGATGGAATATATTCTGAAGAGAAAGATCGTATTGTTTATTATCAAGATTATATATTGGTTAAGGAAGTCATTCAAGCCCAGGATAAGATGAATTTGTTGTTTTTAAGTCTTCTACAATTATTATTTGTTGATCCAAAGAAATATGACGCACCAACTTTAGCTGATTTAAGAGGTAAAAATCTTTATAGACCATATATTGAAAAAGTTAGAAAACCTGCAAATGAATGGGGGTATCCAAAAGAATGGAGATCTAATAATGTCACCTCTAATGTGCTCGGTGAAGGAAAATTTCCATTGTTTCCTCATAATGAAGCTGTCCCTGTAGTGGATCCTACACATCCAGAAATATTAACACCAAATGTATATACATATATCGGTAATGATCCAGTACAATTAGAAAACGATCCTTTGCAAACTCGTGATCTTGAGGACGAAGGGATATTAGGTTTACCAACCAATGATAGAATTATATTTTTGAGGACTTTAATCAATTGGTGTTCTGTACAATCATTACTTGTACATCATGAAATATATCAATTATCCCATTTTAAGAGAGATGCTCCATTTGGAATTCAAACTCAAAATGTTCCAAGATATTATCTTGATGGACCTGAAGTCACCTATAATTATTTTAGGAAACTTTGTACAATTATTCAAACTCGTTATGAAGTTCGTTCTAAGAAGAAACATTATCGTAAACAAATGAGTGATGGGAAAAATCCAGAGTTAAGCGCTAAAATGAAATTATTAGAAGAGATAAAGCAAGAGTTAAACAATGTTGAAAAATCAGAGAGACCTGAACTTGTCATTTCATTGTATGATAAATGGATAAGATTATTCGAAGGTGAATTGAATGATAATCCATTATCGAATCCTTTTGATGATCCAATTTATACATTACGGTCGCAAGAATTTTTCATTGGTAGAGTCCCATATATGGGTGACTTCTATTTACCTAGACTTCATAGTTATGGTGATACAATTACTATGAGCACATACACAGATCTCAGAAAATTGCAAAAGCTGGTTTCAAAGTTCAAAAATAAGGAATATACAGTATTACATTTATTTGAAGAATATGGCCAGACGTTAAGTTCTCAATTTAAGGTATTATATCACGATACCCCGTCATTAATTCATGATATATCAAAAAATAAAAATATTGAAGATAAATGTTATTGGCATGAAATGTGCCATGATGCAGAATCTTTGAGAAAATTTTTGGACTTTTTAGATTTGAAGATTGTTAGACCACCACCAAAGGAAAAGAAAAAAGATGACGCCACTGGTGTCAAAGATGAAGATTCATTGATAATAAAAGAAAACACTTCTGTCGATGTAAGTACTGTTGAAGGTGCAACAACCATTTCATTGACAGATTCTGAGAGTACGAAGGTTGACGCTTCACCAGTAACTGCGACAAGTGAGGTGATATCTCAACCAAAAATTCATAATAGGAAACTAGAAAATAGTAATATTAACACAAATCCATTACCAAGAGATCAACGTTACAATACAGCTAGAAATAAATTAAAAATTTTGAAAGAATATTTATCTGATTTCTACTTTATTCTGTATACTTTTGAACAATTAAAGAAGGAGTATTCCGATATGAAACCTGGTAGAAGGCAATTAAGAGATATGAAGAGGAACTTAATTAATTATAATATGGACTATGATAGTGACGATATGATGGAATAAATTCCGTAATCCTGTGCCACTCTTTTTTAAAAATATGAAAACTTTTTTTCCATTTTGTATTATATGTAAATGTACGTATGTATGCTAAATGTATTTTAGTATATTAAATTAAAAATTATTACACCACTCAATAAAAAGGAGTTAAAGAAAATAATGATGATAGAATTAATTATCATCGACTTGAGATGAAACATCGGAACCTTCCCTTGAAGCTTGGCTCTCCTCATCATATTTTAATATTCTCTCTTTATTTTGAGTCGCAGCTTTCACTAACTGAGCAAAGGTATCTCTTGTGATAGCAGCCTTTAGTAGTTTCTGTTGCTCAGTTAATTCTTGTCCAGATTGCTCTGATTTAATACTCATGTTTTTAAATGAGCTAGCCAATGAAGAACTAGATGAATTGACGCTATTTTCTTCTAAATCACTCTCATCATCTGTACAATACATATTTTTCAATTTATTAATTCTATTATTCAACTTAACAATCTCGATCGCTTCACGTAATTTTTTCCTAGCATCGAAGCCCCTTCTGACACCAGGTAATAAGTTGTTTTCTTCCCATTCTGTACAGATAATCCAGGGGTCTTGTAATAATTCGGTCGCTGTAGGTCTTCCTTCTGGATCTAAAGTCAGAGCTCTCAATATAAAGTTTTTGGCCTTTGAAGATATAGTATCCCAATAAGGTTTATGGAAGGTGATGGGTTGATCACTAGAAGTACATTCATCTAAAAATCCTTCTACACTTTCAGCAACAAAAGGTGAATAACCACATAGTAAAGTATAAGTTATAACACCAATAGACCAGATATCACATGGTTTACCGTGACCATCAGTGGTAAGCACCTCTGGTGCCACATACCCTAGTGATCCTGCTGCTTTGAACACAAGTTCGTCTCCTGTGTTTAATTCCTTTGCGATACCAAAATCGGCAATTACCAAAGGAGATTTATCTGAACTATTTACATAAAGTAAATTTTCTGGTTTTAAATCTCTATGGATAATATTTTTAGAGTGGATATATTCTACCGCCTTTAATATCTGGACTAAAATATCAACTGCATCCTGTTCAGTAAATTTCCCTTTCTTTAAGATTCTGTCAAATAATTCACCACCAGTTGCAAGTTGTGTAACTATGAAAAACTTTTCTAAAGTTTCGAACCAGTCCTTAAAATGAACAATATTGGGATGATCTAATTTTTGAAGGATCTCTAATTCATCATAAAGCATCTTTAATTGCACATCATTCCCTTTTAATGCTTTCTTTAACAAAATTTTCACGGCGACATCCTCATTGGTGGATAGTTTCCTTGCTTGTCTCACGATACCAAAAGTACCAGCACCTAAGGTCTTACCAAAGATGTAGTCAGATTTGTTATCCACACTCTTATCTAAATCTTCACTCATTCCTGAAGGTTGAATCATATGAAATATTGCTTTTTATAAATTCCGTTCTAGATATATATTAATAGATATATCCCCTTGATAATCTAAGCGTGCAAAAAGTGAAAATAAACAAAATATAATTAGTATATGTTAGTGTTATCTCTCAAATCCTTATCAGATCTACCTGTTTATATACAGAAGATTATAAAATGATAATTACAACTAAGTTTGAACCATTTCTTAAATGTTGAATCCAAATCTTCATGGTTTATTGTCCCTTTAACTATCGACCTTTCCTAATTATGTATGTTTTTTTTTTAGTTTTACTGATTATTCAAGCAGATCCATCTAAGCGACTCCTAAATTCTCTATTATGATTTCCGAAAGCCGTCGGGACATTTGCTGCTGAAATATCCGTGAAGAAAATGCGTTCCGAAACGGTTCAGCGAAAGGGAAAAAGAAACGATTTTGCTGAGGCACCGGGGAAATATTAGTAGAACTTTCAACATGGGCTTAGCTACTCAACTGATCAAGAGAAATGGATTTTTCAGATGCATGTTAATTAATTCTATTAAAGGTGTATAGGTTATGGTATATGCATAGTGTAATTATTTATCTATATATATATATCTTACTTTATTTTTTCGATTTTACTTTTTTGGTTATACGAATGGCATACTCATCAGTTGCTTAATTAATTCATTACTTGTATGCGAAAGGAGGGAAGGGAAGAGAAAAAAACTTTATACGTGTGTAGGAATCATCCACTAAATTGAAGGGACATCCTGCATTTTTTATCTACAGTGGTTAATCATTTAGTGGTGGCATCTGCACCATTATTATCGTCATCGTCGTCATCGTCATCGTAAACTGGAGTTCCGTCAGCATTCAAACTTAAGTTGAAGTAATCGTTAGCATTGTTTGCATCCTGTAGGGTTCCTAAATCACCAGGAGTCATGAATACAGTACTACCAGCTCTGGATTCTCTTGGGGAGCCTGGAACACTCAATGGTCTTGCGATCTTGAATTTCTTTTCACCGGATAAAGCATCCATACTGTCATCGTTCAACTCTTCACCAACCATTGATTTAAATTCTTGTGGGTAACCTCTTCTTAGAGCCAATTGTCTGGCTTTAACGTATTCAAGACCCATTCTCTTCCAATCTAGCAAATCAGATAGACGTTCGGTTCTATTTCTTTGATTGATTCTTTGTCTAGTGTTTTTCTTTGTAAACTCTTCCATGTAATCAACTAATTGTTCAACAGATTCATCTGGGTTCTTAAATCTACGATCCACAATATAGATACCATAGTCCTTAGCTTGATTGGTTTCAATTAGATCCTCCATATAGGCACCAAACCCTGACAAATTGGTAGTAATGGATGGAATACCCATAACAGTACATTCAGCTGGAGTATAACCCCATGGTTCATAATATGATGGGAAGACACCTAAATGAGTACCACGAACAAACTCATCATAATCTAACCCAAGGATTGGATTGTTTGAATTTAAAAATTCTGGATGAAAGATAACTTTAACACGATCACTAGAATTGTTAAATAATTGAACATGTCTAATTTGATTTAAGATTGGATCAGTGGCGTCATCAACCATGTTATGTGTAACAATTGGTGGTAAATGATTCTCGGCTCTTAAAGCAAGAACTCTTCTCTTTAGTCTAATCTTATCAGATTGACCTAATAATTCATCTAAATTATCTGGTACTTCTGAACTGACACCATTATGAGGGAATTTTAAAGCATGTTCGAATATTTTCTTACCAATATTCTTTGTGACTTCATTAACTGTATTTTCTAAGGACTTAACAGCAGCTTGACTTCTTAATTCCTCAACGGTATAAGAGTTATTCTTTGCAGGCATAATAATGAATGCAACAACAGTTTTCTTTGAACCAGCCATCTTTAATCTATAATTCAAACGAGCTAATGCTTCAATAAACATATCAGCACCTTTATTTTTATATTCATAACGACCAGCGATGAAAAAATATAAAGTATTATCTAAATCAAAATCAAAATGACCATGGAAATGACCCCTAATGAATTCATTTATTTTTTCCTTCTTTAAGGCATGTAAGTTTTGGAATTCATGAACGGCTTGGAATTTAACAACGTTTATACCATTTGGTAAAATACCATCTGGTTTTCTTTTCAACAGATGTTCTGCCTCTAAAGCAGTAATTTGTGATACAGTAGTGAAAACATCAGCGGTATGTGCGGCAGCACGTTCGATACAATATCTATGATAAATACCACGTTTTCCGGCTTCTTGATCACAATCAAAATGTTCTAAATTGTTATAAAAATCAACATCACCAGCTGCACATAAATAACGACCTAAAAGGGTTGCATGTGTGGTGAAAATTGTTACAACATCAATTTTTTTCTTACGACATAATGGTAAAGCAACACCAGCTAACCATTCATGGAAATGTGCTACGATTGCATGAGTTTGATCCAATACAGAAACTTCACCAAGGAACCAAGTTACAGTATAACCTAATAAAATGGCATCGTTAGTTTCAAAATCGTTTTCAGGAGATGGAATTCCAACAAGAGACCATAAATCACCTTTCCATTCATTTAAACGACCTCTAGTTGAATCTAAATCAAATAAGATAACTTTTGGTGAACCTTCAATTAACCATTTCCCGTAAACGAAATAAAATCCGGCATCACGCATTTTACGTAAAGCAGCTTGAATAGGTTTCAAATGGTCTGGGAATGCATCTTCTGCATCCCAATCAATTGGATCGATTTCATTTTGATAAGTAGCTTTATTTAAAGGACCTAATAAGGTATAATTTTCTTTATATTGAGCGACAGTAACGGGTGCTTTAGATTTTAAAACAGAGTAAATACCACCTACCCTGTTAGCTACTTCAGTAGCAGTTTCAAATAACAGATGATTTTGTAAATCACGACCCATTATGAATTAAAATATAAGAATTGAGTAAAAACAAACAACAAATATGAAATAACGAATGTCTGTGCGTGTTTGCTTTTGTATACGTTGCTATAATTTGTAAAATTAAACTTATTAAAAACAAAAAAGCTTTATCAATATGATATAAGAATGAAATATTCTTTTCTTTAAAAAAAAATGCAAGCACTCTCTTTATATTTACTTACTACTTATATATAAATTCAGTGACGAACTTTCCTTTTACTCAACATAACTAAAAAAGGGAAACTGTAAAAAAAAAAATTCATGCATGATACTCTTATTATTGACAACCTAACCCAGCAAACAAAACTACTAAGATCGGTGTACTTTAGTTCCAACTCTAGTTCCTCTCACTCCTCTTACTTTGTAGAAACTAGTTACTGACTGCACCAACGACTGTTCTGTATTATGCATTCAGTGAAAAATAGCTAAGAAGAACGCGATCTTTTTTTTAAGGGGAGGGGGGTTAAGCTACCGAGAGGCCGCGACAAACTAGGAAAGTGGGGCAGGCAGCGTTCTGCATGTATTTGTGTGCAGGTGTCTCAAATAGGAAAATAAGGGGGCCATGTAGCATGCGGTTGCTTCTGTGGGTTTTCTAATTTTATTTTATTTTTCCTTTTTGTAGGGTAATATATAAAAAAAAACGCCGTGAAGTGGGGTGAGCACAGTTAAGAGGTGACGTGGGGAAAAAGAGTTCCTTTAACTTTATTAATAATAGAGCAAATTTGAAGGAAGGAAAGAGAGGGGGGCAGAAGAGACATAAGGAAAAGTTAAAAATATTGTGATCAGACGGTAACAATTGGGCTTATTCATGTTGCGTGGTTGGTGTCTTTTTTCTCTCGAAGTACTGTCAATGGTAAAGGGAGAGGCACATAGCCAACAGGATCGTAGAAGGACCTGCTTTTTTTTTCATTGATAGGTGACGTTTGATTGTTTGTATAGTTTCTATATGTAATGACAGAAGGGTACAACCCCGCAACCTAAGTATATTTATTTAGTGTGTGTGTGTGTGTGTGTTTGGTGGGGTTTTCTCTTCTATATAGTCTTTTTTACATGACACTCCTTATAAGGTTTCGAAGATAGCCTCACGCACTCTGTAATCTTCATTCAAATCATCGATCTCTTCCCAATTACCTATGATATCGTTTGCACCACGCACCACACCAGGCAGAGTTCTTCCTCGACTATGAGTTTTCCATACTTTTCTTGCAGCATCGTCAGTACCAAGATCTCTATAAGTAAATTTGACTTGATTAGCTTGTAATATAGTTGCTAGACGATTTGTACGTGGAATCATATGAAATCCACCCCCTGCTAGAGAAGTATAAATGTAAACCGGTTCATTTTCATATAGTTTACGTATATCACTTTTTTTAATGGTATTGTTATCATTATTATCATTAACAGAGGTAGTTGTTTTCTTTTTGTTTGGTTCTAGGGATTCTAATAAACTATTAAGTTCAGAATCGTCAACAAAATCTAGTTCCTTTAAGAATGCATCTGTCTCAGCAAGGATATCATCAAGGCTATTTTTACCACTAATCATATTTACATTACTGTCGGTGTTATTGTTTTCATCTTGATTTACAGGTTCTTCCGTTACATTATCTAACCCAGGTGTTTCCTCAATTGGACCTAGGTCGAGCCCTTCGACAGTATCTTGTGCTAAAGTTTCTGTGTTTGTTTCCATCTCTTCAATTTCTACGTTCTTTTCTTGTATAGTATCCTGAGAGATTGATTCGCTTTCCACATGTGCTTCTTCTTCTGCTGCTGCTTCTGAAGTTTCGATTTTACCATCTTCATCATCCGCCACATTAAGTTCTGTTGTTTGATCAACCATTAGGTCATCATTCACCTTGTCTACTTCAGTTGTATCGTTCTCAGTAGGAGGTTGAGATACATTAACTTCATCTGTAGAAGTGCTATCGGCATCATCAATAAGTATCGTATCCGTATTTTTCTTTTCTGATGTTTCTTCAATATCTTCCACGGTTGAGTCCTTCCCTAAAACATCAGTAATTACATTTGGATCGTCAACAACTTCCTCAATGGCATGATTAACAGTTTCCGTATCGTTATCCTCAGTCTTAGTATTGTCTATGATAATATGTGGATCGACCACCTCCTCAGATGATGTATTATCAATATCTTTTATGTTTTCTTCAGTAGTCTTACTTCTAGACTCCGTTAAATCATCTGTTTTGTCACTATTGGTAGTAGGTATTTCCATCTTTCCTCCTTGAATTATTTCTTCTTTTTTTTCGGTATTTATAGTTGCTTCCCCCTCCTTGATAACTGTGTTGTTGTCTTTATTAGGAGAATCTATTTCGATAGTGTTATCCGTATCATTCTTTGGAACACCTACTGTTTCATCTGTCTTCATATCAGTCAAAGTGTCATTATGTAGTTGGTCTTGTTGATCTCCCGGAGATATTTCTTCAGGGGCCTTTCCTTTTGTTTCATCTAGAGTTGTTACCTCCTGTTCTGAAGACTCGTCTTTTTCTGTTACTGTGGAAGAGTCATTGTCCGTTTTAACAATCGATACATCTTCCTCTTTTTCTTCTTTTTCCTCCACCTTACTCTTATTGTCATCAATGACTAAACAATTCTCCTCCGAAAGTGGTTCTTCTTCGATTTCCGTTTCCTTGGCTGTGTCTTCTTTAGTAGAAGTTGATGGCTGTTTATCATCATCTAAATTTACGCTCTTAGAAACCTCGCCGTTAGTTGATTCGGTTGGACTCTGTAAGTTTTTCTCTTTTCTTTCATTCATATCTTCAGGATCAGGAATTTCTGGTGCACGTTCTACATTAACAATAATTTCCTCATCAGGAGAATCCATAATATACCCTACCTTAGTATCTTCTGGTTCGTTCTCTGACACATCAACATTAATAACATCTGGTTTCTCGAATAATGTAGTATCGTTAATTGTATCATTCTTCTTTTCCCTTAAAGCATCAGTTATATCTGTTCCTTCGGTCTCAATCCTCTCAGATAGTAGTGATGATGTTGTGTGATGTAAGAGATCGTCTGGCGTATCATTCTCAATACCCTTTATATTATTGGAAGTAGTAGGAGGACTTTTATTCTCAACATCTGTTTCTACTATATCTTTCGGTTTTTCACTCACTTCTTTAATAAATACGGGTTCGATTTGAGGACCACTGGAGTTAACAGGTATCTCATCAGCTGGTTGGTCTTCTGAAGGTTTATCACAAGTGGCATTTTTAACTTCTTCATTAGACGCAATAGCGTGAGTATCTATTGCATTTCTATCATCATCCTCTGTTTTATTTTCCTCTTTAGCGTCAACGGCTACTGGTTCCGCATTGGTTTCTATTTTATCACTGTCAGCCTCCGTTGAAATGTTTAATTCGTCTGCTACATTGAGTGCGATCTTTTCATTTCCATCCTTAGCTTCTGATAATTCGTCTACATTATCGATATCATCGTCAATTTTACTCTCTATTTCATTTTTTGTTGGTGTAACTCTTGTTAAACATGATTCTTTTACCGATTTATCGTCATCTGGTGTTTCTTGAATAGTTTGTTCTCTACTTTCATCTGGTTTCGAAATTTCGTTTTCTTCACTCTCTTCAATTTCTTTTTCTTTTGTTATGTCACCAGCAGTTTCGCCATTAATCAAATTATCTTCATAGGTGTTCTTCATTAAGGTTGTGTCATCTACTTTAGGTTTGTCAAGTTGAGTTGATTCATTTGGAACATTATCTTCTTCGTTTACTTCAACTTTCTTAGGCTTCGCATCAATGTTTTGGTTTGAAATAATATTTACAGGAACATCTTCATTTTCATCACTATTGGTTTGGAGGTATTCTTCTATGCCTACCAATATGGAATCTAATTTGTCCTTTTTGGATTGTGTAGTTTCTGTAGAGTTATCAGTAGCGTCCACGGTAGTATTTTTTTGGGCGTTCTTCTTCTTCTTCTTTCTTCTGTTCCTTTTCTTTTTGGTTGTATGAGTCGTCAGATCGTTTGTTAACGATTGAGCAGCATCAATCATATTATTTAGGTCGATATCCTGGTCATTTGACCCTTGGTTCTGACTTTGGTTTACCATTATGACACTGGTATATCAGAGTGGGTTCTTTATCTACGTTATTCCTCTTACTTAATCTAAAAAAAAGATTACAAAGTAGAATATTCATTAAGAACGAACTTATTATTCATAACTAAATGTTGAAGATATATTCATGGGGTACCGTTGGATTTCAAAAACTTAAATCTATTTCAAACAAAAATTAAAATTTCCCGAAAGGGAAAATTGTTTTTGACAAAAAGAAATGCGCAAGCCCGGAATCGAACCGGGGGCCCAACGATGGCAACGTTGGATTTTACCACTAAACCACTTGCGCTGTTATTTTATATTTTCTTCATTAAGACTTGAATATTAATATTTACGAAGGTTTGAAATGAAAAGTTTAAAACTTTTTATATTTGCTTGTTTTGTAACGTCTAAAGCCCGCAAGATATTTAAAATCGTATTTTATATGAAGATCTTAAGATCAATTTGTTGATGGGATAAAGGTCATTATTTAAGAAATAAATCCATAAAATATGAATAATTTGAGATTTAATCCTATTGCATTAGTTTTCGTAAATTGGAACATTGAATTAAAATATAGAACTTTACTTATGTTGTAAAATGCTCTTTATACCAGAACCAATGTTTAATTTGCTGTTATTTTAGATTTTCTATAAATTCATTCAAACTACGACCATAATTTTAGCACTTCTTTAAGATGTTATCTGTTTATTGTAGTACGCTGTAGATGATATTAGACAATGTGATGAGCATTTGTAAAATCATTTGACTCTCAACTTTAAGTATTAGACTGTGCTCGATGCTTTAACAGGGTATATATTTAAACGTTAGATGGAGGACCGGATGATAAATAATAACCTTAAAAAGTGGTGGTTGGATTTAATACTTAAATGTAATAGAGGAAAATTGAGGAATGAAATGACACGTCTAATCACTGAGAGAACATTATGCAAACTTTACACTACGTCTCTGGGTTGAGTAAAGGACAAAAAATGGTATCTGTACATATTCTATTAGCATTGCTCCTCAATAATTTTCTCCCAAGCAGTTCCATTGTGCTAACTATCTAATACTTCTCAACTCACAGTAATGGGGTCCTGTCACCTCTTGACAATTATCCATAACATAAACAAGCTATCTAGTAGTAAAGTGTTCAGTTATTGGACAATTTCATTTTAATAATATTTTTTTTCGAATGATAGCTCTAATTTTAGAAATAAACTAAACAATACTGAAAGTGAGGTCAAATACAGGTTTTGTTAAGCATTAATGTAGTTTCTAAGAATCCCTCTTCAGAATACAGGAAATGAAATCATCTCTTCCTGATAATTTCCAACAAATAAAATCGAAAAAAAAACAATAAAACTTGAATTGATTATGGAAAAGGGAAAATCAGGTACTCAAAATAGTAAATGTCTCATTTTTATCTATTGGTAAGGTATTCTAACTCACAACGGATTTTAGCTAAAGATAGAAAGAGCTTTTCAGTTTGTGATTTTTTAATTGCACCCGCGGAGTTCTAAAAATTGTGTAGTTTATATTTGTTTAAGACATAGACTATAAAAGAGGAAGCTGAGCACGTCAAAAGGACAAAATGATATTCCTGTCTCACACTTCTATGGTATGAACAAAACTCTGGCTCTCTAAACTATCGCTGGAATTTTGTGATGCAAAATAACGAATTTAATGAGGTCATTAAAAGTACAATGACGTTACTTGTTAGACACGAGAGTGGAGGGGACGCACAACACAATGAGGGGCATCGTAAGAAACATTTTGCAAATGTATATTATGGATACTGGGTCCTCATGATTTCATTTCTATATTTAATATTTATCTATGCCATTAGAAAAATGCCCAACAGGCCATCAGTTTCATCTCTTCATGCACATATTTTAAACAAAATTTACCGGTTGGATCCAATGGTTCATTTACTAATAATATTTATACCTGTATGTTTAACGATTCCAACACATTATTCTTTTGTTCAGAATTTTGGCTTGTATGCAAAAAGAATTGGTAGAATGAGTTATGTCCTGGTCACCTTAAACCTTGTTATCAGTCTGAAACCACCTGTGTTCCTTTACAAACAAGACTATACGTATGATGAATTTATCCCACTTCATAAATGGCTTTCCAGAATTATATTTCTTATTGCCATAGTACATGGATTAGCATTTTTATTCAAATGGAGTTCTGATCAGGCAGTTTCCCTTATTGAAAAATGTTCGAATATCCAAAATTTTATTGGTGTATTCATTGTGTTTTGGATGTTAGTATTGATTGCTATTTCATTTGGTCGCATGAGGAGAAGAAACTATGTCCTATTTTATGTTGGACATCAATTGATAAACTTACTCTTCATATTTGGAACACCGTTGCATGCAAGACCAGGAGTAACCAGTCCATATTTTTGGTTAAATTTTATTTTACTAACTATCCATGGGATCAATAGGCTAGTTGTCTCTCAAGTCGTTAAAATACACAGTATTGTTAAAAATACTAATTCTCAGAATTCAAACTTATTGGCAATCATTCGACTATCGAGAAATGCTGCACCGACAGTATATCCGCCTGGTACGCATATTAGAATAAGTCCCTATGGTCGGTTCAATCCGTTGTACTGGTTATTTCCTTCTCATCCTTATACTATTTGTAGTGCCCCAGAAGAAGCTGAAGTTTCCCTGATCGTCTCTGAGTCTAATTTCAGAATGATGACAGAAAAGGCATACACTATTGTTGGCTCATATCCAAGTATTTTACCTAACGCCTTGATTGAAGATATTGGGCAGCAGATTTTGATTGTGTGTGGTGGGAGTGGGATTGGGTATGGTTTGTCTTTATTCGAATATTTTAAACATAATACAAATGTTGATTACCTTAAACTTATTTGGTTGCTAAAAGATCCAAGTGATCTTGAATTTATTAGGGTAAATTTTGGACTTCCAGACTTGAAAATTGGAGAAAATTTGGAAGTTTATGTCACCGGTAATAATAATTCAGAAACTACTAGTTCGTCAAATGTAAACGAAGAATCTTTTGAGATGCAAACAACTTTGCATACACGTAGAATAAATTGGAATGAAGATTTGAACGATTATATTGAGCGTAAAAATGATAAGAGTTGGATGATTTGTTGTGGTCCAAAAAGTTTGATCAACGATGCTTGTGATTACGCTACTCAAAATGATATCAATTTTATTTCCGAGTACTACTCAATTTAGAATAAGATTCATAGTTTTGTTCCCACACGTCTATATATATATATATAACTGACATCTTACTTATTCTTATAAATAAATATATTATTGAAATTAAATAATGAAATATCAGTAGATTAATTGTATAAATGATTAGTTTTTAATTTTTTTCATTTGTTATCGATCATAAAACGTAATGTTATATTGTTCGAACTAAACAAAAAAACAATAGTGACAAATTTAGTTTTAACAATATGTACGAACCAAAATATTAAAACGACTGAACAATACAATATTATATACAAGTTCATTATTTACCCATTAATACTTTCCCTTAAGATCACAGTGAGTCGTGATCGCTGAAAACAAGATTGACTTGTGCTTTCCTGATTTTATTACCATTACTATACTCCACTGCCATTCTAACATACATATCTTGACAATGGAGCTATACATAGTCATTTGCATACTAGGAATGACAATCAACCAAGTCACAAAACAACTTACCAACTATCTAGTTCTTTTAAATCTTCCATCTTTAATAACTGTAAACGTAAAGCTGCCAACTCCAGTTACGGCCTGAACTTTAGATATACGCTATTCATTTATCACCTCTGCGCGATGTCTTCTGGGCGTGCGTACAAGTTAAGTATATGAGGTTACTGCGCGACATGACTATCACCATCCGTAGAATAGACTCAAATTTGACTGAAACACGAGGTCCGAGAAATAGGGGAAACGAGGAGAAGTCCATATGTTAGCAAATGCTCCAAACCTTTTAAAACAGAACAAAACACAATCGATTTGCAAGTAGTTGAATTTATTGGAGAAGTTAATTTATCATATTATCCTTTTTAGATGCTTAAACGCATAAGTTTAAACAAGTTCTACTAGAATATCAGATAAAAACGTATACAATGGCTGATGGAAGGATCAATTACGATCCACAGTTTAAGCCAGTTCAAAATATCTATGAAGACAGGTTAAGACAGTTCATTGATACAGGTGGAGATTACCATGAATTAAATTTAACAAAATTTTATGACAAGAAGAGAATATCTCTGGATCAAAACCATGTTAAAGTAAAATGGTATCAAGTTCCATTTGAAAAGGGATCATCACCTGTCTCTCCAGATAAGAGACCATCGTGGGAATCTATCATCAAGAGTGACAAGAAAGGTGAATTGAATTTCAAAGATGCCTATAAAGGTCAGCCTTTCGGGCCAAGTTGGTCTACTACGTGGTTCAAAGTTCATTTATCTGTCCCTCAAGATTGGGTGGATACAAATGAACAATTAATATTTAACTTCAATTGCAACAATGAAGGTCTAGTTATTGACCCTGAAACCCTATTACCTCAGACTGCCTTTTCTGGCGGAGAAAGAGCCGAATATTTACTTCCAAAACAAGAGAACGGTGAATATTTCTTTTATATCGAAACTGGTAACAATGGTATGTTTGGATGTGGTTCGGGATCAACAATCAACCCACCAGATGATAACAGATACTTTCATCTAGATTCTGCTGATATTATCTTACCAGATTGGGAAGCGCGTGCTCTGCGTATTGATTTCTGGATGCTTTCTGACGCAGCTAGAGAATTACCAGGGGAAACTTGGCAAAAGCATAGAGCAAGACAATTGGGTAACGATGTAATGACTATGTTTGATCCACAAGATAGGAAATCTATTGAAAAATGTCGTGCATATTTGAAGAAAGAATACTTCGATAAATATACAGATGATAGAGCTGTCTATTTTCAAGGTGACGATAAACAACTAACAAACGTTTATGGTGTAGGTAACTGTCACATAGATACTGCTTGGTTGTGGCCATTTGCCGAAACAAAGAGAAAGATCGTCAGATCGTGGGCTTCACAGTGTACTATTATGAATGAATATCCAGAGTATCAATTTGTTGCCTCTCAAGCTCAACAATTTAAATGGTTATTAGAAAACCATCCAAAGTTTTTTAATGACGTTTTAATCCCAAAGGTTCAAGATGGTCAATTTATCCCTATTGGTGGTTCCTGGGTAGAAAATGATACCAATATCCCAAATGGTGAATCACTGGCTAGACAATTTTTCTTTGGTCAGAGATTTTTCTTAAAGTATTTTGGAGTGAAATCTGACATTTTTTGGTTACCTGACACATTTGGTTATTCATCACAAGTTCCTCAATTATGTCAATTATCTGGATTGAACAAATTTTTAACGCAAAAACTTTCATGGAATAATATCAATAGTTTCCCCCATTCTACATTTAATTGGGCTGGTATCGATGGTTCGGTCTTGTTGACCCATATGCCACCAGGTAACACCTATACAGCAGATTCACACTTTGGTGACGTTTTACGTTCTGCAAGACAAAATAAATCCAACGAATTCTACGGCTCCGGGTTAATGCTTTATGGTAAAGGTGATGGTGGTGGTGGTCCAACTAGAGAAATGATGGAAAAAATGAGGCGTATTAGATCCATGAGTAATAAAAATGGTAACGTCATTCCAAAACTACAAGTGGGTACTTCTGTTGATGAGTTTTATCAAGATATCTTAGACCGTACTAATGATGGTGAGGCATTACCTACTTGGAATGGTGAGTTATACTTTGAATTCCATAGGGGTACTTACACTACCCAAGCCAAAACCAAATATCTAATGAGAAAGTCAGAAATTATTATGCATGACCTTGAATGGATTGCAACAAAGACATCAATACTTTATCCAGATGAGTACAACTATCCTATCAAGCAGATCAATGATTTATGGGAAAATATCTTATTGTGCCAGTTCCATGATGTTTTACCAGGGTCATGTATTGAGATGGTCTACAAGTACGAAGCTGTACCAATGTTAGAGGGGGTTATCACAAAATGTTCTGATTTGATTAAAAAGGCAGTAGAGTTTTTGATGGATAAAACACAAAAGAAAAACGATGTTACTTCTATTTCTACTCTTGACTGGGTTTCTTCAAGCATCGAACAAGATGATCTTGACCAATTTTCTTCACGAGTAAAGGAAACTGAACATAATATTTGCTTGTGCAATGGCAAATTAGAAGTTGTAATCAGTAAAAAATCAGGTGCGATCACCAGTATTAAGGATTTACCAACCTCTTCTCAATTTTTAGATATTAAGAATGGGAGAAACAAGCTAGGTGCCAATCAATTTGTTTTGTTTGATGATAAGCCATTGAATTGGCAAGCTTGGGATACTGAATTATATTCTGTTTCACAATACAAGTATCTACAAGATATCGAAAAAGTTGCAATAATTCGTAATTCTAAATCAGAGGTTGCTGTTGAAGTTATTGTGAAAGTCTCTCCAGGATGTTCAATTAAATCAACAATTTCATTAAAGGCTACGACGTTTAAGACTCAGAACAACAGTAAGATTGATATCAGTACCCTGGTTAGAAATTGGGATGCCAGAAACAAATTTTTAAAAGTTGAATTTCCAGTTAACGTCCGTAGTGAATTTGCTTCTTATGAAACGCAATTTGGTGTCACTAGGAGACCAACAGTCTATAACACATCATGGGATGTGGCCAAATTCGAAGTATGTCACCACAAATTTGCTGATTATTCCGAGTTTAGTAAGGGTGTATCAATTATTAATGATTGTAAATACGGATTTTCCACCCACGGTAATTTAATGAGACTATCATTATTACGTTCTTCAAAAGCCCCAGATGCCCATGCTGATATGGGTACACATCAAATTAATTATGCAATTTATCCACATAGAGGCCAATTAGGCACAGATACTGTTAAGCTTTCCTATGAGTTTAACTATAACAATAGGTATAGCATTCCTTCTGAAGTAGTGGATTCATTTAAAAATGTTGTTAGTATGTTAGGTGACGAAAATGTTATTTTGTCAAACATTAAGAGAGGTGAGGAAGATGCTTCATTAAAATCCAATTATTCTTTGAACCCAAAGAAGGAAAAAAGTGTTATAGTGAGACTTTACGAATCCCTCGGAGGTGAATCTAGAGCTTCTTTGGTTACTTCCTACCCATTGAAATGCGTATGTAAGATAGATAACTTAGAGTTAAAGACCTATGAGAAATGTGACTTTGTTACCGCCGAGGACAAAGATAACGTTACAGAAATTCCTATCGTTTTGAGACCGTTCGAAGTTGCTTCCTACAAGTTAGTCTTTGCATGAGTTTCTTCCATTCACTAAATCAATATTCGCGCTGAGCCGCACATATATACACACATATATCTATATATATGTATATTAATTTGATTACCTTTTATGATATTCCCTTTGCAACTCTACATGGAAATTTCTTATCGGCAAAGGGAAGCGTTGGAACGTAGAAGAGGCCGTTCTTAATGGTAAATGATAGACTCCGTCAAAAGACGTAATAATATGAGCAATATAATAGACAAGTAACGGGATTAACAGAAAGTAGAATGTAATACCCAAATTACACAGAGAGTTGAACATAGACACATGTGAGATAATAGTACCAACAACATACATACCTTCCGGTGATAAATATGAAATATCAAAAACACTGTGGATTGTACTAAACCTTAGTACACAATATAAAGAATCAAGGAGAACTATAAAACAAGAGGAAGGATACTGAACCTTACTATGGTAAAGCTCTGATGCCACTGCGAGAGATCAATTGAACACAAATTGCTGAGAACAGGTGGACGGGTAACGTTAGAGAGTCCGGAATGACCACTAGTATTCACCAGAAACCAAAGGTATAAAAAGGAAACGGTTTGGAACAAAATTAAGAATAGTAATTTCATTCACTTTTGAATATTTGCATTGCCATTTTATATATTTCATACATAGAAAAAGATACACAGAATCCTCTATAGATTACATGTATACAACAAACAACTATCTAATCCAAGCAGCGTGTCTTTTGCTAACAACCAAGATCTTCACGAAGCTAGGGCCGAAAATAATACAGATTCTTCGGCTTTCAGTTTATTCCAAAAGAAAGTTCCCATTTTTTTCTTTATAAAGGGAGTTGGCTTGATTCTTGGGACTCGAAGGGGATATTAAATATAACTACAAACATACTAAAATAATATAAAATTGAATCAAAGAAACTCAATTGTTTCATAATAAAATATTAATAATGTCAACATTTACTGAACTAAATTTGCAGAAACATATTAGATTTTTGAAGAGACATCTTTCGCTATTACCGGCATCGCATCAACACTTTGATGTAAACTTATTGGCCATTGTATTCTATGCACTGGAATCACTTTCCGCCCTTGGTCAAGATATTGAAACTGCATACTGCGATAATCTCAAATGGATACGGAACAACTATGTTTCTGAAACAATAGGAGATGAGAAAATATCTGGTTTTGTTGGGGGTCAAACTTTGAATATACCAGATACAATTACATTAAGCTTACCAAATACTCTTTTTGGATTACTGACACTTATCTTACTAAACGATAAGGAGTTTTTTGACAAAATTGTGGATATAGAATCAATATGTAGGTTCGTATCTTCATGCCAACTTAAGGAAAATGGAGCGTTTGTATCTGTATTAGATTATAAGTCAGGTTCACCTTCTGTTGTCGACTCACATGATCTTCGCTTTAGTTACATAGCTGTTACGATATTATATATACTAGGATGTCGTAAAGAGGAGGACTTTGCAAAATATATCGACGTCCGGAGTTTAGTTAGTTATATTATGAGTCAATCATGCTCTTCTGGAGGGTTTGGCGCATATGGCGAACCTCATGCTGGATACACGTCTTGTGCTGTATCTGCATTAAAATTGTTAAACAAGTTGGATTTAATCCAAAAGAGTCAGAAGGAAAGAACAATCGATTGGTTATTGGAACGACAAGTCAGTAATGAAGGTTTTATGGGGGTACAGGATATTTCCAACGAATGCTACGACGAAGAAGACCATGGTGGATTTCAAGGAAGAGAAAATAAATATGCCGATACATGTTATGCGTTTTGGTGTTTGAATTCTCTCAGTATACTAGAACCTAATTACAAGAAATTATGTAACACTGAATTGGTTAAGAAATATCTATTAGACAGAACCCAGGATGTCTTAACAGGTGGTTTTATGAAAAACGATGAAGAAGATGCCGACCTGTACCATACTTGTCTTGGAATTACAACTTTGAAGTTGATTGAAGGTGAATGCAATGGATTACTTTGCATTCCGAGTCATGCTGCTCGGAAATTCAATTTGTAAATAATAGAACATACTATGTGGATCGCCAAAAACAAAAGAAGGTAAGTATTACGATCAATATATCATACTGAATTTTATAATAATTAATTATAAATACGATAATATATCTTTTAATGATAGCCTATATACTGTAGGCGCTATATATTTTGTTGAAATTCCTTGCTCACAAATCGTGAGAATTTCCTTGAAAGGACCATTGAGCCATATCGAGTAAAAAATCATTGACTTACTTTCAATCACCCTGTTAATTTTTTTAAAAGAATCGAAATTTTGTAATTCCTGTGCTCCAATTACTTTCAAATCACAGGAGATTCCCGTACCAGTATATTTTGTATATGATTCTTTGAAAGACCAGTAATATGCAAATAATTCTTGGACATTTTCCTTCGAAGCATTTCGCAATGTAGTGTATTCTTCAAGATTAAAAATATCTCGAAATAAAATCAGATCATTTGGATCATTCAAATCTTTCACAGATGCAAGATCTATTCCAATATATGGAGCTGGGCCACATGTTGTTCTTTTTAAAAACATTGCTACATAATTTTCTCCATTTGTCATACTAAACGTAATATTGTCGTCGTCTTGCTGTAGTAATATCGGTTTACCATTTTCAATAGAACCAAATCGCAGAGATTTAATTGGTATACCGCTTATAGTTGAACACCCAAATAGCTGAAGCAATCTATTACAAAGTGTTCTCTTTCTGTCGGCATCAATTTTTTTATTCAGGACTCGAGCTCTCCAACTAATTGGAAGAGCTCTCAATGCCATTTCAAACTGGAATTCATCACTTAACTCATTGGAATTTATATCCAGAACCAAAATAGCATCTATATCATTTCTGGCTTTCGTATCTTCTATGAAATTTTCCATATAGCACTTCCCCAAATATCCTTCTGATAGGCGATTAAATCAGGAGGTATATTGATTATTTATGAGTATATTCCACCAAAAAAACGAATAATTCACTATGAGATTGATATTCATTCCATATTAGAATGATACTCACTGCCTCATCCATATCTTCAAATTTTATTGCATCACCTCTCTGTTACCTATTCACTGTTCGTTTACCCATACGCTGTTAGCGTACACTGTTAGCCGTCCCTCTTCCCCCCTCCAATGAAAAATAGATTATATTTGGGATATTCCAACTTGCGCTGTAAAAATATGTTTTCTGAAATAGGGCAAGTTAGAAGGAAAGGGTAAAAACCCAGAGGACAATATATATATATATATATACTGTTAGAGAGCTAAAATAAAATAAAGGTTTTTTGTTCAACTGTTGACCTAAAAGCTTAACAAATTGATCGAGCATTGAAGGAGTAAACTTCCTATCCTATACTGAAACCTACCAATGAGTCAACCTCAAGACGGAAGCGAAAGACAGAAACTGTTCGAGTCAGCGGTTTCCTTCTTAAATGATACATCTGTTAGTGATGCACCTCTGGCAATGAAGATTAAATTTCTGGAGAAGAAAGGATTAAGCCAAGATGACATCGAAGAAGCATTGAAGGTAGCAACAGAGAAAAAGAATACTCAAATACCAACAAACAGCAATAGCAATAACAGCAAGGACATATATGCCACAGATTCTCAAAACTTACAATATCAACAAAGAGCCAACGGAATCACTGATGGAGAAAGAGGCAACTACCAATATACATACCAGGCATTACCACCTGTGGCTCCCCAAAGAGATTGGAAGGATTATTTCATTATGGCCACTGCAACAGCTGGTCTGTTCTATGGACTCTTTGAAGTATCAAAGCGGTATATTGCTCCAAATATTCTTCCAGAGAGTAATACAAAATTAGAACAGGATAAAGAGGAAATCCAGAGACAATTTGGTAAAGTCGATAAGCTACTTGAAGCCATTGATCAAGAGCAAAGAGAATTTAGAGAATTAGAGACTAAAAAATTAGAAGAATTAGATACTACGATCTCTGACCTCCAACGTACTTTGGAACAGACTACCCAAACAAGGGACACTATGGAAAATGATTTCAAGATGTTAAAGTTGGAATTAAATAATTTACAGAGTGCTGTTGATAAATTTGTATCGGGTAATGATACAAAGTCCGAATTAAATCAAATGAATAATGAAATTTTATCCCTAAAGTCCTTAATCAAGAATTCCAGTTTTGCTGACGATTCATTAAAAATTAGAAAACAAAGTAACACACATATCGATACTAGCAATAAAAGTGATATAGGTACATCAACTAATCCTAGCCATTCGATCAAGAGCCCTATTAGTGGACTTCCTGGTGTAGAAGCGATTCCTTCTGCAGCTGAATTACTTGCAAATATGAATTTCGAAACTTCAGAGGAAGATAATGTAGGGACCAAATCTGAGGAACCCGCTTGGAAGAAATCCAGAGCAGAAATGACATCTCATTTACAAGACAAGGACAATCTACCAGAGATAGATAATTCCAAAACTGACATCCCCGCATGGCAGGCTGCTATGGAGGCTGCACAAAATATTGATGACCAATAGTAACAGTAATTACAAGTACATACACATCTATATAATTTCGCATTATACCTAACATTTTACACGACACCGTATCATCAACAATTTTCTTTAACGAAATGTTTACTGTAACTATTCAATGACACACTAATATATCTTGAACCAAGTGAGAACCCCCCAAACTTCATCGTCAAATTCATCTATTACTTAATCTGCTAAGTATGTTATTATTTTCCTCATTATCATTTGACACGTTTTGCAGGGAAAACAGCTGAACCACTCACCTTAACAATTAATATTTACTCCACGGACTCTTTTCCCGTAAAGCAAAAAAAATATATGTAGAGAGAAACAGACAGTCAAAAAAGCTTAACGATTATATACAATCAAAAGGTGAAATAAAGCAAGAAAAAGAGAAACTATTGAGTTGGTGCATTCAGAAGGTTCGAAAGTAGCATCGAAAAGAAATATAGATAACGAACAATTGGTTTGAAAGAATCTGAAAATATTTATTTCGAAAGATTGTTGACATTCGAACGTTTATCTCCATATTGTGTCAAACTTATTAGACATTGCAAATACTCACAAGATCTATTTTTCTATTAAAGATGACAGTTTCACTGCAGGACAAGTCTGTCTATACTTTAATTCTTAATTGTGTCGATAAACAAGTTCCGGTACCTGAGTTTTTAAACCTTTACAAAGAATTTTATAGTGAAAAATTCTCTACTGTACTTGGGAACGATGATTCCGAAAATGATATAAATAATACCATCGAGGTATCAAATAATCTCTCCGATGATTTTGTAAGATTACTGAATTCCAAGAAGCCCATTGTTATTGCAGAATATTTAACCGAGATTCTCTTTGGTAATTATAATAGCGATTTGATTAAATCATTTATGCCTAAATTATCTTCTGTTCATGAAAATAAAATGCTAGTTCATTTCTTTTCAAGGGCGTCACTTCATTTTAGTACTTTGAACGATAAGTTAATCATAGATCAATTGAATAAAGATCTTCCAGACTCTATAATTCCAAATCTTTTTACTTTAGAAGTGAATTTAACTGACAATGAATTAACCGTTACATTATTCAAATTTTTGCAATCAATAGTAAATTTGGCAACAAGTCCAATTATTTTATCTACACAATATAGTGATGGATCACAAGACCTTCTACGAAAACTATCCAAAGTTAATAAACTTTTGTATAGAAGAATTTCTCAAGTATTCGATTCTAAAATATCGTTTAAAGATTCCAAACACCTAATAAAGGATATAAGACAAGAATACATCAGTTCACCATCAATTACATCTCCACAATTTATTTCAAGTCCTTTGTCAATGATGAAAACACCGATGTCGACTTCAGGTCCTTCGGCTGCAAAATATAAAGATCTAAAACTGTTACGTTATTATAAAAATATATGGTTGAATAATAAGATCATTAAATGGGAACCTATAAACTCTGATTTTTTGGCTAGATATGCTTCGATATCAAATTCAATATTTCAAGAAAATGCACCATCACCTCAGATAACAGATGCTTTATTAACTGACTTAATTGAAACTTCATTTACCTGTTTTGCCCAATTCGTAAGTAATAAGCAATATCATCAAACAAATGCTAATTTAAATTTATTAGAAAGACAATGGATAATTTTTATTTCTAAACATTTGCCAATACTAGTGTTGAAACATTCATCTAGTAATCCTCAAGTAGTTACAAATGCTCTTGAGAAGATAGATACAAAAGTTATAAAAGCAATCAAAGCATACTATTCTGAAAAGGACGACATGAAAAATAGAAATGAGGATTTGTTTGAAGATTATCCAACCGCAAGCCTTGACATAAGGCACGATTTTATCAAATCTTTGATAATGCTAGGGTTACAACCCCCTCAATTTATAAATGACTTCCTTAGAGATGACCAAATTCTAGATCCTAAATCATTACCAACAACGGACGATTTGTTCATACAAACACAACAAGGTACACAAGAAATTGTTTCAAACATTCCTACTTTTATTACCGATTCCTTAAATTCCTTGGAATTACAAACAATCCTGAATCATAACAATGAACCAAATAATGGAATTCATCAGATCTTCTTAAATTTCGAAAGTATATCTCCAACTAAACAAAAGGAATTTTCAGAGAGTATATTGATAACTTTATCCGAAGCTATTGATTCATGTAATTTTACTATCATTACAAAACTTTGTGCTCTGCTAAGTTTTAATTTCTCGCATTCATTAACATCAATTTTGTCATTTTGTACCCCTAGAGAGTTTGTGAAAATAGTTATGAAGTTTGTTGATCAACAATGGTCATCAGCAATAGTAACCAAAAAGGAAGAATCTGATGATTCTGATGAGGTGATCAACATGTCATTATCATTCAGTTGGGCCTTATTACTACTGATCAATCTAAACCAAATCTACGATATATCTTTGGTTAACAATTCATTAAATGATGGTAATACCAATTTAGAAAACTCATTTTCGATTACATTTATCAGTAGATTGTCTGATATACCCGATGAATTTATTATTGAAGGTGGTAATCCAAAGGATACCGAATCACAGTTAAAATCGCACAAATTGATTCAAGCCTGGTTATCCGATTTATTCGTGAACGGGTCAATATCTGACAATCTAATGCAAAATACTGACGCAAAACAATTGGCCAGTACAGTCCCGTTTATTTTTAAACAGGTACTTTATGCGTTAGAAATCAATGCTGTCGCTGACTTTGACAGTATAATTGGAGGTGTTGAATACTTTCTTCAACCTTTCATGCTATCTGGTTTAATCAAAATTAGTTTTTGGTTAGAAGATTACCTATTACATTTAAAATATGCTGATAAACAAGATGATCTGATTAATAAGGTGTTTAAAATTCTTAATACAATCTTTAATCCTAATACTTTGAATGAGGACTCTCAAACTTTCCATAAAGCTGTTTTAAGAATTAACGCAGCTAGATTACTGAAAATATTTAGACAATTCAAGAAAGAACCACAAGCCAACTATGGCGTATACTCATCAGATTCACAAGAACATTCTGTGCTAGACACACTTATTGACAAAATGGTATCTGTGCTGGGATTTTCTCCAACATATTATGTCGATCCAAGGTTATTAAGTTCTGATTCTGGTTACTCACAACAAAAACCCCTTGGTTATGATAGGTTCATGATATTTAACGAGAATCCAGTTAATAAAATTATGGCTAACCAAATTAATTCGTTTTGGAATTTACATAGCAGCACTTATTACAACTTAGATTACCTAAAAGAAGTAATCAATTTCGTTACGCCGATTCGTTTCCTAACAGATGTAATCCAGACATTAGATTATAAATTAAACACATATGGTGTACCAGCGATTAGAAACAAAATAACATCTATTGAATCAGAACACGTTTTTGATTATCTGTTCTATTTCTTAGTTTTATTTGATTGCGAAACCCAAATTGATGCAGCCAGAATGATTCAACTCTTCGAGGATGATTCAGACTACAATGCGGTCGGCAATAATGAGTTGCCACAAGCTTCACTGCATGCAGAGGAAAATAATTCTACAAAAAACCCTGTCAAAACAGAAGATGAGAGCCATACAAAAGCTGAAGATATACAGGACGATGACATCGATATGCTATTTGGTGAAAACGAAACAAGTACTCATATTACCGAAGAAGAAGTTAGAATTATCGACGATGTATTCACACCCAAGAAATTCGATGATGCGAGAGCTCTTAAACGGAATTCGTTTGGTATCATTCTACATGATCTGAAATCGTTACACAATATTTCATATAAAAATGGTAACACCTCAAAGGATGAATATGATAGAATTAGTAAGTATCATGACAAATATCTGCACATGTTAAAAGCATGTGTATTTTGAAATATCAAAATTGGAATGAACGTTAATAGTTGATTTAGTTATATACATCAAATATACCGGATATTATAATATTACACATATATATATACGTATTTTAATTTTTTTTACGTTACAACTTTATCTGAGGCTTCAATGGTCTTAACATTGTGCTCTTGAGTTTTACCTTCCATAACAACTTGTTGGACCTGCTCCTTTTGTTTGGCTCTATCTCTCATTCTCTCTTCAATAGTGTCCTTGACCAGTAACCTATAAACGGTAACCTGTCTGGTTTGACCTAATCTATGTGCTCTGTCCATAGCTTGGGAATCGATCGTTGGATTCCAATCAGAATCATAAAATATAACGGTATCTGCAGCTGTCAAATTGATACCCAAACCACCAGCCCTTGTACTTAACAAGAAAACAAAAATTTCAGGTTTGGTTTGCCAATCATGTACCAAATCACGACGGTCTTCCAACTTAGATGAACCATCCAACCTAATGTGAGTGTATTGTCTGTATGTTAAATATTCTTCCATTAGATCCATCATCTTGGTCATTTGGAAATAAACCAACACTCTATGACCCTCTTCTTTTAACTTAACTAACAATTGATCTAACTTTTTCAACTTGGCAGATTCTGTGATAAATCTATCCATAGATGGCATGGAAATATTTGAAGAGAATGTACTGTTTAATGCTTTTGGATACATGTTTGTCTTTGGGAATTTATGCACTGGTATATGTTTATGGATTAACATATTGTATTGAGTGGTTGTAGGTATATCAGACAATGCCTGTGATACGACAGGATCAAACAACTCACGTTCAATTCTATTTGTAAAATTACTTGAACCTAGAACTCTTATATTTACAGGTGGAGATGCTACTGCTGGATGATATGCTCTATGAAATGTATTCATGTATTCTCTAAAATAGAGGTTTTCTCTGACGTTCATTAATGAGTCTAGAATACCTCCTGTTGTACGATTTGATAGTGCGACTAAACGTTCTGTATTGCTGTTTAATAACAGACTTGAAATAAAATTGTCCTTAGTACGTTCAATATTATTGAAATTTAAGTTAATTGCTTGTTTTAGAATGTCAGTATTCGACGAGAAGGTTAATTCATTCATAGAACAACCAGTTAGTCTTTCCAAAAATTCACATAATTCTCTATTTTGAGTTGGGTTGAGAACATTAAAGGTACATTCATGAAGTTTCTTCATAGAACCCACATTATTCTGGTAATTTGGTAATATTATGTCTTCATAAACTAATCTTGGTAGATTATATGCAATGGGGTTACGTGAAGAATAATTAAGATCAACCCAATTAGTGTAATTGTTAGCGTTAATTGAGCCGAGAGGTGTTGCATTGGTTTCTGTATTGATGCCAGCAATGTTAGCACTACTATTATTTACACTATTGGTGATAGTATTAGTACCATTGTTTCCACCAAATTTCAACATAGAACTAGACTTACCAAAGGTAACGAATGAGAAAGGTGACTCAATATCTGCTCTCTCGAAAAGATCAGGGTGGTTACAGACTTTTCTAAATTGCATAACTGTATTAATAAGATTTTGATCACCCTTGAATTCATCATTACCGGCTGCATTTTCAATTGCATCATAACCGCCGGAAAATTGCGATCTCAATACATTGTATAACTTGGCTTGTCTTTGTGTCAAATCACACAGGACATCTATTTCAATCTTATCCCCCAGTTCTGATTGAACATTTTTCTTAATACGTCTCAACATAAATGGTTTTAGAATCATATGTAAACGTCTTAACTGTTGTTGGTTTAATTGAGTGTTGGATTCTGCATGAGATTCAATATCCTTAGCAAACCATTCACTAAATTCATCATGAGAGTCGAATAGAGATGGCATGATGAAATGTAACAAAGCCCATAACTCTTGCATATTATTTTGGATAGGAGTACCCGTTAATAATAGTCTATTACGACAGTGGAAACTTAACAAGTTTTTCCACCTAGAAGACTGTGAGGATTTAATAGCTTGTGCTTCATCCAGTATCATGTATTGCCACTTCATCTTCTGTAAGTATGAGACATCTGAAACAACCATCTGGTATGAAGTGATCATTACATGGAATGGCGCATCTTTCCCATATCTTACGTTTTTCCTATCCCAAAACTTTCTCAGAATTTTACGGTCATTAGCGTTACCCCAATATGGTAATATTTTAAAATCTGGAACAAATTTGGCAATCTCATTAACCCAATTGTGTAAAGTCGATGCTGGTGTCACAACTAGGAAAGGACCCCAAATGTTATAACGTTCTGCAAGGTGAGCAAGAACCGATATGGATTGGACGGTCTTACCTAGACCCATTTCATCTGCTAAGATACCATTAATACCTTGATCATATAGATTAGCCAACCAATTCAAACCCTTTAATTGATATTCTTTTAACGTACACGATAACAAATTTGGTTGCTCGATAGTAATTTCACCAAGAGATGTTGGATTCTGGAAGTTAAGCTCATCCTCATCTTCCTCATCAGCGTGCGATTGTGTATCGAATTGTTTGGCTTTTGCTCTTGTTTCTGCCAAAACGTTGGAAGCATTTTCAGCAGCCTTAAGTCTTAGATCTTCATCGTTTTCGTTATCAAAATCTATCTCATGGAAATCATTTTTCTTTGATGAATCAGTCTGTTCAAGATCAACATCATTGGTGCTTTCTCCCCCGTTTTCTTTACCTTCATATTCATCTGTTTTAATCTTTCTTCCAATGAAATGTGAGTATAACTCTGTCTGTGTAAGTAAGAAATTCAATTTTTTGGCTTGTCTCTTTGACTCTCTGGCATCTTCCTCCTTCTTTGCTTGTTCCAGAGCTATCTTTTCTTGTTTCTTCTTAATTTCACGTTCATCACGTTCATTCTTCTTCCAGAAGTTCGACATTTCCCTTATACCTCTTCTAGCCCTCGTTTGAAAATCTTTTAATTGTTTGAAATTTCTAGATTGCCATTTTCTTGCTTCCCTTGCACATAGTGAGGATGTCTTCTTAAAATTTGTAGCTTTTATAGATTGCATTTGTTGTAACATCCTAACCATCTTATTGGAATCCTTTCTTGCTAAATCCTTCCATATAGTGATGTAGGTGTTATCATAATGACGTTGAATAGCTCTGGCTTCCTTGGCAGACATAGTCATACCGTAAGTTGGTAGACCATGATCAACTACAGGAGGTTTATCTGTTGAACCTTCAATGCCAGATTCTTCATCGTCGTTTTCACCTTTAACAGAAGAATCATTTAACTTCCGTCTCTTTCTACCTTGACCATTATTACCATCTGCTTGTTTGGCTAATGCTCTAGCCTTCATGTCAGCTGCTTTTCTCTTCATTTCTGCTTCTTTTTCTCTTAGACGTTTTGTTTCGTTAACTAAACGCTTTAATCTCTTTGAATGATATTGTTTTAAAGTGATCTTAACTTCTAATATTTTTTTAGCAGGTTTATATTCCACAACAAGGGCATTGGTAAATCTTCTTTTCTTAACTCTTGGTATCTTATTCTTATTACACATTCTTGTCAATTCACGTACAATTTTAGATCTATCGCTATCTAATGTAATAATTTTATTATTCGATGAACGATGTTCTGATTTAACATTTTTCTTATTAGCATCTGGATCAAAATCTTTATCACTAGTTTCTCCATTATCTTCATTAATTTGTTCCATGAGCCTAGAATGTAATATATCCTCGTTTTCATCATCACCTTCTGCATCTTCATCTTCATCTTCTTCATTTTGATCAATAATACTACTATCATTAATATGAGAGTATCGATCTTCATCTTCGCCATCTGTACCAGATACTATCATACTAGAATCTACATTATTTACTCCATCTGAAATACGATCATTTTTAAAAGTTTCAACTTTAATTATTCTACCATCTTTACCATTAGCTGGTAATATTTTGACAGGTGTTGATGCAATAAATCTTCTAACTTTCCTATTCCCATTTAATGTTGTTGTAGTTGGTGTTGAACCATTGGATAATTTTGATCTTTTATTATTAATTTGAGTTCTTCTAATATTTTGTTTTGTAATTTTAACCTTATCAACAACATCTTTTATCATTTGAGCACGACTATTTTTATAATTCATATAATCTTTCCATTCAATTTTATTTTCAGATATTAAATCATATAATTGTTTAAATGAAAAATTATTATAAGTATCATGAATATTCCAATCAACTTTTGATTGATAATTCCATTCTGAAATAAGTTCAAATTCTTGAAAATTAAGAAATTTCCAGTCTTGATATTCTAATTCAATAATATCTCTTTCTTGTATTTTAGTAAACTGTTCATTTAATTCATCGAGAAATTGTTGTTTTGGATCAATTTTCACATTTGGAGCAATTACAGTCATTGTTTCATCTGAATTTTTTGTATTATTATTGTTAATATCTTCAATTTGTTTCTCTTGAGATGATAATATTTGTGGAACAATATCCTGATCATCATTATTTAATAATGCAGATAATGACATTCTTCAAAATAATCAATAGTCTATATTTTTTTTAATTTTTCACTGTAACCTAATATTGGTTCAGTTAATATAATATGAGATCAATATACTATGTTATTCTTTTCTTTTAAATGCAGTATAGAGTTAGAAGTTAAAAATATTAAAACCTGGTTTCAACTAACTTCTTACCTAAAATAAAAATAATAAAAAACACACAGTATATACACCACACAATCCAATGATATAGTTCGCGTATTTATTACGATATTATCAAATAATTTTTTGATATTGATATCCTATACAAAGGTTCTACTAGTATTGTGATAAGGCCAAGAAAGTTTCTTAAGCAAAAAAAATTAAGAATCATTAAAAGAAATATTACGTGTCTTAAAGTTCATGTAACTTACCTTAATTAAAATAATGTGTTTTACCACTTCTAAAAATTAATGTTCATTATTATTACAATATTTTTTTTCTTCCCTTTCTTTGAGGAATGCGATAATTGCAACCTTCCTTCTTCCCACAAAATTATTCTCAAACTTTGTCCTTTTTCCTTTTCTTTACTTTCTGTTTCTTACTTCTCTTTACTGAATAAAAAAAATCAATTGTTGTGTTTCTCCCTTTTCCTTTCCATTTCATTGCGGTTAGTTTTCCAACCTTTTCCGATTCTCTTTCTCTCTCTCTGTCTCTCTCTGTTTCTCTTCATTTATTCTTTCACGCTTAATTTTGGCATGTTTTTTTCTGATTTTTTTTGCTTTTTAAGTTGGAATTTTAATGACAATTTGATCACATAATACGCAGCAGCAAATTAAGAGAAGAAGAACAAGATATACAATATGATATGCACGACACAGAGTGCGAGTTTCAGTAAGTTACGCAAATAACGAGCGAGCGAACATGAGAGAGAGAGAGAGAGAGAGAGAGAGAGGCAGAGTAGTTCGTTCAAGAGATAATATTGTGTTAACTACATGAGGATATATTTTTATATCAGTCCAACTATATGATAATAGTAGTTGCATACAACTACAACAGTAAAAACATCCAGACCGTCTCTAATTAAATACAACATCTTGATATTAATATTAGACACCTTCAAAATTAAAATCTTGAAAAACCCTTTGAAACTACTTGGTTTAACGTACCTCAAATTTTTAATTGGACCCCGCACGTGACTGGCTGTCCACGGTGTCACTTACTACGAGTATCCAGACATCTTAACTATCGCCCCACCAACAAAAAAAATGTAAGTATGAATCATCGGGCTTCACCAAAAGTGAAAAAAATACACAAATTAGATTTTTGCAGTTAAATGCTCGTAGAGATGGAGAAATTTTGAAAAATTAATTTATTTAGCGAAGGTATGTAGGTAAAAAAAATAATCTGAAAACTAAATTGAATCTTTCGTTATGTAATTAACAAAGGAAACCCGTCATTTGAGAAATCACTATATAACAACAGAATAAAATCATATATTTATTTATTCATTTATTTAATAGATTAAAGAAATAGTTGTTAAGTTGTTATTCTTAAAGGAATCTTATTAACTTGTAGAAGATAACATTAAATACCAACTACTAATATGTCTACTTTCGGTAAATTATTCCGTGTTACCACTTACGGTGAATCTCATTGTAAATCTGTCGGTTGTATCGTCGATGGTGTTCCTCCAGGAATGTCATTAACAGAAGAAGATCTACAACCACAACTGACTAGAAGAAGACCTGGTCAATCAAAACTATCTACTCCAAGAGATGAAAAGGATCGTGTTGAAATTCAATCTGGTACAGAATTTGGTAAAACTTTGGGAACTCCAATCGCTATGATAGTGAAGAATGAAGATCATAGACCACATGATTACTCAGAGATGGATAAATATCCAAGACCAAGTCATGCTGATTTCACTTACTCTGAAAAATATGGTATTAAAGCATCTTCTGGTGGTGGTCGTGCATCTGCAAGAGAAACTATTGGTAGAGTGGCAGCTGGTGGTATTGCTGAAAAGTTTTTAAAACAAGTCTCCGATGTTGAAATCGTTGCGTTTGTTACTCAAATTGGTAAAGTTAAAATGAATAGAGATCCATTTGATCCAAATTTCCAACATATTTTAAATACTATAACTAGAGCTAAAGTTGATTCAATGGGATTCATTAGATGTCCCGATGCTTCTGTAGCTGGTGATATGGTTAAAGAAATTGAACATTATAGAGGTCAACAAGATTCTATTGGTGGTGTTGTAACTTGTGTCGTCAGAAACTTACCAACAGGTCTAGGTGAACCATGTTTCGATAAATTAGAAGCTTTATTAGCTCATGCTATGTTATCTATTCCTGCATCAAAAGGGTTTGAAATCGGTTCTGGTTTTGTTGGTGTTTCTGTTCCAGGTTCTAAACATAATGATATGTTCTATTTCGATGAAGAAACTAAAAGATTGAGAACTAAAACAAATAACTCCGGTGGTATACAAGGTGGTATCTCAAACGGTGAAAATATTTACTTCTCCGTTCCTTTCAAATCTGTTGCTACTATTTCTCAAGAACAACAAACTTGTACCTATGATGGTCAAGATGGTACTTTAGCCGCTAAAGGTAGACATGATCCTGCCGTCACTCCACGTGCCATTCCAATTGTTGAAGCCATGACCGCTTTGGTTCTAGCCGATGCTCTATTGATTCAAAAATCTAGAGATTACGCTAGAAGTGTCACCCATTGATAATTTTTAGTTATGAAATAAATTAGTTTCTTCTTTATTATCAAGCAATCCCCATCGTGTATAGATCTTTACGTAGTTATTATCGTATATTATGAATAAATTAAAATAATAAGAATCAAATTCAAGTCTGTTTTAAAACGTCATCTTTTTTTTTTCTATTATAACATTTTGCAATAGTACCATTATTATTATGATTATTGTTATTGATTTGTGATGATTTATTATTAAAAAAGTGTTAGATACATAAAAATATTTTATACATATTTAAACTGTTTATAATTCTTCAACAACGTTACCCTTGGAGGAAACGTAGATACCATCCAAGAACTTACGGATATCCTTGTTTCTGGCCTTACAGATTTGTTGAATATCAGCAGCGTTTTGAGAAACTTCTTCAACAGAGTTACCAGATAGAACGATTTCATCCTTTTGAGTGGTGGAGAATTCAATTTCAACACCTTCTCTGACTGGAACTAATCTAACCTTCTTGTCACCTAGATAGTTTCTGATTTCGATGAATTTCTTACCTTCGTTTTCAACAACGTTAACGTTGATTGGGAAATGCGCATAAACGTATCTCATCTTGTACTTGTAACCCTTGGTGACACCAGTGATCATGTTGTCAATCAAAGACTTGACGGTTCTTAGAGCAGCAACGTGCTTTCTGTCACCGTTGTGAACAGTAACCTTAATCAAGGTGTTGTCAACCTTAGTGAAAGTAACATCAATGTGCTTTAGGTTCTTGGTTAGAGTACCTCTTGGACCAGTGACCTTGATGACTCTGGACTTGATGGCAACAGTGACCTTTTCTGGGATAGCAATGGATTGTTCGGTTTGAATGTACTTCATTTTTGGTTTTAATCTGCTGATATATTATCTTTTCCTTTAAGAAGAAGGCAATAGCAAATAAATATATATTGACTATTATATATTAAGTATTACAATTATTTACATACAATTCAATTTTTTGATATATGCTGTTAGTATTACCGTAAGCATTGCAAGACTTACGAAACATCTAAGATTGCATAACATTTACTGTAAGTTGGTTTACAGAGTTCACTGCACACTATTACTATTGCATAATCACTACAATTGCAATACGTCTCTTCACTTCCTATGTGATGAACTTTCGAGGTTTCTACGGCATTATGAAAATACTAACAAAGGCTTCTATATTTTTTTTTTGTTAATTGCGCGATGTCTAATATTTTTCACTTTCCATCGCGCTTCATTTTAATAGAAAAACACGTAGAGTCTAAATAATTAATTTTCAAATCAAATTTCTTAAAATATTATTAAAAAAAAAGTATTATTTGAAAAACACCCAGACATAAACCCAAACACCTGAGAAAAGCAGTCACAAAACACAGTGATTTAAAAAAGACATACAAATAAACAAAATCCAATAAGTTTCCAATTTATATATTTTAATGAGATACATTCGAGAAATATACATATATGCTATATGGATTAATGTACGATTTTTTCTTATATATTTTGTAATGCATTTGCGATATCAGGTGCATACCTTTCAACTAATTTTATCCCTTCTTGCATTAGTTTGGGAGAGAACCCTTTCGTATTGGTATCATTCAAAGCGAATGTTCTCATTGGGGCGATTGTTCTTCCATTTATCCAACTGATCATGAGACCATTATTTGCCACCTCACTCTCATTTGCAGCAGGATCTATAAATATATTGTTTTTAACTATACCTAATACAAATACCAAAGGTGGATCGACCTCTAATTTAACTAAATCATAGTCATGAAACATTGGTAATTCTTCCACTTCTAAATCATCAAAATTTGAAACCAATTTTGGTAATGATGTACAATTTAAGGAAGAATATATACCAAATGATATTAAGGATACAGGGTTTGAATTGGAAGAAATAACTAGCACATCGATGAACAACTTGAAACTATATTTTTTAGTTAATTGTAATTTTTTAATATCGATATTCCGCAATAATTTGTTAAACAATGATGTACAACTTTCAGTAATTAAAGAATCATCTCTTTCACCTGCAATTTCAACCTCTATTTGTAAAAGGTCATCATCAATAGTATGGTCAACAACTTTGGCTTTTACACTCACTATACATTCACTACCATCACTTGCTATTATTCTTGAAGAACCATTAGAACTTGGTAAAAAGTCTGTGTATATTTCGATAGGTCTAAATTGATGTTGTTGTCTACCATCTGGTCTAATCGACGGACTAGATGCTAATGAATCGTATAGATATGATTTTTCTGCGACAGATAATGTCATCTTGAATTTATTAGTCAAAAAGCACAATGGGCGAATTAGTAAAAAAGGACTTCTAAAAGGACACTTCAAATAAGTAGGAGGAGCTTATAAGTGTTACGATGCTAAGTGGTAACGGTTAGTACAAGTTCTTTGCTTTCTATTTTGGTAAAATAAACTTAATACTCCTTTTAATTTGGTATATTTTTTTGCCCTCATCTTGAAATTTTTTATATTTGAAAAATTGTAACTGATTTCTTAGGGCGGCGCGCTTCCTCTATTTAGGGCATGTCAGAGCTGAGAAGTACTATATATTAAGGTAACAATGGTATAAAGTGATTCGAACTGTCCTTTTAAATCTGGCATACGTAAACCGCAAAATAATACTCTTAATTAACCAATTTTAACTATTATTATTAAGTACAGGTGCTTAATTGTTTTTTTTGTATGGTGTCTATCCGAACACCATTTTTTTTATAAACCATATCTGTACTATACCAGATATGATCACTACAAAAGTGTATATAACCATTGCATAGAGTAATTTATCGAATGTATTTTCATTTTTATCCCTTATAAATTCTTCTATCTGTAACATTTGATTATTACCTTGATTTCCTGTAATTTCTTCGAGTTCAATAATAGTATTGGTCAATTTGTTCCTAGTTTCCGGTTGAAAGGCTGAATATATATATCCTGCAATTTCTCTTTCACGTTGTTCCAATTTACATACATCTATTGTCACATATTTATCGATATCTATCGAATTCCAAGAACCATCAAAAACAAAATTGTGAAAACAAAGTTTGAATAATTTTTCATGATTAGGTGAGATTACAATATTTGTCTCTCCATTAGGTAAACCTTTCCTCGATCGATATAAATCGTTACTAATAATCCCGGATACAGAAAAATCAACTATTTGTTTACCTCTTATTTCACTACTTTCACCAAATCGGGCATAATCGTAATCCTCTTGTTTCCTATCTTGGACATTAAATGTTAAAACAAGATCCTCGTTCTTGTCATTGAAAGTGGTGTTCAATACTATGCAGTATGAATTTGTAAGTTCATTTGAATTCGTGTATTTTATGGCTGGTAAGAACATTTTTAAAACTGTTTCGTTTAGGTTTTTATGAGTTACTTGTTTTGAAATATATGGCATTGCTGTCGTAAGTTGAACAATCATCATAAGCAAAATTATATTTAATATCATTGGATTCCAAAAGTAATTAAATTTGTATTGATTGTTACAATTAAATTTCTATAAATAATTTCTCCCATTGTTAAATGTTTATTCAGTAGTTGCTTATTATTTATTCAATATTATTTATTATATTGTGACACAAGAATATACATGACCTTTCAAGTCCTAACTAATTACGATTTTCGCTTCCACGACAAAAAAAGAACAATTAAGCAGAAGGAAAATCACGGTCCGTTAACATTATTATACAAACATATGTGAAATTGTAAATATTGAAAACGAATGGTTGCACATTTTAAGTGAAGTAAAATCTAAATACACAGCCTTTCTCACCTTGATTGTTGCATTTATAATACCGAAACACCTGAATAACGATCACAGGATGCTAAGTAATGTCAAAGATTTACTCGAGATAGACACCGAAATTGGTGTTATTGACGAAGAAAGATCGAATCTGGCCATTCAATTAAGCACTGCGCAACAAAAAATCCTATCCGATTCCGAGAAGATTTCTTTATATAGAGATATTGCTGATCGAATAGAAAATTGTGAGGACATTTCAGAAGTTCAAAAATTAAGAGCTGAATTTGGTAACCTAAAGGTGTTCGATGAGTTAGAAGTGAAATTTACTGAGAGGAGTCTAATTGAAAACAGGATCTCCGAATTGGAACGTGTTAAATGTGAACTTGATGAATTGATATCTAAAAATGTGCAGGATCTTTCGTTCTATGAAATTGCAATTTTACACGGCAACTTGAAAGAAATTGCTGATAGTAATGTATTAATAGAGAGCCCGTTATTGACATTAACTATGGATTCTTTTGATAAAAGAATTATATCTAGGTATGCAGAATACATTTCGATAGAATACAATCAACAATTATTTAACTCCAAATGGGATACTGAGCATTTTGTTTTATCGGATACTGATACGGTCGAAAGGTTAAACAAAACCTCTTCTTTACTCTTCAAATTAACACAACTTTACTTCAATCCTGAAAGCCAGGTGATGTGGAATTTCATATCCATTTCTAATAATTTTAAAATTAGATTCACCTATCATTTTCATAACGATTCCTCCACTATTAACCTGTACTTCAAGTTTCTGAATGACTATCTGAAGAATAATTTGTACAAGTGTATTAGCATTTTTGAAGACGAATCAATTGGTCTTACGAAACAATTAATCCATGAAGAGTTTATTAACCATATTTTAGACCCAATTAGGGAAAAAATAAACATAACCCTCCTTCAAAATGACGTTAAAACATTTATTACATTAATATCCCAAATTATATCGACGGACAAGAATTTAGCCAGTCAGTACTTTTATCGTGGTAAAGGTCTTATTTCTCTTGTATCGGAAGAAAGCTGGAATAAGTGGTTACAATTCGAAATCACGACATCGAAGAAACAATTTGAAACCATTACTAACTCACCTAAGGAATTAATCCCTTCAGTTCAAAATTTTTGCAAGTTACTCAAGAAAGTATATGATTATTTAGAACCTTTTTACGGTTTGAATTACGATAACCTTGACAAGTTAAAACTGAAAACCTGCTCCCAAATATTTTTACATCTATCTGCAGAATATCTTGAATATGTCATGACCACAGATTCTCTGGATGAAAATCACAACAAAATTGATGAATTATTTCAAACAATGACAAAATTACAAATACTGAATGTTGTCTATTCAAAGATTTACGAATTGTCTCAACAATTTATTTTCATCGAATTAACAACCCTGGTAAACGAGAGTGAATCCAAGAGATATGTATCTGTCTTCCAAGATGTACTGAACTCTTATAGAGATAATATGGAGAACGATTTACAAGGTTCTATAATCCACAGAATTCAAAAATTATCGAAGGACGCACTTCAGAATTACTTTAAAATCAACACATGGATAAATACGGAGCCCATAACTGATGAAAACATCACACCAACTGCAGAAGTTGTCAACTGTATCACCATGTTAAAGCGAGTTATTTCAAACCTGGATACCTTAAACATCCCCCAGGAAATTAGTATTAATATAAAGAACGAATTGCTAAACAGATTGGTAAATTACTTTGTGGAATCAATATTAAAACTTAATAAATTTAATAGCCAGGGCCTTCTTCAGTTCGAAACAGATTTCAAAGCTGTTAAGGACACGCTAAACTTACCAGACGGCCACAATAATTACCAGAGTAATACCCTGAAGGAAATATTAACTATTCTACGTCTTAAATATGACAGTTCAGCCGAAAAATATATTCAAAAGAGCTATATTAAGAACGGGGAGTTTTCGAAACTTAAGCAAGAAATGAATATTCAACTTTTGAATGATTCAGAGATACAGGATGCATTATATAGAATACAATTAAATAATATAGTTTAAATATGCAAAATATAGACACCCAACATCATAAATATCATATTAGGTATGATTTAAATGTAGATTACTTCCCAACTGTTAACCATACAAGTCACTATTTTTTTCTTCGTATCGGACAACATCATCCTCTGGATTTAATTCATTTTCTTCTATAACATTACTTAGATTGGCCAATGTTCTTTTTGATATTGTGTCAAACATATCATTCACAGTAGAGATCATACCAGTTGGTCCTTGATCAAATATACTACTTTCGTTGATATTGAAAATCCACGATAGATCATGTCTGTCTAGCACGTCTTGAATATCGAACTCTTCGTGGTGCGGTTCTGTCGAATCCTCTAGCATAAAGTGATTTTCAATTAGGTGATCTATAACTGGCCAACCATATGCATTTGTGAATCTTCTACGGACAATAATGTTGTTGTGTGCATCTGGTTTCAATGCCACAACAACTTTTCTCCATATTATTCCTTTATGCCATCGACGAGCAATTAATTCTTCTAATTTTTGATATCTTTTGCGCTCATTACCCATAGAGAAAGCCTGTAATAAGACGTTATTGCTTTCCATTAGATTAGCGTCATCGTTACTATCCTCTTGTGGAATATCTTCCTGTGAGTATAGTTTATCATGAACAATAACAAAATATCGCGAATTTGGTTTTGTAATATATGTCATATCGGGATCTGGAGGTAATAAAATTGATGATGCAGTCTCGAAGAGTGAGACTTTTGGGATGGTTTCTGGGGTTTGTAGAATATTATTCGGGTTCAAGATTTTCCAAAATTTGTCAAAAGATGATGATGTGGTTTGTTGAAGAGTAGGGATATTATGAGGGATCAAGACATTCTCTGGCACCATATTTTCGATTTCATGCATTTTCTTTAAAGTATCCTCATAATTAAGGAATAATAACGATGAGGAATACAAAGGCACCACTCCATCATTAACGGCGTTTGAATAAACAGTTCGTCTCCTAAAATGAGACAATATAGTGTTTAATGGTTCACCAGATAATAAATATAATAAAGGCAATTCATGTGGGTCATTTGATTGTAGTCCTAAATCTTGACCAGTTTTACCAATAACACCTAATGATAACAAGATTTTGATATATGCAGGATTATCTGTAACAATACCCAATAATGGCGATGCTAACGTAATGAAATTAATAGGTTCAACTTTCTGAAAGAACCAGGGATATTTTGCTCCTAGATAAACAACCGCAAACGCTTGAACAAGACCACCTAATGAATGCCCAATAAATGATATTTTGCAAACAGAATCATCATACAATTTATCAATGATATATTCTGCAACACGTCTACCTAAGTACTTAATACCCTTTTCTGTCTCACACACATTCTTTGTGTAGCCGTCAACCACATACTGTTCTTCATCTTCCGGCGATTGTATTTTATATATTTGTTCTTGAATATAGGCCATATCAGCTGAAACATTTGAATGTAGTCCATGGGTTAATACGACCAAATGCTTCTTTTTCTTAGAAGGAATAAGCTGGGGAGGTAATTTCCAAATGTCGGCTGTCGTTATTTTAGATACATGCATTCGAGAGCAAAACGAGTCCATGCTTGGAATCAAATCTGACGAATCATTTATTTTTAAACATTGCTCCGAATTACTTACTGTAATTTCGTATGTAACATTTGTATTAGTAGAAAAGAGAACCTGGCTTACAATGTCAATGGTCCAAACATATTTCTTTTGAATTCTATGCAGTGATAATTCAGCAATCCTGTGCTGCTGAGCTTGAAGATTTGAAGCGAATTGGGGTCGATCTACTGAGGCATAAATTGTTTGGGAATGATGATATGCGTGTGTTCTAACATCAAAATACAGTGAGTATGGACCCATCAAATAAGCTGCTCTGTAGGAAAGCGCCTCAACATTTTTAATTTTAATCCAGAGGGAATCCAATGTCAAATCACTCGGAAGAGTTTCCCCTTCATACAGATCGTAAGTAATAATATATCTTTCTATTTCACCAATTTTCAGAGATGATCTATTATGGAATAAAATTTCATGATCCTTGCTATACACATTATGATTAACATCCATCGAGCATCTGATTTTAAACTTTTCTTATAGTTACGCCGACTTCTTATTATTAAAATTTTAAAAGAGAATTCGTTTGTGACCAGACGATTGCTATTTAATTTTCGTAATCATTAATATGAATCTCTTATATTTTCAAGTCTCAATGAGATCTACTAAATATATGCCAGATTATGGATTCCATGATCTCATCCACCTTAAGATTTGTTTTGTTTAGCACTACGCGTAATTTCTATTTCCTTCAACATTTCGCACAGCCTCATCTTAAAATGTCATAATAATTACATCAATTTGAATATATATACGTATATATGGACAGGAAGTCGCACTCTATTTACAGCCACATGCACATGGTTATGTTGCATTTCCACAATAACAAATAATCTACAAAAAATTAGTTCTTTCCAGGTTGCCATTTCATTTTTTGGGAACCTAAGCCAAGCACTACAGGAGGCCTGGCGTGATCAATTACTGGTGCAAGGTGAATTTAATATCAGCGACGGATATTCAAATAACCAGTTCAATTTTTGTCACTCTCCCTTTAGTTGATTATTCGATTAGCAAATCCTTAGCCTTTTGATCAGTTTCATATGTTCTGGTAGCATCAATAATTTCATCTAGTTTATCGCCTGTCATCACACCAGGAATATCATGAACAGTAAACCCACATCTATGGTCAGTAATTCTGTTTTGTGGGTAGTTATAAGTTCTAATTTTGTCAGATCTATCTGTAGTGGTAACTTGTTCCTTCCTTGCGGCAATTCCTGCAGCCTCCTTTTCACGTTGTTCCTTTTCAGCTAATTTGGCTCTTAACAAGGTAAACGCTTTTGCCTTATTCTTGTGTTGAGACCTCTCATCTTGCATCGAGATAACAATACCAGATGGAAAATGCGTTAGTCTAACTGCAGAATCAGTGGTGTTAACATGTTGACCACCTTTACCACTTGCTCTCTTTACGTCGACTCTTATCTCATCAGGTTTGAAGGTTCGCTCATAAGCTTCTGTTGATTTCTCAGAATCATCTGCTAATTTAGGAAGTACTACCACAGCCGCAGTAGAAGTATGAGTTCTACCTTTTGTCTCAGTCGCTGGGATCCGTTGAACTCTATGTACACCAGCTTCTAATCTTAATCTGTCATATGATCCTGGTTCATCTATACTTAATACTGAACTAAGGATACCAGATCCACTCTCATTCAATTGTTGTGAAATTATGTGATACTTCCAACGATGAGCATTAGCATAATTCATATACATAGATGCCAAATCCTGCGCAAAAATCATTGCCTCTACACCACCTACACCGGGTCTTAATTCTATAATACATGGTTTATCTGCAAATGGATGGGTGGGTAAAAGTTTACCCAATAAATTATTTGAAATTTCATTAAACTTGGGTATTTTCGTTTGAATCTCTATCTCAGCTTCCATTTTTAAGGAGGGGTCCATTGTTATCATTTCATTCAACTCATGTAATTCGGAAAGATAATCCTGATATATTTTCAAAGTCTCTGCCACTGATGAACATTTAGCAAATCGTTTCTGATCATCTACATTAAAGTTTTCACCTTTTGAAAGTTTTTGCTCGAGGTCTAAAAATTCTTTTCCGTACAATTGAGCTTTTTTTATAAGCGACTCAGGTAATTCTTTGCTGTGGGATGTTTCGCTGAAAGTAGTTAGATCGCTTACAACTGATTGGCATCTGATATGGATTTGTGAGGCAGTCTTAATTAATGTACTGTCCCTCAAAAACGGCTTAATTCTACCTAAACGTAGCATCATAACATAATCTTGTTATTTAAAACCTAATGTAGTAACTTATTAAATCATACACCTTACTGTGTCCTTGACTTTCTCTTGGTATAATCATTATAGATATTAAAAAGAACCTTTTATGAGAAACTATGTTGTTATTTAATATTCAATTGGTAGTTTAAATTTTTGAGCTCTGCGGAAACAACTGGGCGCGGCAGAAACGGTCTTAACCTTCGAAGTCTATGAAAACTACCAATTTGTTATATCCTTAATTTATAAAATATTTTATTTACTTATATATAATTATCGAGTCTCCCTATGGTACACAATGACATCACCGCTTCTTCTACTATCCCAGTGACCCAATGAATTAAAGAATCGTTTGATCTCTTGGTATGAAGAATCCTTCAAATATTCATGCATGAATATTTCATCCATATGTTGGAATATGACAACATATTCAGGCCATTCATGAGAATCATCCATTCGCTTTACTTTGTTAGCAACTTCTTGATTAACCATATGTTCTTTTATAAATTTAGGAATATCATCGTATAAATAATCACTTTCGTCCATATAACTTTTTAATTTTTCATCAGCTCTTGGATCGTCCAATAAATATATCGGTGGACTGCAGGTTATTGCCCATAAGTCTTTAATATCATCTCTATGTAAATATGATTGCCACGGAGTTGAATGACATGGCATAACAAAACCAACACTATCGACTTTAGGGATTTCATGAAGGTATTTGACAACAGATATTACACCCGATTCATGATAATTGCTAATAATAAATGCTGCTATTATTGTAAATATTACAGCTATCGTACTTATACATTTAACCAGTTTTACCCATCTTACAAGGATAATTCTAATTCGTTGGTAACCAAATGTTGCTATTACCAACATAAATGGTTGTAAAGGATAAATAAATCTAAATTCTTTATGAGCCAAAGTTGAGTAAACAATAACATTTAACAGCACAACAAATTTCATTTGAACAAACGGAGCATACATGATGTTGCTAGTTGTTCTAGAAGACAATGAATGACGCATACCATAGATGAATGGTATTAAGTTGGCACCCATCATAATTGGAACACCTTGAAATAAATAAAAGTTCCATGGTGCCGTACCATAAAATTTGGATAATGGACTTGTGAAATTAAATTTCAAGAATCTAAAAATTGGGAAAACAAATTCACCGTAGAAGTAGTAATCTATTAATATGTTCAATACTAATACAATGGAGAATATTACCGCAACTTTCTTGAATAAAAAGAAAAGTCTTGAATATTCTCGTTTCTTTATTATTGAAAGCATCAAAAAGCCTCCCAATATCAACCATATTATAGAGTTCGAGACACGAACAAAACTTGCCATTATACCCCAAAATAATGCTAAAGAAAATTCTGAAGTATGAATAAATGCCCCACCAGTCCAATCCCAATGGCACAAGGCGATACTTGTTAATATGGTTTCAAAGGAATTAATAAATGTTCTGGTCATAACGAACCAGTTGAAAAAATTTGTCATTGACATTACATTTGCTATTAGGGTTGCTTGTTGCAAAGTACAGTGATAATCGGAAGAACCTTTCTCTTCAGTTTCCTTATCTTCAGCCTTATGATCATCCATTGACAACACATATAGTTTCCGAACAAGAATGACCATATGGTACTCTCCAATAGCACCTAATATTGCCATTAAAAGTTTTGGGAAGAGTATAGTGCAGCTATATTCAAATTTATTTTGATTATTAAAATCGACATTCAAATATCCCAATGTCCAGGTTATGCATTTAATTAACCTGTAGCACAATTCAAATAGAAACGGAAACACGTATCCTCTGATACCCAATTTCCATTCCCAAGTCAATTCACCATAGCCGAAAGCCTTTACATGAGCTGGTTCGAGAGATTGCCAGAACTCATCAGCTTGGAAGAAAGTATTTACAGATAGTGCGTTAATTACCCTCCATATTACTAAAACCAAAAAATTTGGCCTGCGTAGTATATCTAACACTGACATTACGGAATAAACTATAGTACATGTATATCTTCAGTGCCATAATCCAACTTACTTATCACAATGCAATCATTGATACTTCCCTTGACCAAACATATCTATATTGAATCATATACTTGAAAGAATTACTACATAGCAATATTCCTATTGAAGAGGGAAACCTGAGACAACCTATTGTAGGCCGAAGAAAAAAAAAATCCATCTGCGTGCAAGCTACACGACAACAAATAACTGAAAGAATTATAAGTTGATAATTATATTTGAAGACCACTCCTGACATTGCAGACGGTTGGTTGAAAACAATATACAGAACATTCACTACATTTTAGGGGTTATATCATTGAACGTGGTTGTTAATTATTTGAAAATTATCTAGTTAACGGGTTTGGAAAGTTTCTCAACAGTAATAAGCAAATAAGTTAGTGGAACATTTGACACATAGATAAATTAGACTATCACTAATTTAGAATTCACAGATAGTACATCAATACAGTACTAGGAATAGATATAGATATAGATATATATTATTATTATTATTATTACTATTATTACCCTCTAGTTACCAACTACCAAAAATTAACTAACGCATAAGAATGGTTGTGGATTCAGCATACTACGATTTATTAGGTGTTTCAGCCACAGCAACGGCTGTAGAGATAAAAAAAGCATACAGAAAGAAATCCGTCCAAGAACATCCAGATAAGAATCCAAATGACCCAACTGCAACCGAAAGATTTCAAGCTATTTCTGAAGCTTATCAGGTCCTAAGTGATGATACACTAAGAGCTAAGTATGATAAATTCGGGAAGAAAGAAGCTGTTCCACAAGGTGGGTTTGAAGATGCTGCTGAGCAATTCTCAGTCATCTTTGGTGGCGATGCTTTTGCATCTTATATTGGTGAACTGCAATTATTGAAGAACTTACAGAAAACAGAAGAGTTATCAGCTGAGGATGAGAAAGAAAAACAAAGAGAGAAAGAAGAACAAGAAGCTAAAGAAAAACTAGAAAAAACAACAACTCCAGCCACCGGGACTTCAACTGGGACTGATTCACGAAATAGTGAACCTGCAGGTACGACAGAAACATCTATTGCACACTCAACTGGCGAGATTAGTGAAGCAAGTGACTCGAAAACGGAAGTTTCCAATTCCCAAGAAAATAAACCCAAAAAGAAGACTAAATTAGAAATATATGAAGAAGAACAGGCTATCGAGAAGGAAAAAATGATTGAAGGATTAAGTAAAACTCTCACAGAAAGGCTCTCTATTTTAACAGAAAGTGTATATGATGATGCCTGTAAAGAATCTTTCCAAAAGAAATTCGAAGAAGAGGCTAATCTGTTAAAGATGGAATCGTTTGGTTTAGATATACTACACACGATAGGTGATATATATTGTGAACAAGCTAGAATATTCTTAGGTTCCCAAAACTTCTTTGGTTTTGGTGGTATGTATCATTCTATGAAGGCTAAAGGTGGTTTAGTGATGGATACATTAAGGACAGTTTCTGCTGCATTAGATGCTCAAAATACAATGAAAGAATTAGAGAAGATGAAAGAAGCTAATGAGAATGATACGCCTTTATTGGACAAAAATGGAAACGAACAAATAAAACCTACTCCTGAACAAATGGCAGAACAAGAACAATTACTTATGGGTAAAGTGTTATCTGCGGCATGGCATGGTTCTAAATTTGAAATTATGTCTACTTTAAAAAGTGTAGTTAGTAAGGTTTTAGATGATGAATCTGTCGCAGTCAATACAAGAATAAAGAGGGCAGAAGCTCTGAAGATTCTAGGTAAGGTATTCCAAAATGCTTATAGGACAAAGACCGAGCAAGAAGAAGCACAAGTATTTGAAGAATTAGTAGCAGAGGCAACAAAGAAAAAGAAATCCACGTGAGACCAACAAAGTTAAAGGTTAAATGTTTTGAATATAAGTAATAAATCAACTCATTAGCACTTTTCCATTCTGATATTTTAATAGAAACTATTTAATTATATTGGAATAATGAGAGAAACCCTTTACATGATAATATAAGATGGACCTTTTCTTCCTGATTTGATTCATCACAATTACGCAGAAATAGGTAGTGTTGTTATATAAATCTCAAAACTACTCTGTATTTCGTATTACATAATCATATAGTCTAGCATATAAATAAACAAAAAAGTAAGAAACAATATAGATAATTTAATCGTAATTGTATCTGTTTGACTTCAGATATACCAATATATCTATCAATTCATTTGCCGCACAACATCCTCGCACAACAACCAAACCTGACAAAGCACTGAGCTTCGGCGGTGGCGGCCTTTCCCTTGTAAAATTATATAACCATTCGATCCAGATTATGATTATTAAGGTGGAAAATATGTCAATATTAAAAGGTGAAAGTTGAAACACTTCTATTAACAATACACAACGGCAATTTTTGACATTTATACTCAGGGTATATTATCTGTCTATAAAGAACTTTTGCATTGTTGGGACCCTGTTAAGAAAAAAAACAAAAAAAAATGCTTAATTTTACAGGTGAGACAAGAAGAAGGAATGTTAACTTAGGTTCAAGATCTAAGCCATCAAAACGAGATATATTGCTGAAAGCAGAGAGAGATAGGACGAAAAGAGCACAAGAACGTAGGGAAAATAGTGCAGTGATTAAATTACAAAAGACAATTAGAAGACATCTAGGAATTGCAAAATATTTTGCAACCCAATGTATAAATTGTACAACTGACCCTAAGGGTGATACGTCGGGAAAGGATATACACCTTTTTCCAGTATTTGGTTTTAAATTACTTTATTATATTCCTATTGATCATCTGAAAAGATTGCTGATCAAATATCAGAAGTATTATATTCGATATCCCAACAATTTAATCAATCAAAAGACGTATCTTTTATTGAGCAAATTATCAAACGAGTATATATTACCAGAATGCATTGATATCATTAATTTAAATTTACTGAATGGAATTGAATTTATGTCGTTAGGATTTTTACCCTTTGTTATTAACAATCCCAATTTGAACTTTAATTTAATAGATATATTACCAAACTTTTTTTCATCATTAAAATTAAAAACCAACCCTGAAACTATACAGAACATTACACTCCCTCTAATGACATCAGTGATAAAAGATCCTATCGAATCGTTATCGCTTAGAACACTTCTCCCAATTATTGCTGAAAATCAATTATTACCAATAATGACACACTTGGACCAGGACTCCTTACAAATAGTATTTAATAATCTTTGTTTTCTTCATACAACGGTACAGGACAAGGAGTATATAGAAAAAAAATTGATAGAGGTTCTAACATATTATCATGAGGTTAGAATAATAAATGATACACCATTTTATAACGACTTTATTGCATCCCTTTTTGAATCACAATTTTCTAAACGACTTGTCAATTTAGTATCAACTGACGTAATCTCATTATCATTATTAGTTTCATATATTAATATCTCAAAAATGACTAGTATTGGTTACAAGAATAATTTATTGGTAGTATTATTAACAAATAAAATCTTATGTGAAAAAATATTCGATGACCTTTTTAAATATCCTTCAATTGAAGATATAATGGATTCTACTATAAATAGCCTTGAAATTGCCATCGAGCTACTAGATTTTTATTTAGCATTAGCCACAGACTCTGAAATATTTAATGATCAAAGTTCGATACCTATATCATCAATCAAGAAATTTTCTATCATGCTAAAGGACGTAGTCTTTGATGAATTATGGAATAAACAAAGAGAGATGAGAGGTAAAATTTTAGATGTTGCTATTAATTTATTAACTAAGATATATATTCGTGACTCCAGGACGCATTTTTGTTCTGAAAGAGCAGATTCCGATTTTTGGACTATCGACGATCCTGCCTTTACGAAAACCACCATTTATAAATTAATTGATCAATTTAATTCCTATTATAAAAGTATTAATGATTTTTTGGATTCACATTCTTCATCTGAAATAATGTTATTACAAAGAAATTCAAAGATAGAATCATTAAATCATATGATTGAATCATGGTCTGGTAATACCCCTATTCGTCATATAAATAAATTAGAAATTCTAATTAGGGTTCCCTTTTTCATTCATTTTGATAAACGTGTGGAAGTATTTTATACATTAATCGGATTAGATAGGCGCGAATTAGGTATAGATGATAATTCACCACAGTCATTTATGAATGCTATGATCCCTGGTCGTTTAGGTAGATGGACCTCAACAATTTCAAGAGATAATATATTAGAGGATGCAATGGAAGCGTATAACAATAAAGGTGATCTATTTAAGTCTTCATTATCTGTTAAATTTATCAATGAATTTGGTCCCGAAGAAGGTATAGATGGCGGTGGTGTCACTAAAGAATTTTTAACTAGTGTTGCTGAAGAAGGATTTAAAGATGCTAAGTACGGATTATTTACTACAAATGAACAATATGAGTTATACCCACACCCTACGGGAGACATAATGGCTTTAGAAAGATTATCATTTATGGGTAAAATTGTTGGGAAATGTCTATATGATCATGTATTGATTGATATTGATTTTGCTAGATTTTTCTTAAAGAAATTATTAAATTATTCCAATATGTTTAGATCTACATTTGATGATTTAAATAGTTTGGATAGTACTTTATACAGGACACTAACGAAATTATTAGCCATTGATAATACAAAAGAGATTGATTCCTTAGATTTATATTTTGAAATAAATGATTCTAAAGGGAATATAATTGAATTAATACCGAATGGTAGTAAGACAAAAGTCAATAAGCATAATATATTAAAATATGTGTTAAAGATTGCAGAATATAAATTAGATAATTCACTCTTAGAGGCAGTTACTGCTTTCCATAGAGGTCTTAGCGTTATGATTCCACCAATATGGCTAGAAATGTTTAACCCCGAAGAATTTGAAATGTTAATCTCTGGTGGTAAAAAAGATTTTGATATTGTTGATCTTCAAAATAATACAGAATATGGTGGATATAAAGAAGATGATATTACAATTAGAAACTTTTGGGATATTATTAATGATATGACATCTGAAGAGAGATGTAAATTCTTAAAATTTGTCACATCTGTACCACAGGCTCCATTACAAGGTTTTGAATCTTTGGATCCAAAATTTGGAATACGTAACGCAGGAAATGATTTAACAAGATTACCAACTGCCTCTACATGTGTGAATTTGTTAAAACTACCAGATTACGTTGATAAAGAGACCATGCGCTCAAAATTGTTATATTCTATAAACTCCGGTGCACGTTTTGACTTATCATAAGTATTTCTAAATAATACGATCAATGTAGATATATATGCATATATTGTAATCTTTAACACCCGCTCCATTATCAGTTCTGAATAGTTCTAATAGTTTTATACACTTATCAAGAAAAGAACATACTTTCCATTCTGTATATATCCTTCCTTCATAGGACGTAACTAGTATCCCAAAAGACACTCTAATTATACGTTAACCATTGCCTACTGCAGCTCATTGTGTTACTAATGTTGTTATCTTACTTGTAGTATTCTCGGAACAATAAACGAAGCCAAGTCTAACCGAAAAGTCAAATGGCTCGGAGCTCCTCCTCTCTGACCGCTCTGTAAGAGAAAATTGCAAGCAAAATTTTATCTCGCGGAGTGAATTTGGCTGTGTCTTTTAAAACTGAAGGAAGAGAAGAGGGGCTTGCTTGCTTGATGGGTATGAGCCCATGCGTTTCTATACATATTAATAATATATATATGCATAGATAGAAGAGAGTTTAACACTTTGAAGTTAATATATTGGCTTATTTAAAGTGAATGAAGTAGTTACAAGTGTTAAGAAGGTATAGATAGATACGTTACACATTATTATCAAATAGTTAAGAAGTTTATTAATTACTCTATTCTTTGTCTTTTTAGAGTGTTCGGTTCCTTTTTAAAATATTTATTGGTTATTATTGCGCAACTGAACAGAGTGAACTGAACTTATTTCGCTATCTTGATTTAAGAGAGAAGCGATATATAAGCATCACACTGTGAATAAACTTGGTTTTGAGTTAATTATTTTGGTTTCTGTTAGTTTAATCAATATTTTTTTAATATCTTGCAGTTATACCTGCTGTTTTTCGTTTCTTTTTTATTATTATTATTTTTTTAACTCCTATTTTAAAGGCATCTTTCCATAAATACTAAGGTTTCAGGATATTTGCACCTACACACACAGACACACAGACACACACATTTTACATTATGTTACCGTTTATACCCAGTATATTAACTTTGATAGTATTAGAAAGTCGGCATGTATCTGCCGGACTTATTCCTGCATCGGCTAGAATCGCTATAGGGGAAAGAGATCATCAACCAGATTACACAGATGAAGAAGATTTTGATTTAAATGTAATGCTATTTTCTTTGGGAACAATGTTTCTAATGTATATTCTAGTATGTGTGATTTATTTACTCGTTAAATTTATCCTCTCTAGATTAGTTACTGGTTCAGATAGACTTACCGGTACTAGGAACCAACGAATTTCTTTAACACGTGGTGATCATGATCTTGATAGAAATGCAAGACTTATAGAAAATATGAATTTAAGATGGCCTACTATATTAGATGATCCAGATGAAGTAAGAGGGAAAATAGATAGATTAACTCCAGAAGAACAATTTTATTATAGACAAGGTGAAGAATATATTAGAAATAATCCACCAATTTTGGTATCTTATCAACCAACAGAATCTGGTGAAATTATTGATCCAATAATAAATGAACAAACCAAACAATTTATTGAAGAAGAAGGTGCTAATGCATGGGAATTTTCACCTGATTCAAATTTACCTAATGATACTATCTTAGTAGAAAATAAAACTGAAATATCATTCTTAAATTACAATTATGATGCTTCAGTGACAACAAATTTACCAATACCTTGTATTAATAGAGTTTATTATTGCGAATTTAAAATTTTTGAAGTTAATACAGGGGATGGTAAGATTAATAACAATCTTAACAATACTACAAATATATCTACAATGCCGACAACAACAGAACCTATAGATGATAATTCTCAAAGCCAACCATTGCTAGATCATAACAATAACAATAATGATAATGATGATCATAATGATAGAGTATCAAATACACATTCCATTGGTTCATCCTTAGAATCTTTAGACGACTTTAATGTGGGTAATGTAAAAGCTCAAAATAATGAACTAATTTCATTCGGTTTAAGTACATCACCTTATCCATATTTCAGGTTACCTGGTAGACATCATCATTCTATTGCATACGACTCTACTGGTGGTCGTCGTCTAAATGACTCTTTTACATTGGAGAATCATTTACAACATTTGTTTCCAGCATTTCAAAAGGGAGATGTCATTGGGATCGGTTATAGAACTAGAAGTGGTACCGTATTTTTCACTAGAAATGGTAAAAAATTAAGTGAAAAATCTGTAGGTGGTCATGTTCGTGGTTGGAAATTTAAATATTTATACCCTATCATTGGAGCTAATATTCCTTGTAGAGTCCATGTCAATTTCGGTACTTATGGATTTGTTTACATCGAGGCAAATGTCAAGAAATGGGGTTATGGTAAAATTAATGGTATGAAATTACCACCTCCATCTTATGAAAATTATGGCCAAGATACATTATTAGAAAGTGGAGCAGAAGATAACGATGACGACGATGATGATATCATAGAAAATTCAGAAAGTATTGGGAATAGTATGGGTGGTCTTATTACTACAGGAGAAGGATTGCGAGATGTCAATGGTAAATTATTACCACCTCCTCCAGGTTTTGAGTTTAGTACATCTCCTGAATCAATACTAGTCCAGGAAGAAATTAACTTGGATTCGTTACCAATGGAGCCACCTACATATTCAGATAACGAAAGTTCTTATGCATTCAAATTCCTCCCAAGAAACTCAATGAGTAGTAGTAGAGATATCCCAATTGTCGGAAGTAGCAAGAGGCTAAGTAATAAGACTCTCATCGGGAGTAGCACTAGCAATCGTTTAAGAAATTCTCCAGATGATAAAGATGATTATGATTTTGATGAGGATGACTACGATTATGACGAATACGAAATTCCAGAAGATGGAAACGATGAAGAAGAAGATATTGATACAGATGAGGATGAAGAAGAAATCACAGACGAGATGCAACATATGATCTCTCATCAATAAAATATGCATGTCCTGTCATTACCATTCTTCGTTGTTTAAACATTCATGAAACTGCATAGAAATATATATATATATACATACCTTAATATATGAAAAAATTTTTTTTATGAGAATGAAATCATTTTACCTTAATACGTTAAAGATGCTTTATCTGTCATGACTGTGTCAGATAAAGGGATCACAGGTTTTTGACGGGAATCACTCAGGAGACGGACTTCGAATATATCCGTTGAAAAATCTTATTTTAAGGGAGAAAATAAAAGGTTAGCCAATTTTAAAATGAGACGTATAAAAAATGCATAACTTTATCTACATACGTTATCTGTTTGAAATCTTCAATTTTACTGTAGTATACAAGGATTTAGAACCTTTTGTAGTAGGAAACCACATAGAAATTATTCACAACACGGAATCTTTCCAATTTATAAACGATCTATAATATATTCAATGATGTTTCAAACTATAAATATCTCCCAATTAAACAAAACTGTTAAAGTCCCAATTGGCATATTTGTTGGTGGTACATTTGTTCCATCTTCTGATGGTGGGACAATCGATTCTTTTAACCCTGCAACTGGCGAGAAGATTGCATCGTTTTATGCAGGAACAGAAAAGGATGCAAATGCTGCTGTCGAAATAGCAAAGGATGTCTATACCTACACATGGTCAATGAGACCTGTGAAGGAACGTCGTGATTTGTTGTTAAAACTTGCTGGGTTATTGGAACGAGACAAGGAAATCCTTGCAGCACTTGATTCAGTTGATGCTGGGAAACCTTACAATAACAATGCACTAGCAGATTTAGATCAAATAATCAGTCTAACAAATTATTATGCGGGTGCCGTTGGTAAATATACCAATGGTGAGGTTATTCCTGTTAGTAATGACAAGTTTTGTTACACTTTAAGAGAACCGTTTGGTGTTGTGGCTCTTATTGTACCGTGGAATTATCCACTGGCAATGGCTTGTTGGAAATTACAGGGCGCTCTCGCAGCTGGTAATACTGTTGTGATTAAACCCTCAGAAAATACATCACTTTCATTATTATATTTTGCTCAATTAATTATGGAAGCAGGATTCCCTAAAGGTGTAGTTAATATTATACCAGGTTACGGTAACGTAGTAGGAGAGACACTCTCTAGACACATGGACGTAAACAAAATATCTTTCACAGGAAGCACTACAGTCGGCTGTAAGATTCTACAATGTGCAGGTATGTCTAATATGAAAGAAGTATGCTTAGAGTGTGGTGGTAAATCACCTGCTGTGGTGTTTAAAGATGCACAAGTTGACAATGCTGTTGCTTGGACAGCTAACGGTATTTTTTACAATAGTGGTCAGAATTGTACTGCCAATTCACGGATTTATGTACATGAAAATTTGTACGATGAGTTTTTGATTAAATTTAAAGACTATGCTAGAAAAAACTACTCATTTGCAGATTTTGACGTGTTCAATCCGGAGTGTACATTGGGTCCAGTTATTTCACAAATTCAGTACGATCGAATCATGAAATACATTGAAAACTATGATGGCAAAAGAGATATCTTATTTCCAATACCATCTAAATCAGAGACCAAGGGGTTTTTCATTCCTCCTGTTGTCTTTACGGATGTTCCAGAAACATCTGCCCTATTGCAAGAAGAAATATTCGGCCCTGTAGTTGTCATTACCAAATTTTGCCACTACAGTGAAGTCATGAAAATGGCAAACAATTCACGCTATGGGCTTGCTGCAGCAGTCTTTACTGAGGGTGTTCGTCGTGGTCATAGATTTGCGAGAGATATACAAGCTGGTACAGTTTGGATTAATTCATCCAATGATGAAGAGGTTACCGTGCCATTTGGCGGGTTCAAAATGAGTGGTGTAGGACGTGAGTTGGGTAGGTATGGTGTTGAAAGTTACCTGCAGACGAAGACAGTTCATATGAGTATGGTACCACATCATTGAATTTTATTAAATACATAATTTTATATGGTTTTCTTCATAATTTTATCCTGTTTACGCTTCAGAAATTGTTGTAGGAACTACGTACGCGAAACGCGACTAGTTTCGATGAACTCATCAGTAAACAATAATTTATATATATATATATAATAATAATACAGGAGGTTAGAGCACATTGATCCAACATCCAAAGCAATATACGGTTAACTACTTATACACTACTGAGTATTAAAATTATTTCACAATCCGATGAAGAAGTCAGTAATCTCACGTATGAGTAAGAAGGCATGCGCGGTATGCACTAAACGAAAGGTGAAATGTGATAGACAGATACCATGTGGTAATTGTGTCAGAAGAGGACAAGAAAGTGAATGTATCAAGGCAGTAACTAATGACTTTATCCAAGCACCAAGTTTGGGAAATGATAAAGATTCCTTTTCAAACATTTTAAGATTATGGAATAGTTACGAGTATTGGATTACTGACGTTGGACTTTTCAAGACGAAAAATATTGATATAACTGCCAAGATACCCAGCTTTGAAGCACGATTAGCAGAATGTGCATTTTGGACAGACTACCTACAATTAGAAGAATCTTTTAAGTTATTGAACTTTGCTGTAGAAAATTTGGGTCCTTTATACTTTGGATGCCTTGGTGATATCAGCGAATTGTTTGTTCAACTGGAAAGTTATTGGAATAGAAGACAACAATTTAAAGAGTCACCTAACGATATATTCTTTTCAATAGATGATTATTACTGGAATTCGTTACTTTGGTCAATCTTTTCTATGTGTGTGTACTACAGTCCTCTAGAGACCATAGCTGAAACTTTTAAAGTTCAACCAATATGTGAACAACTAGGTATCGATACAAATCAACAATGGTCGGAATCATTACAGCTAACTCTTGTACAAGGGTTTGCCAAATGTTCTATGCATTTTTTGCATTTGGCCGACAATAACCGAAATCCAGATGTGAGATTTATTCAATCGTTTCTCATATTATCCACTACCAATTTTCAACTAACTGATTATTTCCTCTCTGATACATTACTCTCCCAGAGTGCTCATATTGCAAGATTTTTCAACATTGACTCTTATAAACAACTTTCAACCGATGATGAATCTACAGATTTATCAAAAGAAGTCTTCTCCAAAATATGGATGCGAATGTGCATGCAAGATTATCAACAAGAGAATCCTAATAAAAAGAATAGTTTTCATAAAGAAATTTCTTCTCTGCTTCAGCATGCTGCATTCTATCAAGATATGCCAAATTTTGATATATATAAACAGGAGGATAGTTTCGAGTCGCTTTGTTGGAAGATCAGTTCTTTGGAAAGAGACTTAGACAAATATCTTTTAACATCTTTTAAACCACAGATAAAAACATTTGATGCAATAAAAAGGGAACTTGCAATTTTTGAAAAGAAAATCGGTGATTTAAATTTCGATAAGAAATCAACTAACTCACAGTTTGAAAAGTTTATCAGTATATTTCTGCTCTCCACTGTTCAATGGAAATTACATAAAATGTACCTTATTTATTTCAATGCTGCCGATTCTTTACAATTGTCAGTTCATTATTTACAAATTATGGTACGTCTTATTGAAAAAAATATGAATCGAGAACTAACATTCTTTAACAAACACCCATTGATCATAAGATCTCTCTCGAGAATAGTACCATTTTACGCATTTTATAACATTTTTGAATCGAACCCTCAGATTGAAGAACTAAATAATGATTTGGGTAATCTGATTCTTGCACTTCCTGTATTACTGGGAGAAAAATGTGTAAAACTCACATACTTAGTGCAAAGATTGAACAGTATGAACATAATGTGGGAAAAAGTAAGAGTAGAAGGATCATCATCAAATTGGAGTCATCCTGTGCTGAAAATCATTCAGGATGATATTAAAATAATATCCAGATATAGTAATAGAACATTGGTATTGGTTAAGGGTGTTCCCTCATTTGGTGATGTTACTGATATTAACAGTAGTGATAATGCAGAAAATGATAAAGAATATTTTGCAAGAAACAAAGAGAGTACTGAATTCAAATTTATAGTTAATGAATTCGAAAAACAACATAGCATAAGTAATATTTTTGATTAAATTTGAATATTGCTGAAATGAAGTAGTGGCTATTCAATTCGAGAGTATTTTTATAAAAAAGTAAAGAATAAATAGTTTACTTATATAATTTCATTATAACTAACACCTTTCAAAGACTTTGTAGAGACCAGGAAGATTTGCAATTTCAACAACATCTTTCACAAGATCATTAGTTGCGAGAAATCTCCTCTTAATAGTAGGGAAAATTACATTTTCTAATGTCCCTTCAAGGGACTGAGATTTATTAACAAAATCGATCATCTGATCATCTGATATGTTCTCATCTTTTTGGTCGAGAGTTTTTATGATTGGTGGCACATATAATAATGCAATTTCTTTAAGGATAGCATTTAAACAATCTATTTCACTTTCCCAATCTACCTTGGTTCCAAGACGACGGATAAAAAGGGGTAATTTTTCCAAAGAAGGATTGTATCCTTTTAACAACAAGGGTATCGACACTAGTTGAACATGATTTAAGTCTTCACCATTATCATCAATGCTTAGTTTTATTGAAAAATATTCATCTAGCATTTCTTTCATATTCCACAAAGAACTTATAATTTCATTTACATCCTCTTTAGAAAGCTCTTTGAATATGGATAATAGGTTTACTAATTTTAAGTTTTCTTGATCCCCAGTCAGCAAGTTAATTTTCCCAAAATTTGAAAAATCTGTTAAACCTATTTGGTAAAACAGTTCATTACAAATTGCACCATAATCGACCAAAAATAGTTTTAAATCGTATTGTATGGAGATAAGTCTTCTTTCTGTGTCTACAATACCTACATAATTCAGATTTGCAAATATGTTAGTTAATTCTTTATGAGCTCTTTCATCTACAGCTTCTCTTAATTCTTTAATACTGGATAAATTAACTAAAGTTCTTTTATTCTTGACCACAACGTAATTAAAATCGTTTCCTTGGTACTTAGATTGAGTAGACCCGGTTGTATTATTTCCATTTTCTTCTGTTGACCGTCCTAAATCTCCGCTGACATCCTCCACATTAGGTGACGTTGACGAAATATTGGTATTTTGTTTATCCTCGTTATCCTCTTCTTCAAGATTAAAAATTTCATTATTATTATTATCCTTAGATAGAGATCTAGTCTCAACATATTGACTAGACTTCAAAAAAGATGTAATTTTGGCTTGTGATGCATCTGTTCTCACCATTTTATTTTCATATTTTCTAATTTTGTTTGGAGTTATTGGTGAGATATTATTTGACGTCATGTCTACCTGCGATTGACTTTGACGGGATGAATATTGTGATCTACCTATTGCGGATGTTTGTCCAATAGATTGAGAACCTGTCAGTATAGATGAAGCTTTGAAAGTACGAGAAGTATCCACTTTTGATAACTCTTCATTAACCTTAAAGGATACTTGTTCAATAATTTCATCCTGATTTAAAAATCTAACTTCTCGTTTTGTAGGATGTACATTAACATCTACAGATGTTGGTTCAATCATTAGGCTCAGATATATGAAAGGTTTGTTCCCCTTAGGTAAAAAATTTAAATATGTCTGATTTAATATTCTTCTCAGAGGATCACATGTAACTAACCTATTATTAATGAAAAAAATAGGTGAGATAGCCTTTTTCGAAACATAATTCATATTACTAATATAACCTGTTAATTTATCTAATGGCAATCCTTCCTTTTTATCTAGTTCAAAATCAATCAAGTTTGTAGCAATAGTACTATTGTAAACTGCTCGTATTCTATCCTTTGTATTCAATGTTGCCCTTATGGAGAGTGAAAATTGTGAATCACCAAATTTTTTACATGAAAACCCTATCTGTGAAGAATGAATGGCATATCTTCCTACAACATCCAGAATTTTATTATATTCTTCATTAGCAGATCTTAATGACCTTAATCTTGATGGCATATTATGAAATAAATCTTCCACTAATATTGTAGTACCATTTGTTCCAGCAATTGGTTGTGGAGTGTCAATCATCTTACCTTGTGCAAATGAAACCTTCCATGCACATTTATCATCACTAGTCTTTGTAGTCACTGTCACTTTTGCAATATGTGATATACTAGCTAAAGCTTCACCTCTAAACCCATATGTATTAATTTCATTCAAATCTTCAAATTTAGATAATTTTGAAGTAGTAAATCGTTCACATAATATAGGTAAATCCTCCTTATTGATTCCAGAACCATTATCTGATATCTGTAATAATTTAATACCACCTTCCTTCACGAGAATATCGATAGTTGTACTACTAGCATCGATGGAATTTTCCATCATCTCTTTTAAGGCATTAACGGGAGATATAATAATTTCACCAGCTGCAATCTTATTGACCACAGAAGGATCCAGAGCTCTAATGGAGGATGACATGTTCCAATAAAGCTGTTGTAGTCGAGATGAATAATATATATATATAGCTATTAGCTGATATGTGAGTATATTCCTTACTTTCCCAGTTTTGTCTTGGTGTTCTATTATCTTATTAATGTGAGACACGTTACGCCAAAACTGCCTATTAACCGTATTAACGCCTAAAATATGTCATCAGCACGTGACCGATAGTTTTCAATGGAAAAAAGGTGCGCCATCATGCAAAAAAAAAAATGAACTGAGCGAGTCCGAGCAGTCGAGAATTGAAAGAAAGAGAGAGAGAAAGAAAGTGACAACATTTTGTTGATTGATGTATATTTTATACATTTATCAATTGATCATAGAAAGAGATGATGAGAAATAATTGATTTTGTTTCAAGTACCCTCTAGCAGTATATTTGAAGTGAACGTCACAAATTGTTTGCTTGATAGAAGAGTGATTCCATTTAAAGAGTATTTTTTGCTAGGATTTTTCTGTGGAAGCCCATCACTCAAAGGGATTCTCTAGATAAGCATTATTTACTAAATGGTCATATATTATCAGATATATTATAACATATATATTACTCTAAATTATCATCAACATACGATAGGCCATATCTTCATCGAATAAACTGTTTCTCAAAAACGAATTTCTTCAATAACGATAGTCCTAAACCCTTTTTTTAATATCGTTAATTTTACCCCCATAATATGTGGAACTTTACTTCATCAATTCCCATTGTAAATACCCCTCATCATTTGAAGTGTAAAGTTCCACCAAAGGATATACCTGAAGATCCTCCAAAGGAACCTAAGAAGGGCGTCTCAAATGCTGATTCATCACTCTTTCATTGTATGCTTGCGGGTGGAGTTGGTGGGATTATCGGTGATACTGTAATGCATTCCCTAGATACCGTTAAGACTAGACAACAAGGTGCACCAAATATTTTAAAATATAAGAATATGATTCAATCATATAGTACCATATTGATTGAGGAAGGAGTACGAAGAGGTCTATATGGTGGTTATTCTGCTGCAATGTTGGGTTCATTCCCAAGTGCTGCCATCTTTTTTGGAACTTATGAATTTACAAAAAGAAAAATGATTACTGATTGGGGAATTAATGATACTACCTCCCATTTAGTTTCTGGCTTCCTTGGTGATTTTATTTCAAGTTTTGTATATGTTCCATCAGAAGTATTAAAGACAAGATTACAATTACAAGGTAAATATAATAATGAACATTTCTTTTCGGGTTACAATTATAGAAATCTTAGAGATGCAGCAAAGACGATAACCAAGAATGAGGGTGTTCGTGCTTTATTTTATGGTTATAATGCTACTCTTGCAAGAGACTTACCTTTCAGTGCTTTACAATTTGCATTTTATGAAAAATTTAGAGAAGCTGCATTTTCATTTGATAAAAAAAATGCAAATTCAGAAAGTCTCACATTACCATTTGAGATTCTTACAGGTGCCGCTGCTGGTGGTTTGGCAGGTATTATTACAACGCCCTGTGATGTAGTGAAGACAAGGTTGCAAACTCAAAGAAGCCCGAGTAATTTACCAGACACTCCTACAATGACACATATCCCCGTAAATAATACCAATAATAATAATAATAAGAGACAACCTGTTGTCCTCACGGATTCTATATTCAAAAGTTTTAAAGCAGTATATCGTACAGAAGGTCTCATTGGTCTATTCAGTGGTGTTGGACCAAGATTTGTATGGACAAGTATACAAAGTAGTATAATGCTGTTATTATACCAAATGACATTAACACAGTTGCGTAAATCATCCGTATTATAAGACAATGTGAATTAGATATACTTCTTTATCTTTTGATCCACAACGATATTCCGTTTCATTCTCTTTTATTTGTCTTCCTTTGCATTAATTGTACATTAATTGATATACTTCCTCTCTTTTTGTAAATAACATATGAGTAAATGTGCATGATAGTCAGTTTATATCAATACGCATATCCATCCATTCATCCAGACCTAAATATATACATATAGATATAAATATCCCAAATACAAGAACTAAATCAAATTCAAAGATGAAACTTCGCATATATATCATGTTTAATTTTTGTATGATATGTCACATTTCGTTGAGTGACAATTTTTTCATTCAACAAAACTAGAAGAAAGAACAGCTAAGAATACCAACACCCTCTGTTTAAACAAGCATTCGACGGGAGATAATTTTCAGTACAACTTTGGTTATCTTAACATACCTTTATAAGAAGATCAAAACCACTCAAAATACATAAAACTTGTGGTACATCATTTAGCCTTTACAATGTTCTTGGAATATGTCATCGTCGTTCCTCGAAAGCGTTAATCGTCTAACGGCTATTAATAATGTTGAGTGCGCGCCATAATAGAAAAACACTCGCTGCTTCCTTTCGGCAGTAAGATTTACTTGAGGCAATGCACTTTCTATCCTATGTAATATACATTATGAAAGTCTGAGGGATATTTTACTTAAATCAAGGGTTTCTTAATTTACAAGTCAGTATGTCATAATATCCCCAGATATATATACCTTACGCATCTGTTTATGCAATTTTTGTATATTACTTTTAAATAAGACATTAATAAGAAGAAGTGGAATGCAATACGTTGGAAGAGCTATAGGCTCGGTATCAAAAACGTGGTCTCAAATCAATCCCGCTACATTATCAGGAGCAATTGATGTTATAGTGGTAGAACAACCAAATGGTGACTTATCATGTTCACCATTCCATGTTAGGTTTGGGAAGTTTCAAATACTGAAGCCCTCACAGAAAAGGGTAGATATTATAATTAATGGCAAGAAAAGTGACTTACCAATGAAACTAGCCGATAACGGCGAAGCATATTTTGTTTTTGAAACCAGTAAAGAATTAAAAGGTATACCAGATGAATTATTGGCATCCCCTGTAGCCAGTGCTGCTAGTAGTCCAGAACTTAAAAGTCAAAGGAGATCCGATGAACCTGAATATCTAAATATAAATGAAGAGAGCTCACAACAAGTTCATCAACAAGGGGAAGAGGAGGAGGAGGAAGAGAATTACGACCTTACCAAGAGATTTCAAGAAAAATTAAATAAAAGATTAACTCAGATACATGTTCCAAGTAAATCTGACAATAATGGTGATTTACTGCTGGATATGGAAGGTTATAAACCAACTCAGGACATGATGCATGATACTGATATGCAGTTGAAACAACTATTGAAGGACGAATTAGGGAGTGATATGGATATCGCACAATTTATAAAGGAAGATCCTAATGGATCCATTAGAATAATTAATCCTTATGAGCATTCTGGCGACACTCAGATTATGTCACCTATTGGGTCTCCTTCTATTAATGCTAGCGAACCAGTATTGTCACTGTCTGGTGATAATACATTTAGAAGTGATACCGAAGATTTTGGTCCATCTACATCGTCTATAGAGATACCATCAGAGGAAGTATTGTCTGACAATGAGGACGAACATCTTAAAATTGATCACATGGAAGAAACTTCTAAAAAACCACAAGATGATAAAAGATATATAAGAACAATTAGATTAACCAATGAACAATTAAAGGCATTGGGATTAATATATGGTGAAAATGATCTACAATTTTCAATTGATCATGGTAAAGCTGTAGTTAGCTCAAAATTATTTGTGTGGAGATGGGATGTACCAATTGTAATTAGTGATATTGATGGTACAATCACAAAGTCAGATGCATTAGGTCATGTTTTGGCAATGATTGGGAAAGACTGGACTCATCCAGGTGTAGCACGTCTTTTCAATGAAATTTCAAGGAATGGGTACAATATTCTATATCTGACAGCAAGGGGTGCGGGACAAGCAGATTCTACTAGAAGTTATCTAAGGTCTATTTTGCAAGACAACTATAAATTACCAGTAGGGCCTGTTATTCTATCCCCTGACAGAACAATGGCTGCTTTAAGAAGAGAAGTAATATTGAAAAAGCCAGAAGTATTCAAGATTGCATGTCTGAACGATGTGAGATCGTTATATTTTGAAGATGAATCCTCAGCTACTCATATTGATATTGGAATTAAACATGACTGTCCACAGGATAACACAGGATTGGATGGTAATAAAACTGATGAAAGCCCTATTGAAATAGAAACGCCTTCTCAAAATAATTCAGATATGAAAGATAAAGTAAAAGTAAAATCACCAATTACATACCATTACAATGAGTTCGATACTGAGGACAAGCCAACTCCATTTTTTGCTGGGTTTGGTAATCGTATAACGGATGCACTTTCTTATAGGACAGTCGGTATACCTAGTTCTCGTATTTTTACTATTAACACAGAAGGTGAAGTTCATATGGAACTGCTTGAACTTGCTGGTTATAAAAGTTCATATTTGCATATTAACGAATTAGTAGATCATTTTTTCCCACCAGTTAATGTGATTGACGATGATATTAGAAGTTTACATTCTACAATGCCTGGATCTCCCGTTAATACCAGTGTCGATCGATATGATAATTCAAACCTTAATGATGGAGATTTGAGTATGAATGAAACCAAATCCTTTTTCAGACCTAATCAAGAAGAAAAATATACTGATGTCAACTTTTGGAGGGAACCTATTTTAAATATAGATGATCTCTCAGATATAAGTGATAACGATAATATAAGTAAACCAAACATTGAGGACGAATCTAGTAGAGTTGCATCACCAACTGCGGTTAGATATTCAAAAAAGGATAATTTAACTATCCCTGAAGACTCGGGTAATTTTGATATAAATACGAACGGTAAAATGATCCCAAACAAGAAATCTAATGAAGACATTGGAAAACAGATATATTTAAAGTTGGGTTCTCCATTAGCGTCACCTCGTATGTCATCAATTGATTCTACAGAGATTGAAAGTCCTCTGGCTCAATTTTCTATCTCTAAACCGCCAGCACCATCTACAGGTGTATCAAAGGTTAGCGTGTTAGATGACCAACATTCAATGCATAGTAAAAGAAACTCGGATGACGATAATAGAAACTCAGATGACGAATTTGATGAAGATGACGAGTTTGATGAAGATGAATTCGATGAAGATGAGTTCGTCGATTGAAACATGACAAAGGTGATTTGGTACTCACCTTATTTATTGAAATTAACATATGTATATATATGGAAGAATAAAATTTACTGGAAACATTTTAATAGTTGTTTAGATTAGAATGGAGAAAATAATTCATAATCTTTTTATTACCTTTATTTCTTTGAATATGTATTATCTACCCATAATCTATAATCTATATAGTTGATGTGATCTATGTAGATTATAAATATTTCATTGTGTCTTTTTTTCTTCGCCATCGATAGGTTTGCCTCTACCTCTGGCGTAACCTACGCATAATGTTATCATATTTAGTACAATAGATATGACAAAGTTTCTAGATAATATGGTACATTGTAAACTGGTTTGGTTAAAGTTGGCACTCTCAGAGCACATCATTTTGGATTTGTGAAACTCATCAAAAGTTGCACCAATGGCACTCAGATATGATGTCCAAAATACAGGATTATAAAGAATTGTTCCTTCTTGGTTCAGTATAAAATATAAAATAATCACAGAAAAATGTATATAATCATAGTGAGGGTATCTTGCTAATAGACTGGGTCCAGCAAACAATGCTAATTTTATTAACTTATTATCGAAATTAATAAGAGCCATTTCAGTAGTTGTGGGTAACTAATAGTACTTCACAAAACTGTTTCTATACAAAAGGAGTGTCACTACACAACAACTACAATTATCGAGCGATTGAAAGTAATGATGTTGACGATGATCTTTACTTTCCTTTAGGTCCAAACTTAAAGTATCATGCCTTTTAACTCTTGCAACCAAAACTTTTCACTCTCTTGCTATGACAGTACTCTCTTTGTTTACATTTTGCTTAGAAACTGCGCAGAGAAAGGCGAAAAATGCAGGCGAAAAAGAGAAAGATACAAAATGGTTAACAATCAAAAAGAAGTAAAATAAAAACAATCAATGCCGTGCTGATCTGAATATAAACAAAGGTGATTAGTGAAAGTTAATAGTGGAAACACATTTATTTTGTATATGAGAAAGTACCTTTAAAGAATATTTTAAAGCAATTAAATATACTCTATCGCTTATAGTTGAATAATCAGCAAAGCATCTAAATTGAGCTTTTTATCTGAAGAAATTAGGATACATTTTAGTGATTAATTTTTAACCTATACGGCAAAGAATTAATATAAGAGACCCAAGAAATCGAAAAGTGATTACTAAAATAGCTAAAATTATAACTTAATTCGAATGGGTAATACATTCATGAGGCAATTGTATAGTCCTGGTCTTCAATTGTTCATGGAGAATGACCCGAATGCGGATATATTATATAGCACATCTAACATTAATAAATCATTAAAAGCCACCAACAAAAATGATTATTCACAGGCCACCTGTGTAAATAATCAGGATATACTAGCATCTATCAAAGAAAGGGATATCTCACTACCTAAATCTGTGCATTTTAACGATTCCTCCCCAACTATAGTTTCAGATAGTCCCTATTTGACGAACCATGGTTTCGAAAATTTCGTATCTCCATTTTGGAATAATATAATAGAATCCGTATTTAAAGATTTGCCTTATAATGGCGATAATCAATTTATAGAGGAGTTCAAGTACAATGTAATCAGCTCATCCTTTTTACACGATCTAAATAGTTATATTCATCCAATAAAACCTAAGAGTTCAATTTTGGATTTTAATAATAAAGATAATGAAAAGTTGAATAAAACTATAAAATTATCAAAGAAAACGAGATATGGCAAAATAGCAAAAAAGGTTAATTACAGGTTCGTGTTGATTGGTACATTAGACTATAGCAGTACTGTATTTTCATGCTTAAAAGTTATGTATTCGTTGAAAAAGTTGAATAAATCGTTACAACGCAATACTAAACGAATTGTTATTGTTCTATTAATTTTCCTTTACCTATCGTTTCAACAGACTAATTTGAGGGTACACTGCATTAGAGCTAAATGTATTGAAGTAATTAAAGAAATGACTCCACTACTTGAAAATCTCGACACGTTGATAAGCCAATATCATCTACAATATAAAGAATTAAATATTAAAAAAAATTCAGCAGTACTCAAAGAAAACGAACGATTAAACTTAAAAAATACTTTAAAAAATAAATCTTCCATTGAACGAACTGATATCTCCACCATACATGATATTTTACATTCCACTACAGATCAGATGTTTTTTAAAATAAATTCTACTATTCGTCAATGGTTAACATGTTGTGATTTTGATAACTTGAGCAGTTATTGTGAAATGTTTGATGTAAGTCCCTTTGAATTGCGTATATGTTTAACACAACATTGTAGTTCTCTATCACAAAATATATCAAATATTCATATCCTTCGAAAATTTTTATTTTGCTGTTTATTATCCATTCTTAATGATAGTAAAATTCAATCTAAGACTATCGATTCCAATTTCCAATTAAAAATCCTAAGGTTATTTAAATGTTCAAAAAATCAAAAATCAATAAGAATGAATGAATGTTCTATTCTCAATAAAGTTAACTCATCTTTAATATCATTAATGGACACGACGAAAATATTAGTTTCCTCACTGCAAGAAAATAAAAGTGTATTCAAAATGGCTCAATTAGATTGTTTTCCATCAATTATTACCACTTCATATGACCAGACAACAATAAAAAGACAACAGAATTTGATTTATGAAACATTAGAAACATTAGAGGATCAAATTGAAATAATACAGAAGTATAATAAATCTAACTATGACTTTAGTTCAGTTGAGAATCGTCTACGACATTTAATAAACTCCGTACACGATTTTCATACTGATCAGATAAGCCAGATACCCCAACAAAGTTACTCTGTATCACGAAATGTATCCGATACACGAGCTTCCAGTTACGGGAAAGGATTTTCCTTAGATGTTCTCCGTGCCCCAAGTCCACTTGATGCATCACTTAATCTTAACAGAAAAGTCGAATTTATTAAAATTGCTAATAGTGATGAGGAAGATGATGGGGGATTTGTTTCAAGTGACGAAAATTACTACAACGAAGACGAAACAATCATACAATGTGAATTACAACCTACTATGGAGAACGATACAAGCCGTGGAATATCTGTCCATTATCAGAGTATGCGACAATTATCGGACGAACAATTACAAAGACAACTTCAAGATGAAATATTGAAATTCTCTGCAGAAAACAAGAAGAGTAGAGAAAACTTGAGGACTGAGAAATCATTTGAATTGTTAAAAAGGTGTAGAAAGCACAATAACGAACAATTAAGTTTTGACGATACTAAGACTGTTATAAATACGAATAATGGTAATGTTCAGTCCGGGAAGAACAATATGAAAACAAACTCAAACTTAGATAAAAATCATCATCTATGCGTCTCAGAAGAAGGTATTCCAATATTATACAATATTAGGGAATACTCTTGAAGAAAAATTCTTATGGCATAGTCTACTTCAAAAACATACGCACACACATATATATATATATATATATATATATATCCAGCACATAAATAGTATTACAAAATTTTGCATAAATTATCATTCAGACTCCATAGACACAATTAATAATAGATGAAACCTTTGAGTTCCTTTAATATTAGAAATTCAAAGGGCCTTCATCATAAAAACAAAATAATCAAAAATTCGTTTTCTCTATAAAGTCGGGGTTCACCACAATAGAAGAAGCGGAGGGGAGGGGGCAGAGCAGGAAACAAAGTAAAAGGGATTATCAAATATATTGATACTAAATCCGCATAGTTTTTATTGGTATTGTTTGTTTTCCTTTCAATAATGCAATAGAATTTTTTACAATTAAAGAATATACCTTTTTAAGGAGATATTTCTTAAACAGTTCTTGGAATTATATCCATTTCAAAAAGACCTGACTATCAGGTCAAAACGATCTAATTTATCGAGATCATCTCAGGTAGCGATCAAACAATTGAATAGAATAAGAAATAGAGTTAAAGAGGTGAATTATTTTAAGAAATTAACTTGACAGATCAATCGCTCCATTGTAGTTTAAAGGAAGAAATAATAATAACACTCCACGTATATTAAAATGTCACAGGATGATGTTAAGCGAAAAAGAGCTTCGTCATTAAGAACTCAAATGTTTAATAAACATCTCTATAATAAATTTACAAATAATAGTAACAATATTACAGAAGAAAATAACCAAGGATATGAACTAAATGACATAGAAGAAAATGAAACGGAACCTACAAATCTGCCTCCTATGGTAGATGAATTATTTGAGGATGACGAAGAAGAGGTTGATGATTTAGAAGATAATGATAAACCTCCACGTATGATAACTCAGATATTGGATCTTCTTTTAAATAGAACTCGTGAAATGCATACAAAAGACGGTAGACATATCCCTATATGTTTAGATCATCTTTCACCAGAATTTGTTAAATATTGTTCAAAAAAATATAAATCTCTCTTAATTGATGAACGTACTGATAGACCTTACATCTGTAATTCCATTACATCATCGAGGTATACATTGTATTCATTTCTTCCGAAGCAATTATATGCTCAGTTTTCCAAACTAGCTAACTCATATTTTTTACTAGTTTCAATTTTACAAATGATCCCAGGTTGGTCTACGACAGGTACGTACACTACAATCATTCCTTTACTTGCATTTATGGCTATCTCTATGGCAAGAGAAGCATGGGATGATTTTTGCCGACATTTATTAGATAAAGAAGAAAATAGAAAACTTTGTAATTTGATAAAGAAAGATACAACTTTCAAGAATGAAAGATTTTCATCCACTTTGACAGATGCATCAAGAACAAATATTGCGAGTAAAAATGATAGCAATAGTAGTTCAGGAGAGAGTGTCGGTTCCCTCAATACATATTTTACAAATTTTGAATTATTGAAAACTAGACATGGTGTTGATATTACACCAGAAAAATGGAAGAATCTTAAAGTTGGTGATTTTATTTTACTCAAACAAGATGATTGGGTACCAGCCGATGTACTTCTTCTAACAACAGATGGTCAGAATGGTGAGAGTTATATTGAAACGATGGCGCTAGATGGTGAAACAAATCTAAAGAATAAACATCCGCATCCAGAGCTACACAAACTTACCAGTAGTACCTCGGGGTTAGCACATATTAATGCTCAAGTCACAGTAGAAGATCCAAATGTTGATTTGTACAATTTTGAAGGAAATTTAGAACTCCTTGATAGCAAGAACAATACTGTCAAAAAATACCCAGTTGGTTCGGATAATGTCATATATCGTGGGAGTATAATTCGAAATACTAAAAACGTTATCGGTATGGTAATCTTCACTGGTGAAGAGACGAAAATAAGAAAAAATGCGTTGCGTAATCCAAGAATTAAATCTCCAAAATTACAAAAGGATATCAATTTAATCATCGCGTTTATGGTAATTATTGTGATCTTCATTTCATTATTTTCCTTCCTTGGTCATAATCTTGCTAATAAGAAATCCATTGATAATAACCAGGCATGGTATTTGTATGAACAGGATGCTGGTGTTGCACCAACAATCATGTCATTCATTATTATGTACAATACAATGATTCCATTATCGTTGTATGTTACTATGGAAATTATTAAAGTGATGCAAAGTAAACTAATGGCATGGGATATTGACATGTTTTATGCAGAAACAAATACTGCCTGTGAACCGAGAACTGCTACCATTTTGGAAGAACTTGGTCAAGTGTCATATATATTTAGTGATAAAACAGGCACACTAACCGATAATAAAATGTTATTCAAAAAATTCTCTATATGTGGTTCTTCATGGGAACATAATGTAGATGAGGATTCTAAAGGTTCCCCAAAGGATAGTGTTTCGAAAGTTCCATCAAATCAAAGCACCGAGATAGATATTATTTCATATGATGAATCAGTAATTTTGGGAAAGACACCAAGGGAATATGTCTGTGATTCAGCAAGAAAGAATCTTAACACTATAGACCAACCAAGAGCATCTGTTGATTATAAAGGGAATTCTTCTTTGAGGTACGCTGGTCGTCCATCATTGAGCTCACTGTATGTGGGGAAAAGAAATAATGAGATCAAAAAGGAAGAAGAAGCGCTCAAATCAGGAACGCAGATAGAATCTGTCGAAGACATTAAAAGTTCTTTCGATTTATTACGTTTTATTCAGCTACATCCTAGTTGTCTATTTTCTAAAAAAGCAAAATTCTTTATTTTGGCTTTGGCACTATGCCATACATGTATTCCAAAACAAATTTCAGAAAGCAAGTCTGAAGGTCATAACAATGATACTATCGATTATGAGGCCGCCTCTCCTGATGAGCTAGCCTTGGTAAAAGGAGCAAGGGATTTGGGGTTCGTTGTTTTCAATAGAAGTGCAGGTATACTAACAATAAAAACGTATCCAAATGGTTTTTCAGAAGATCCTATATTAGAAGATTACGAAATTTTGAACTATATTGAATTTAATTCAAAAAGAAAGAGAATGTCAGTAGCTGTTCGTGTACCTAACGAGCCTGGTAAAGTTCTGTTGGTCTCCAAAGGTGCAGATAATGTCATATTGGAAAGATTACATAACAATGAGTTAGCACAACGTAAAATGGAGGAGATGAATAATAATACTGGAGAACGTAAAGAAAATGAGGCAGAATTGGTACTTCAACAGCGCAAATCTTTGGAGTATATTGCATATGAAGATGAGGCACCAAGAACCTCATTAAGATTAAAAAGGAATATATCTGCTGGTAGAGATAGTCTATCGCTACAGGCTATGCGAAAGAGCCTTTCGAGGAAAGCAGTCAATCAAATGACAGATCCTGAAATGCCGATTGGATCAATTGACCAATTTTTAAGTAACGTGAATAGAACCAACCAAGAGTTAGAAAATATTATGACACAAAGTAGAAAATCGCTACATAGACAACAACTTGAAAAGTATGGTCCAAGATTGTCAATGGACCAGAGAGAGAATGAGTCTCATAAGCTGGTCTCTGAAATTAATTCTAGTACGGTAGAAAATACCAACAACGATGACGATAATGAAATGCAAGAGTATATAGGAAGTGATGAATTAATATTGAATGATGAGTACATTTTGGAAAGATCAATACAGGCTATTGATGAATTCTCTACCGAGGGTCTACGAACTTTATTATATTCATATAAATGGATTGACAACAAGGATTACGAAACATGGAGTGAAGAATACCAAAATGCTAAAACATCACTTGTAAACAGGAAGGCCCTTATTGATGAAATTGGGAGTCATATCGAGAACGATATGGTATTGCTAGGTGTCACCGCTATTGAAGATATGTTACAAGAAGGCGTTGCAGAATCTATTGAAAAAATTAGACGAGCTGGTATTAAGATGTGGATGTTAACGGGTGATAAGCGTGAAACTGCAATTAATATTGGTTATTCTTGTAAATTAATATATGACTATTCGACTGTAGTTATTTTGACAACGAGTGATGAAAATATTATTTCCAAAATGAATGTAATATCGCAAGAAGCCGATTCAGGGAATATGGCACACTGTGTTTTAGTCATTGACGGTGGAACGTTAGCAATGTTTGAACAAAACCCGACATGTATGGCTGTGTTTATTGAGTTATGTACTAAGGTCGACTCAGTTGTTTGTTGCCGTGCATCCCCATCCCAGAAAGCTTTAATGGTTAGCAATATTCGAAATGCTGATAAGTCGGCTGTCACCTTAGCCATTGGGGATGGGGCAAATGACATCGCAATGATTCAGAGTGCTGATATAGGTATTGGTATTGCAGGTAAGGAAGGTTTACAGGCATCTAGATCTTCTGATTATTCTATAGGACAGTTTAGGTTTTTATTGAAGTTACTTTTTGTTCATGGACGTTACAATTACATTCGTACAGGGAAGTTCATTTTGTGTACATTTTACAAAGAATTGACATTTTACCTTACTCAATTAATATTCCAAAGATATACTCTTTTTTCTGGTTCATCTTTATATGAACCATGGTCCTTATCTATGTTTAACACATTATTTACCTCTTTACCTGTACTATGTATCGGTATGTTTGAGAAGGACCTTAAACCAGTAACATTATTAACAATTCCAGAGTTGTATTCATACGGGAGATTATCTCAAGGGTTTACAGTAAAAATTTTCATAGAATGGATTATACAAGGGGCCCTAATATCTGTCGTAATTACCTTTTTAAACATCATCATTTGGGGGTTGACATCCTTAACAGATAATAGCATGTATCCGCTCGGTGTAGTCAACTTCACTGCAATTGTTGCCATGATAAATATGAAGGCACAATTCATTGAAATGAGAAATAGGAACTGGATAGCATTTGTATCTGTTACATTATCATGTGGAGGATGGCTAATTTGGATGGTTGCACTTCCAGTTATCAATAAATCTGATGGAATTTATGACGTTCCATATGGTTTTATTCATCATTTTGGTAGAGATATTACATTCTGGTGTACCTGTTTTATATTGGCTCTTTTACCAATAACCCTAGATATTGTTTATCAAACATTTAAGAGAACTTTCTGGCCAAGTGATGTTGATATCTTTGCCGAATTAGAAAAGAAAGATGAAATTCGAAAGAAATTAGAGTTAGGAGCTTTTAATGAGATGAGGCAAGGCTGGACATGGCCTCATGATCCAAATTCTATTCAAAGGTATAAGGACAAGATTGTTCATAAGGATATTTTAGAGACTGAGAATGTTAAGAACGTTGTGATAACTTCAGATTCTCAAGATAACATATTTGATGTTGACTCACTTGTCATTGATGATACCAATCCATCAACAACTGGATCGTTAGAAACAAATGGTAAACTTTCAAGCAAATACTCACAGGATGATTATGAAATATTACCAAGCGGTAAAATGATTAAAAGATTTTCTAAAAGTGACTCCGATATGATTCAAGATAGTCACATTAGCTTGCAGGCTGATAAAATTAAAGATAAAATTTCGAAGAAATTTGGCTTTAAAAATAACAAAGAAACAGATGAAGATATCGAACATATAGTTCAAGAAAGGATGAAGGATTTGGAAGCATGAACTTTATCATTTGTCATTATAAAGTTCGAGTTGTAAATATATTGTATAGATCTTACTGTTTTTATCATGACTCGGTTAGACAACACTATCGATTTCTTGTCACAATTTGTATTGTTTATTTAACTATAGTTTTGTTATATTGTTTAATGAACATTTATCATTATCTGCACAAATATTCGACTCAAACAATACTATCTACTCGTATTGTGCAACTTTGAAAACAGAAAATTTAACTACAATTAAGAAGGCCTAATTCAGAGGCAATATAATTTATTTTAGAAGCAGGTTCTTAAATGAAATGAAACTATTCGTTTATATTGTAATGTATAATACTTATCTATATAAGGGTTTATGTGATGGTTGAACTTCATATTACGTAACAATAACAGGGGAGTCAAAAATTTAAAAGATGCTGATAGATTTTATTGTTTCTGTCTTCCATTGAAATGTAAGGTCTCTTTTAGAGGCTAATGATATTCTTTATCTTAGTAAATATTATTACAACATATTATAAATGTATGTCATTCCAATAACATAAATGTTATGTTATGCCGTTATTTGTTGATTGATAGGAACTAGTTTGTTTTCATAATGTGTTTTATTTTGGTTTATGTCAAGCTTAATCGTCCTTTTATTGTTATTTTTTGGCTGAATTGTTTTATATTAACTCAAAAATCTTTCAAATACACCTATAATGAAAAATAATAGGATTGGTGCAAGTACCCGAAGTATATCATTGTATTTTTGTTCTTCATCATGCTGGCGTTGAGCTTCTCTTTGTCTGTTCCTTTGATCTCTCGTTCTTGGAGGATTGTAAGCTCTAAAACCACCTGGACCAAAAGTGAAAGTTGTTGCACCACCACCATTCATAAAAGGATGATTTCCGCCAAATCCACCAGGGTTACCACCCATATTAAATAGGAAATCGAATATATCCTCTGGAGCTCCTCCAGTAGCTCCAGGTGGTCCACCTCTGAAAAACATATTTTCAAATCCTTGTGGGAATTGGCCACCAGCTCCCCGTTGGCCAAATCCTGAAGCTGAAGAAGAGTTCATTCCCATCGATCTATCATCTGGATCCCTTCCTGTGCTATCAAATATACTTCTTTTTTGTTCATCGCCGAGTACTTCGAACGCTCTGTTGATTACTTTAAAGGCTTCACTGGCTCTAGGGTGAGGATTTTTATCTGGATGTAGCTTTATAGCTAGTTTTCTATATGCTTTTTTTATTTCATTGTCGGATGCTGTCTTTTCCACTTGCAATATTTCATAGAATTCACTCTTATCTTTCGAAAGTACTTTAAGTGTAATTTGTTTCTGTTCCTCTGTAAAGGATGTAGCTGTTGACATTTCTGTTTCTGTATCTATGTATATCTTCAACTATATTAATACGTAGAAGAATATTGTGTGTAATTGTTTAAATAACTGGTAACAGGTATAATTTCTCTTAAGTTGAGCAAAAAAGAGACAGGACTTTACTGTAAATAATTCCTGTAATAGTAGATAGCAATTTAAGTCCCTGAATTTTTCTATTTGAACGGCCTTTATTGATCGTCTCTGCACCTTTGTCACTACCTGTCAAACCCGATACAACCTGTGATCATCAAGCTCAAAGTGAAATATTACAAACGACTAGTTCATGTAACTTCTTCTTCTTCTTGTTCTTTCCTACCTTAAACGATTTCTCAACAAAAAAGAGGCAAAAAATTCAGAAAAAGTGAGGCTCCTTTTCTAACCAGTTTCGCTAAGAAATAGGCGTAGCATAAACAAATGAATTTGATCTGTATTACACTAACAGGAATGAACGTTTCGATAGATAATTATGAGATTGTCCTAAAACCTTTATGATTAGTTACGTTTGTATTTGCATTCCAATGCGATATATATATATGTGTGTATGCACGTATGTATGTATGTATGTATGTATATATCTCACTATCAAGTTTGGATATCTTCAATAAGCAAACGGACACTGTCGTAAGAGGATAAAACACTCAGGACGTTCTTCAGATGGACAAGTCCCTTTGTTGGTGGATCCCATGTTTGGTATGCATCGAGTAATTGTTTCAACCTATGTATTGCTTCTTTATTGTTCCTTTCGAACCTCTTTGGGTCATTGTATATTGTTCTCCATAGAATGCTATCTAAAGAAATAGTAAAATGCAGACATTTGGGATAATCCTGAATAGGAACATTTTTTATCTTGATAAAATTACAAAGAGATTCATGAAACTTCCATACTAGATCGTATTGATTAACAGTATTTAAGATACTTGTAGGGTTCAGATTGTCTCTTAATACCACTAGGTGTTTATTCGTGAGCGGCTTCCTAGTTAATAAAGTATTTTCAATAAAATTTTTAAAGATGAGATCATCATCATAAATTTCACTGTATGTTTGAAACAGTTCTGGTGATTTCATTGTTAGATATTGCGTGTATTCTAAGAAATTGTGAATAGTTGATATACTCTCAGGTAATTCATTGAATGAAAAATTACCTTCAAAAGTTGGTTCAATTGTGTTCCACTTAGCCTCCATTTGTTGAAACCATTGTTTTGTTGTTGCAGTCCTTTGCTTTTTAAGTGATGGTGTAACTGTATTCGGATTGTATGACCTCGAAATGAAAAAGGGACTAATTAATTTTAGAATGGAGACAAATTCTTGCCTTCCCATGTTTTGAGTAAGTAAAAAATTATCGATTAACGATATTTCAAATTTTCTTCTATCAGGAATCGTTAAATCGTATTCAAATCGTGGAGTCTTCATAATATAATCTGGTAAATGTAGCTCCTCTGGTTGTCTAGAGTCTAGATCAAAGTATTGGCCATCAACCCATACGTTTCTAATTATCTTTGGGTGAAAATAATCAATGGCTAATTTTTGTGTAACTGTCATAAAATTATCGTAAAGTTTCCCAACCATTGATAAACGGAAAGAATCCCAATTATAAAGTAACCAATCCAGATTCGCTTGTAATAATTTTGATTCTTCTGAATCAATATCTCTATAATTTTTAATCTTTGAAAGAATATCTTGTTCATTTTTATGAAGTCCCTGAAATAAACTACGTTCTTTATTCTTCTGCATCTTACTATAATCATTTTCTGCAGTGATATTATCAGTATCGGTGGTTTGGCTACTATCTATACTATGATCCCAGAATCTGTAACCTTGAAAGCATGATTCGATGGCCAGCATCCCTACATATGCTTTTTTATCAAATTTAAATTTTTCATTTTGACTTAGAATATATTTTGCTAAAGGTATTATTAATGGTACACTATGATAAACACCAACGAAATAAATTGCTTCTACATCCTTAAATATGTGTTCCCAATGTCTCAATAATAGAGTACATTCATCGAAAACTTCATTCAATTCTTTACTATCTAAGGGACACTCAAATGATAAGGATAAAATTTCGGATGGAGATTCATGCTTTAAAGACTGGGCTAATTTCTTAGAAAAATATTGTGCAGTTCTTTGTTCACCTAATGTTAATTTTTCATATTTTTCAGGTAACCACCCAACAACACTAATAATAATAATTTTTCTCTCTTTTATTAAATGGTCTCTAGACTCTTTCAAATATAAATGATTTCCATTAGGAAAATTATAATAATCTTTAAATCCTGTTGCAATTTTAGTACGAAGGGGTTCGGTATGGTATATTTCTGACGGTGATTCCTGAGGTAGTAATAGTGAATTTTTTATATAAACATGATAACCAGGATGTGTATCCATAGGATATTTAGGCAATGGTAAAGGACATCTGCCGGACCCTGTGTCGTATACGCTCGCTACACCTGGTCTTTCTGTCCAACTTTGTAAATCTTTATCCAGTTTAGTTAGATCTTCAAACCAACACCAAGAATGTGAATGTTGTAAGATAACACTTTTAGCTTCGTTTTCTAAAAATTCTATTTGTTCGACATCTAATTGGGAGTACCTTGTTGAGTCATCTACATTTACTGATTGTATATGACTTCGAAGGGACGGAATAGGAAGTGCGTTTACAGTAGACACTAACCCTGCGTACCATCCGTTATTGTTATTGGCAGTCTCATTATTGTGTGTTTCATTAGATCGATCTTCATCATTGTTACCCATATTTAAATCGTCGGTTTTATGATTATTATTATTATTATTATTCCCCCACCAACTAAACCAAGAAGTCTGTTGAGGTTGTAGCGGTAACGGTTGGGTTTCCTCACTACCAGTATCTTCTTCCATATTATGTTTATAAAAACTTTTTTAAGCTATTATGTATGCAGTACTTCCACTTGTGATAATAAATTGTACAATTGTTTGTTAAGGTCCTTTTATGTTTTTCCTGCTTTACTCCCTTATGAAAAAAAAAATTGCGAATCAATCAAAACTATTTAGTTGTCCTTGTCCTAATTAAAAAATGATCCAGTGAAAACCTTGAATGTTAATTTGTTAAACAGATTTGGAGTAAATTGTCATAATATTCGAAACCGCCAACCTTTGAACCTTATTATTTTGTTATATTGTTATATAATGAAATGTCAAGCAAGTGAAATCTTTAATAGAAATTTCTGATTGACAAGCAGCGCACGGACATGTTGGCGCAGGCAATTTTTGACATCAATGAAACAAATAATTCAATATTCGATATACGATAGTGAAAATGATTGTTGTGGTCAAACTGAACGATGACATGCGAGTTTGGATAGTATATTGAGGTCGTAGTTGATGGTATTTGTTTGATATATTGAGTGCATAGTTATATATCTGCAACATAGAATAGGGGAGAAGCATGGAAAACGAAGCGATTGTATCTGTGCTTATTAAAAGGCTGAAAGATCGTGACCAAGTTCAGGAACAATACAGTGAACTGTTTAATGAAATTTCAACTAATGAAAGGGATGTTCACACTACTGATACATCTACAACAGATCAAATATTAGATACTTTGAAAAAGGAAAATAGTTTTAAAGATCAAAATATAGAGCATCTGAAAGAACGTATAGATATTATGAACAAAAATATTGAAAAGTTAAATGACGAATTAATAAGTACAAATATTGAAAACAACATTCTGCAGGATAAATTTGAATCGTTGAATGAAGAATATAATAAACTAGTTCAACGTTGGCTTCAAAAAGTACAGAAAGAGGCAGATGTAATGAATGCAAATGTTGAGAATATAAATAGCTTAAAATGAAATAACAAATATCCTTTAGACCTTTTTTGACTATATAAAGGGTGCCTGGTATCCATATTAAACCATAATCAGTTTATTTGCTAAAAATGGGAGTTCTTCTCACCAGCATTTGTGAAGAAACGAGAATTATCTTCCATTATGATAGGAAAAGTACTAAACAAGAAGATTGTGATTCTCTCTGTGTGTTTAGGCATTTAAGGATGGCACATCATAATTATTTATTGCATTTGATGCTGTATATGTAATGAATGAGAGTTTAAATTCAACGAGCACGCTTGAATTGGCATATCTAGCATGTTAGGTATTTGAATTTAAACTGTGACAGGATGTTATTTATTAACATATCCGTTATCGTTTTGTGGAACGTTAGTCTGTTTAGAAAAACCCCCGGGATGGATCATCTATCGTATTAAAGGTTAGTTCCTGGAACAGGAATCATTGTAAAAGTTAACCTTAGTTTCTGACAAATTAACACCAGGTTTGTTTGTAATGGACACGTAGTCAGTTAATCTATTCGTAATTCCTGTTCATAACGCTTAATTTGGAACCAAAAAATGTTTAAATATTTGACAAAAGCACAAATGTGTGAAACGGAATAAGAAATTTTACAGCATTTGTCTATTAAAGGCGATACTCTTACAGAAAATTGTCAGAGATCATGTAACCAAAACTCTAAATAGTAATGGATTTCGGTATCCATTTATTATACATACATTTGATACCCTTTGGTTTAAGCCAGGCTCCCTCCTCTTTTTCAAGAGGGCAGAATACCAAATAAATGAAATATAATATATATGATATGAAACGCTTTTGTCTTTTTCTCTTCAACTTTCATAGCTAATAGAACCCATGATATATAAAATAGTAGGTAGAGAGCTCTACACCTTACCTTTCAAATATTAACCTAAAACATTTTTTCATGGTCCATAATTTAGAAGTTGGTTTGCACTGTTAAATTAATATACAAGCTACTACCAAAAAGTTTACTAATAACTTCATTTCAGATCACATACACATATACCTACTTTCTATAAGCAATGTATAATCGATTCATCTTTATACATTAGAAATATATAATCAAAAATGGAAAAACAAGTGTTTGCATTTAATAATTATTCGCACCTGCTATGTTGAGAAAATAGAGCACTTGATATTATGTTGCAGAGATTCTGTGTTTGAGTTTTAATCTCATTTGATTCTTAACTTCTATTTTATTAGTTAAATTTAAGTCGGACATTTTTTGATATGATAATTGATCTGTTATTTTAAATTATATAATCTTCAAATTAATTAGTCGTAAATATTGCTTACTTTTGGACTTAGTGTCACAGAGAGTTATCGATATTTTTTGGTATATTCAGGCTTCCCAAACCAGAGAATAGATGCATATATATTCCAAATTGATTCTAGGAATAGTAGTACAAAATAATTATGACCAAATTAAATTATATAAATGACCAGCTCTATCAATAGGAAACATTTTGAGAATTATTTTGAGCAAGCTTTTAAAATACATAAAATAGAAAAATATCAAGAAATGCTTTTGTAGCTCAGTCGGAAGAGCGTCAGTCTCATAATCTGAAGGTCGAGAGTTCGAACCTCCCCAAGAGCATTTTTTTATTATTTTTTGCTATTGCTGATTTTTGAATAACCTTACTATAAATTCAAAACTACTGGAAGTTGACATTTAACTATTATTTGATTTATTACAAATATATTTTAAATCTTTTTAAAAACTTTTCGTTTACTCTATGCTTTATTTAACATGGGATACGCTGTTTTTTTTCAGTAGAAGGTCGATCTCCTACAAGGAAAAGTTAATTTCAGACTCGGAGAAGAAGAGAAGATGAACAACAAATCACAAAGTCACACTTGCCAATGTGAATCATATCTGGAATATTTTAGTTTCACATTATACAATTAGGATTCTAAATTCTGCTTTGACATTAGTTTTGTAAAATTAGTGAATGTTTAATTTTTATATATTCGCTGTTAATTGTATAAATATTTACAAGTACATGAATTAGAAAAGTAACTTATGAAGGGGGATAGAGTCATGATATTAGGTAACTCTGTTAAAGAAACTTTTTCTCCGTAGAACATTATTTTGCTATATATATGTATAACTAGACCATGCTAAAAGTCTATCGAAATGAACTCTTTTTCTTTCCCTTTTTTTCATTATAGGAATATAAATCTTATCTTTGTTAACTAGAAATTATTTCAGTTATTACCTTAATTTATCCTACAAAGGACCTCACCATCTAACTTCTTAAATACGGCATCGTTTATATCCATAATTTCATTATTATGACGAATCAGGATTAACTCACCTGGTTGTAAAGGTTTAATATTTCTAACAATTGTACCAGAACATATTTTCTTTAGATCCTCGTTTCCCAGGATGATTCTGACACTAGGTTTTGATATGAGTTGCAATTTATTAAGAATAGGTTTATTTTCTCTGTACTTCAATCCCAGCCATAATCTCCTTGTAGAGATATTGTCAGGAGTAACCTCAACATACTCTTCATCCGGACCCTTTGTTGAACCCTTTTGTAAAGAAGATATAAACCCTTGCTTGTAAAGATTGTAAGCAAACTGTAGTTGCAGTTTTGTATATGGGATAGAAGTTAATGACAATCTTACCCTGGTACAATTCTGTAAATGCGCACAGGTGTGAGCCAGTTTAACTAGAGACATAATTAACTGTATGTGGTAGGTTTTATATTTCTCGCTGGACACTTGGAAAAATAGATACGAAAAAGAATAGAAGCCCTTGTCTGTATCGTGTTGCAACAATCACTTTTCACTTCACTTCCTTTGATATTAGTATAGTTATATCTTCGAATGCTTGCAAAGTCGGTTCAAACCAGAAAGAAAATTCGTTTTGAATTGTTTTCTTTAGATTTTGTTTTGGTTCGCCGAAAGTTTCTCGGAGCGTTGTTTCGGTTTAATCTGTTTTACTTTAAACTCTCCCCTTGACAGATATACATTGAAGTATCATGCAAGAGTCTTTTAAATATTTTGGGATTTCATAGTTTGACAACGAGGACAATAACATTAGAGCTTCGATTTAATTGTGGTTTCCCGTTGGATCATATCAAGTCAGTTACGTAATTGATATAGTTTAAAGAAGAGAAAATGTTGAGGATTCTGGGAAAGGGTACGGTTAACCGTTTGTGTAAGAAAGCAGTTCCAACTAGAAATGTAAACACTATAATCCCATCAGTGGTCGCGTTGCCATTGAGGAAACAAACACCAGTTTGTCAGTTTAGTATTCCTTCCAAGAGATATAGCTCTTCCAAGAGCAATAAAGCACCTGCCGATGAGTTACCAAGTTTTAAGAAACTTATAATGATAGGGTTGGTAGGGACGGCTGTCTTCGTTCTTGCTGTTCGTTCATTAGATCAAAATAAACCAAAGACTTCATATTCGGAAGAAGAATATCAACAGGTGGTGAATGGTTTGAAAAGAAAAATTGCAATTTTCCAACCTGGTGAAATAGATATGCAATTGACAACATTACCTGATATAAAATCAGCTAAAAATAAATTGCCAAAGGCAGATGGTGATATCCCTCCTATACATTTTATTGATCCAAAGAATATAGTGGATATACATAAAAATGATTCTAATGACAAGTATAGAGTTCTTCTCGAAAATATACATAAGATATACGGTAATGATTATTACTATAATTTACCTGAGGGTCTATTGGTAGCATTAATGTTACAATATATTAGAGATAATGTAAAACCAAATGAAAAGGTTGTTATTGTAGACTTCCCAAAGAGTATAAAGGACGCATCTAATTTTGAAAGTGAGATTGCTGTAGTGTCAAAGGTAATTATTCCAAAGGATCAATCAGAAACCGATATTTGTAAATATTTTGAAACGGTTGATAAAGTAACCCTAGTATGAAAAAGTAATATTTTGGCTTTGAATCTATGTTCCTATTCTGAAGAATAAACTAGTATGGCAAGTTATATTTTATTCTATGTATTTTTTACTGTTCAATTACCTTTTTTTTGTAAATATGTCCTTATATATATCCATATCCATATAATTTGATAATAATAATAATAAATGAGACAACAACAAGTATGATTTACTACTTAAACACGCTTTCATTTCATTCATGAAATAAGTCAGAATGTCGTCCTTTCTTTCCTATTGTCGTGATAATAATTTTTTTGTAAGATAAAAATGTAATAATGTTCGAAATCTTACGATTCTACGAATATTTAACTTTAAAAATTGTCTCGATAAAACTTTTTAAACTACATTGACGAAATAATGAAAGCTGTCCTTCCATAGAAATATCTCAACACCAAACATGTCGCATAATCGTTACATTACACCTGAATTGATTAAGTATACTCCAAAGAACGGTGAGGTTCCAGCGGATGATGCCAAGTTTTACGCTTTCGATTTAGATCATACCCTTATTCAACCGAAAAATCCTAAAGCTATATTTGCAAGAGGTCCCAATGATTGGAAGTTTATGGAGTTTAAAGATGGGGAACAAACATTAACGACACTTATAAATATTTGCAAAAATGATTCGAAGGTTCAAATTGTAATATTTACTAATCAAGGAGGAGTCATTACAGTGCCCTCTAATTCCAAAAGTTGTAACACTTTTACGTCGAAAATAGAAAATGTATTCAAGTACATTTCTACACAGGAAAATGGTGATTTGCTACTTTCGAGACTTTGGTTGTATTCTTCGACAATGAAACCAGCAGCATTGTTTCCCAAACAGAAGAAGCAGACCTCAAAGAAATCAATCACTAAGCAATCTACTCTACCTTTTCTCGAACGACCAAAAGATAACAAGAAAGAGGTAGGTGATTCAAATAAATCTTTGGAAGAATTATTTAATTCAATGAGAAAGCCAAACATTGGAATGGGAGAACGATTTATTAAAGATATCCAGAAAAGAAATCCCTCCATAATGAAACATAATATGAAGTGGGCATATTACTGTGGTGATGCTGCAGGTAGATCTTCCGACTTTAGTGATACAGATAAAATATTTGCCAAAAATATGGGTATTGATTTTAAGACCCCAGAGGAGGTATTTATCTCTTAATAGTAATTGTATTCTAATCGTTTTTTCATTCTATCATATTGTATACTGATTGGTGATATATCTTGTATATATGAATATATAATGTAATAAAGCATAATTAATGGATAGCTAATCGCTATTGATCTGATTGTAACTGTATTGTTTCATTAATATCTGCGCTTTCATTTGACAGCCTTTTTTGATTTTCCCAGTACGAACCAAATATCATCATTGCAGTTAGCGTAATGCCAACAAGGCAGATGTCAAATATCGTGTTAAATGTGTGTTTGTAACATGAAGTACCTATTTTGCATAGATTTTCGTTTTCTTTCGAATTTGATGATAAATCATGTGCTAGGATACTTGTAAAAAATTTAACTGTGAATACGCCACCTGTAGTGCATATACTCCAAATGGTACTAAAACTATCTGTACCAAACGTATCAGCTATAATTGATGGAAACGTTCCAAAGATCATTCCAAATGCATAACCAAATATGGTTGTGCATATAGAAATATTTTTGATCGATGGAATGCTATCGGTCTTTCGTGATTCATATTCGTCGACATTATAACTATATGTGATAAAATGTGAGGCCACTAATACTAGAAAACTCGCAAAAAAAATATTCCATAATCTTTGGCACTTAAATTTTCGAACCAAAATATCTGATGTTGGGCCAGAAGTTAATCTCCCACAAAATGAGAAGATGGCAAACATAGATATTTGGAAGGCCTGTAATTTGGCCATGTCTAAATGATAATCTGAAATTGGAGGTGTATTCACTTGAACTTGAATGAGAAATCCCACGGAATATATGTACATTTGTCCAATACCCATTTGAATTGCTAAGATTGCATAGAATACCAAATATTTTGGGTCTATTATAGTCTGTATAACTTTGTTATTTTGTAACTTTAATAGGATATTAGAAGCGAAATATCTCTCAAAACTGGTTTCTTCTTCGTCCCCCTCTGATATTGTGTCTCTTCTTAAAGCTGTAATATTATTAGCTTCATTATGTATATCGTGTTCCCTAGATTCTGTGGAAAACGAATTACGTTGTGAAACAATGCTGTTGTTCGACCCTTCTTGGTTGGAAGTGAAAGTTGTAATTGCAGTCACAGGATCCTCAAAAATGTCGTATGACCTTTCAGCTGATGGGTGTGTATTCGTGTGAATCATATCGCTTTTTGACCTGGTATGTTTATTACTATAATTTGCAATAACTCTCTCATTGTCTGAGATTTGGTCTACAGAAGTGCTACTCTCTAGTTGTCCTCCGCCTTGATAAATAGTGTTAAAATTATAATTGTCATTCTCAGTATCTCCATTCTCAGTATCCTTTGGTTCTTCATCTTCAAACGACACAGTAACAATTTTGAGAGTAAAAGTTCCTACTAATATCATTATGGTACATGCAATTTGGAGAAATCTAAAGACGCCTAGCATGTCATCTCCAAACAATTTTGCACATATCATTGAGAACACCATGCCAGATAGGGCATATAACGAGATGGGGAATGCAGTAGCAGTACCTCTATTTCTTGGGAAATTTGCAGTACATACTTTGACACCAGCAAAGAATCCAGATATTGAACCGAATCCGACTAAAACTAGTGCAAACGATATGAGATATACGTTTGATAAAGCATTTGCATGACAAATATGTAGGATTCCATACGCTATGAATGTTGTAACACCTCCAACTAGGCAGGATATTGCCGGGTTATAGTCGATAATCATACCAGCAAACATTGCCAACAATGAACTGCCGATGTTAAGGGAAAATGATATAGAACTACTTTTTGATATTGGAATATTACATCTCTCGAGTAGTTTAGGGGCATAATAGGAATAAATATATGGCGTACCTGCACCTAGTGCAACTATATTGCTACCGATAAACGACTTCAGAAGGGTTCTTTTAGTCCCACTCATATCGGGCATGACAAGTCCTCCTATTTAAGCTAAATGGTGGGATTGATAGGTTCTATGATACGAGTAGGCTGGGATTCAAATTGTGGATTCGACCTTTATATGTACATCGTCAATTATTTTAAATATTTTGAATATCTAATCATGATAAGGACATCATCAATAACAATTTGTAAAATGTCACGTCCTCAATGGTAGGGTTTCCTTATCGCGTCAATTTTATTTACAATTACCGAAGTCAACAATATTTAAAAGTTCTACTAATTGTTAAAAAAAATCAAAAAATCCTGATAGTTGAGTATAAGATGAAGGAAAATACGTTACTTTAATATAAAGAGTCACCTTACAAGATATATATATACTTAGGAATCATGGGTATTATGAGGTTAAATTGAGTAGCTATTGTATATAACTATAAGAAACAGGCAAGCTATGACCTACGAACATGAAATAAATGATATTTTGAAGGAAGCTTACATTGGGAAACATTCTACAGTGAATGCAAAGTTACTTAATCTACTTCAGCACACAAAAGAATCCAACGACCCTATTTTACTTAAGCAAGTTATATGGTTAAATGAACAAATCAAAAATATTACAGATAGGGAAAGAGTAGAGTGGTTGATGTCTGTTGTTCGGGATAAATTTTATCCTCCATTGTGTATAGATAATGCTACAAGCATACCGTGGAATAACATAGATTCTAGTGTTTTAAAGGTAGATCAAAGTAAAACATTGAAAGAAAAATACCCAATTACAGGATCTTTGAAAGAAACGAAATATTTTCCTAATGAAGAAGTAGTTATGCCAGATCATAAAATTCCAATTGAACAAAGTGCGGATATTGGCGACTGTTCACTTGTAGCATCAATAATTAATATAAGAAAGGCATTGCTCGATATACCGAGAATCAAAAAGGTATCAGATAATTGTTATCAGGTTCAGTTACATTTTAATGGGTCAGACAAAAGATTAGTTTATGTCGAGAGTTCACAGATACCTACAAAATTAGACGGAGATCAATTATCACTAAAAAGTAACTCAAAAGATGATAAAATTATAGAAATTGCATGCTTAGATATCAATACAGGATCTTACGATACACAGGGATCTAATGTGGTTATTGATACATATCTAATGACGGGTTTTATCCCTGAGATAATTCCTGTAAAAAATGTTACTTTTGAACGTTTTTCCAAATATTTTAAGAGTAACCTATGTTTAATGGCAATCGGTACTTCTGATATTAATAAAGATGACCCTTTTAATAAAAACCTTCTACCATTCCATGATTATGTAATTATTGAGATTAATGATATTACAAAACAGGTTGCGCTCCAGGACCCATTAGATTTGAAACTTAATTTGAAGTTTACATTTAATGAACTTTTTCAACGTTCATTTTATCAATTATATATGAATTGGGATCCTACAAAATTATTTAAGTCCGAAAGGCGGTTAACATTCAGGTACGACTCTGCTGAAGCAAACGTACTTGATAGCATATATGGTAAACCATTTTTTAAATTGACAAATAAGTCCTCTAATAATCAAACAGTATGGTTATTCTTGGAAACTCATATCGAACAGGATATTAAGGAAAATATAGCATACATTCAAAGAATTCCACCCTCTAGTATGCTATCGAAACCATTTCCACCTAATGATTCTGTTGTTGATATCGGATTGCAGTTACTGAAGGTTGATATACCTGGTACCTCTTTTATGAACTTTTTTGTATATTCAAAAAACAACGCACATTTTACACTTCATTCACATTCGATCTCAACCGCTATTCAATTAACTAAACCTAAAATCCAAAATTACATTTCGGCTTCTGAATTTACATGGAACAAATCAGATGGTATAACTGCTAAAGTTTCTCGACCTATGGAATATTTAATTGGTGGTCGAAATTTCTATTTGAATCCAACCTTTGCTTTGGAAATCAGATCCGATGATAACGAAGAAATTCTATTTGATATTCAATTGCATTCTATTTTTACAGATGATATTCTGAGTGTACAAATATTTAACACAAATGATGAGAATCTATTGAATCCGATCTTACCTATGTCAGATTATCCGAGTAGCATGTGCACAAAATTAGGCGTGCCCTTAATGACAAACATTAAGTATAAGTTGATATTCTCAAGATATAAAGAACTCACAGCAAACGAAAAATATACAGTATTGATGTACGCCAAAAGAAAGAGTGATCAAAGCAATGAGGGATTATCGATTGACATTAACAGAATTTATAATGAATATGGGGGACTGGCATACCAAAACAAAGCTAATATAACATTTGAACCTACCAAAAACCGTTATAAACTCTTTTTAACCAATACAGATCGTACTAACGAATTATTCATAAGAATCAAACCCGCGGAAGAAACCGGAAAAGCTGTTAGGTGTAACGTTTTTGATGGAGAATCTCATGAATGTATATTCCATGATAATAATTTCTATAAAGGGACCTTTGTAATTCCAAAGGTACCAATTGAATCGGATTGTAAATCCATTGTTTTACTGGTAGAATTAGAAGAAATAATTAACAGAAACCTGGCTTATCAAATATTTATAGGCTCTAAATGGAAAATATCCAGAGATGAAAAAGGCCAGAAAATATAATAGTTTTAAATAGTCAACTCCATATAATTTATTTTATGTTGTTATTATATAGTTTATATGATTATAATAATAATTTTAAAATGAAGGAATTGATTTGTTATGTAGATCATTCATACCTGTCGGTATTATGTTTGTGTCTTATAGGTTATTCCAACCAAATAACCAGTTATTGACAGAATGTAGAACACCATTATTTTGGGTTCTGTCTCCAGCATTCACAGGAGTTTCCTGTCTACGCATCTTGTTTTCTAAATCTTGCAGGAAATTGTGATTATTAGTATCTGTATTATGAACGAAAAGAGATTTACCATCATTTATCGTTAGTTTGTGATTTGGGAGGAAAACATTTTGTGGCATTATTTGATTATTCTCATTATTTATTGGTGAAGTTTTATCTGTTGATTTATTTTCATTGGAAGATGAAGGTCTAAAATTTTTGTCTTCAATGTCATACGCATTAGTCTCAGTACCAAAGGATTGTAAAGGTGAGATTGTTCCACTTACAGCTATATCATTTTCGCCAATATTATCAAGTTTATCAATCTTACATGACGCAAGCTTCTCTACTGCATTCTTACTATATGGGACACAGCCAATAAGAGTTCCGCTAAATACCGATCCATTTTCTTGTAAAGCACGAATTGCTGATTGACGTGAATCATAAGTAATTTTTACCCAGCCTTCACCTGTAAAGATTGGATATTTTCTATCGTCATTGTTATTTGTACTATTTTGGTTCTTGTTCTTCAAAGTGGAGACATTAATACCGGATATACTTCTTAAGACTTGGAAATCCTCTAAAATAGAACCAAAATGAGAAAAATGTGTTATGATTAAGTTCGAGATGGATTCTGGGTAACCGAACACGATGATTGCAGTTTCTTGTTGAGCTTGTGTCTGTAAGCTTTGGGTAGATGCAGTAGTTGTAGGGGATAAAGGATCTGGTGTACCACTTTTACCTTTATTATTTGAAGGACCAAAGAAATTGAACAATTTTGAACCATTTGATTTATTATCACTTAAAATTGATGATGATGTGGTGGTGTTAGACCCTTCATTACCAGTAGTATCTGATATTTTATTTTTATTAAATATATTGGATTGTGGTGTTCTGTCAAAGGCATTTGAATTTTTAAACAAGTTCGGTATTTTTTTAGAATTATCATTACGAGGAGTTGCCGTGTTACTCATTAAGATACTTTGATTTTCAAATTGATTTTGTCCATTAACACCTAAATCCATGACATTGCCAAATTGATCCTCACTTTGCCAATCATGAATCGATACGGTTGGAGGAGCTTCATTAGAATCGCTTAAAATGTTATCAGTATTTAATGATTGAAGATTTGAACTACTAAATATTGGTTTATTTTTTCTTGATCCAAATGACATAGTGTCAAATCCTGACCTGCTTGATAATGCAGTAGTAGATTGAGAATGTGTAATTTCTCCAGAATCTGATTGTGGTCTAATTGTACGTTTTACAATATTTTGTGGGATAGCTCTTTTGGTTGGATTGTTAAACCAAGATGGGTCCTTTTGAGATGTATTTCCATTATTTGATACAGAAGGTAACCCTTGAAACTGTTGTGAATTTTGTAACCCAGAACTAAATTGGCCAAAAGAACCAACCGATGGAGGATTTAAAGTTCCAGATGTAGGTTGGCCATGTGTTGTAGTAGAGTTTGTAGTAGTACCAGTTATTGGTGTTGTCGATTGTTGTTGCATTGTCTGCGTCATATTTTGTCCATTCTGTTGTTGTGAAAGCACGCTAACGTTAGCAAAACGATTACTATTCATGATTTGTCAATTATATTGATTTATTAAGCAATAGAAAAGGAAGTTAATGACAATACTTAATTAAAGTAATCCATATATATTGTTTTGGTTTCTCTGTTACTTGAAAAAAAAAAGTAAATAAATATTGTATTTATTTATTTTATATTAATTGATTTGGGTTAAATTTTTTTTCTTTCTTTCTCTTCTTCGTCGGTTTTTCCAGAAATATATTCTTGAAGCGAAAAAATAAATATTAGCAAAAGAGACGAAAAAAAGCGATGATTTGAGGGTAACAATTTAATTAAGTTTTATGAAAGAGTACTATTATTGCTTTGCCAGTTATTTATATATTTACTTAAAAGCTGCGAATAAGAATTTAAACTATATTACTATTATTATATATTACGTTATTATAAAGTGTTATTTTTATGATAAGTTTAAATGTCAGACATATCTAAGACAACTTTACCTTTAGCAAAATGAGAATCTACTCTATCGAAGGCTTTTTGATAATCTTCAAATTTATGAACAGAGTCAATTTCAGGTAAATAAGTTCCATCTGCAATCATTGTAGTACCTAATTCCATATAAGTGAATAAATTATCCAGCATACAAAAATCATAATTAAATTTTCTAAAGGGATTTAATTTTCTTGAAAAGGATCCTAATGAAACATTACCAAATAATGATTTATTGGTAAAATCCATAACCTCATCACCAACAATCGTAATATATTGAGAATTAGTTGATTTTGGTTTTAATACAGTATCCATTACAGGGAAAAAATCTTTATTACCAACTGCATCAAAGATTAAATCAAATTTTTCACCATTTAATTCATTTTTAATTAGATTTTGAATAGATTCAACGGTTGAATGTTCAGGGTCATTGTAAGCAATTAAATGATCAAATCCTTTTTCTTTATTATGTTCAATTGCTTTTGAATTACAAATACCGACAACAGTACCAATTTTTAAAATAGTTTTAGCAATTTTAACACAAGCTAATGCAACAGAAGTTGAAGCACCAATAATTAAAATTTTAGATTCTGGAGTCCAAACTTGACCCTTTTCATATAAAGCAGAATAACCTGTACCAAATACTAATGGCCAAGAAGCATTTATAATATAATCATTATATTTGTTAGAAACGTTATTTTCTTCAAAAGTATTAATTGATCTAACTTCTTCAGGGTTACAAATAAAATAATTTGTGAAAGTACCTTTTTCACCCCATAAATGTTTAAATTGTCCATTAACTTTACTATTTAATTGCCATTTAACATTAACATTTTTACCACGTCTAATAATTTCACCAGAAAAATCTCTACCAAAAGTTTTTAAACCACTACCACCCATATAATAATTACAAGTGGAATGAGTTAATCCATCAACAGGATTAATTGAAGCTGCATGGACCTTGACAACAATTTCGTTTTCATTATAACAGGTATCCAAATCTATTTCTTTTGTAGTAATAGTTGGAGTAGTAGTGTTGTTAACGTAAGTAATTGATTTTTGTGTAACTATAGACATAATTCCCTAATGTAATAAGTTTTTATAATTGATTCTGTATATATATATATGCATATATGCGGATGTAAGTAAATTCAACTTCAAAACTGATAGTACGAAGTGTATTAATTAGTTCAGAATAATATCCCTTTATATATATATATAGTAGATGACCCTTATTTGTGAAGATAAAAAATTAGTTATCCTACTGAATGTAGTATGGTACTGAATTGTGGTAGATACCGAAGGCAAAAGAGTTTTCATTTCATTTTGAAGTGAAAATCTGAACCAAAAGATAATTTACTATAGTAACATCTTCCTTATTTGCTACGTCAATTTCTCCGTCGAATATATATGTCTATCCATACCAAACCTGAAATGTATAATAAATGACGATGAAAACTACGCAGGAATGAACCGTATATCTAACCCTTTTTTTTTCTTGTTTTTGTCCTTCCGCGGCTGCTTTTTTTCGCTGGGAATTATTCCGTGAGATTCTTTGAGATTCTCTTTTCAAACAGAAAAGGAGATATGCACAACTGATTAGTTGCGATGATTACATAATAATAATAGCAATAAGACATACTAGGGTGGCTATGTAAGGTGGGGGAATACACTAGATATTTGATTGAGATGAAGATAACGGGAGTTAGTTTGAATTGTTAACTAGTGTGGCTTTTTAAAATTCATATAATCTACTTGTTAACAAGGTATTGTGTCAATCGTACTTTATGAATACTCTTGTCAGCCTTGTCCAAAAATATAATTCTTGATACTTCAGTATACCACCTGATAAATCCAGGTTAATCATTGTTTCAGTTTGAATTTGGTTCGTTTCAAACAGATAGTACCGTGTGTTTGTTTCATATGAATTATAATATCAATTGATGTAAATGCTTGGCTTGACATGATAAGTTATGTAAATATATATTAAGACTCGGGAAAAATTTTAACAAAAACAATGGCAGTGAGAAGAAGTTGTATTTAGCTGAACACTGAGAGTTTATGCCAGTTTAGCCGAACAAGAACATGAATTTCCCCTTATTATATATCAGTTTCGAAAGTCAGTGGTTTCTCCACAGATGTGGCAAACTCAATTGACACGACAAGGATGATCGTTTAACGAATGACATTTGCTGTAGAGTGGGAAGATAAAACGATTAGTCCACAGCTGTGGTAGTATGGCGCCTTTGGTAACATGTTCATCTTTAGAAATATATGTACATTCCAATATTATTTTTACTATTGTAAATATTGTTACTCATTATTATCTTGTCTTGTTTTGTTTTGTTTTATATTTTTTTGGACCTATAACATCCCTTTATACGAGTCATATTTGACATATTTAATTCAATTATCAAATATTATGACTAAGTAACTAAACTTCTGTTAGTCAGTTATAATACGAGAAAGTTTGTTACAAATCGATATAGATTATCTACTTTACATGTGTATATTATTAAAGTATATCTTTTAACAAACATAGAAACAATACAATGATAACTGGTGGGAAAATTATACAACGTACAACTACACTTTTAAAATGTTTCTGTCTATTACATCAAGTTCATGTTCATCTATATGAATTCACGCAGACTCGTGGAGAATCAATGTTACCTACACTAGCACCCCAAAACGATTTTGTTCACGTTTTGAAACATCGTAAACTAGTACATACAGTGGGTCCACCTCGAGGCCTGCAAATTGGAGATTGTGTAGTACTAATGAAACCTCATGATTCTTCACAGAGAGTCTGTAAAAGGATAACAGGATTACCAGGTGATTTAATTCAAGTAGATCCAAGTTATGATAATGATTTTGAAAATTGTTTTATTAAAGTACCGCGTGGTCATGTTTGGGTAACTGGGGATAATTTATCATATTCATTGGATTCAAGAAGTTATAGTGTAGTTCCCTTGGGACTTATTGTAGGGAAAGTGGTTGCAGCTAATGATTTTAATAAACCGTTTTATAATAATGGTATAATTTTTGGTTATAGACGTATTATAAATAATTATATTAATGTATAAAAAATTACTATTATTCTTTTCTTATATTTTATTTTGCGTTTATATATATATATATATATATATATATACGTTATTGTATGTGTACATAAGTTGTTTTTTTTAAATCTTTTGAGTATAGTTTCTTAAGAATTTAGAACCTAATATTAATCCTACTGGAGCAACAATAGCTAAACAATTAACAGTTTCAAAGATTCCTGTACCGAAGTAATATAGAGCGAAAACAATTTCACAACTAATAATGGAACCGAAAAATCCAAGGAATGGGATGAAATCTTTACCAGATGGGAAATTTTCAAAAGAAATAGCACTGAAATTAATCCAATACATATATAGGAACATGTTAACCATTACTACAGCACCGGCAAACAATAGAGATAAAGTTGGATCGGCTGTGGTTGGTGGTTGTGGGAAAGTATGAGCTAATTCTTCTTGTTTACCATATCTTAAAGGTTCTTCAAAGGTGTCAACAATAGTCTTCTTGGCAAGATCAGTAAATTGTAAATGGAAGACAGGGAAATACAAATTAGTTTCCTTTCTAGCTAATTGTTTCTTATCGTTAGCAACGATTAAAGAAGCAGTAATTGGTACATCGTCATTGGCCAAAGCGTAATGTAGTACAGATTTTGGTAAAGTTTGTAAATCAACTTTGAAACTAACAAGTTTTACTTTGTTATTCTTTGAAGAATCCTTAACTTTAGCGACAATTGGAACTTCTAAATCTTTATCAGCAATACCAACTAATAAAGATAATTGTTGTGGAATTTCCTTTGATTTAGATTTGGATAAATCTAATTTAAATTTGAAACTAACAACTTCATCAATTTCTTTAATTAATAATGGTTGATATTCACCTTTAATAAAAGTTTCATCTAATTGACCAAGTTCAATGGCTTCTCTAGTTTCATCTTTGAAAGAAATCTTAGCATCCTTAATTATGAAGGCGGAAGCACAACCTAGGGCTGTAGTCAATACAGTAATAGCCTTTAATAACTTCATTTTTTTTCTTATATTTATTATTATCTCTTTAGTTTAAATATTATACTTTTGGAATGATTAATAATATATCTTAGAAAAGGGTACAAATGAAATAATACTTTAATTTAAACTAGTAGTTTTTATAACGGACTAATTAAAAGATATTTGATACTTTGTATAGTTATTTTATCTTAAAAATCAAATTTTATAAGCAATATACACGTAAAATACTAAACTATATAAATATACAAGTGTGTGTGTATATATATACACTTAAAGAATATATATACGTAGTCAACTTTGTTCTCATCATTCATTACTAACGTGTACTTTCTCACAAAATGGCAGAGAACAATTGAAGCAAAAAGTGAAAAAACAAAAAAATGATAAAAGTGACACGTTAACAATTAGATTTTTTTTTTTGGTGTAGTCTCTCTCTCTCTCTCTTTCCGTTTTAGAATATTTCTATGAAACTAATTGTGTGTGTATGTTTTTTTGCGGAAATAATGTCCGAGAAGTAAAGCAGTATATATTATTTTGTGTGGCATGAAATATAATATCATATAAGTAATTTATAGCAAAGGGTGAGAAGAAGATAGAGAAATAAAGGAAAATAGGGAAATATATACAGAGAGAAATGAAATATGGAAAACCCAAAAGTATATCAAATATCTTTCTCCCTATATATATATATATATGCATATATTCGTTCTTTTCGTTTCCCTTAATTTTGTTTCATTAAGTAAAAAAACAAAATTTGTGAGACCTTCTCATAATGTGATCTCTATAATATAAGTCTGTATAATGTGGTCAAGGTAACTCCTTAAAAGAAAAGAGCTTTGATTTACTCTATATTGAAAGGATTGGCTCTTCTGTAATAATACTACTATTATTACCTGAATTACTATTCAAAATATCATTTGTACTTTCAATAGATGTTTCATTAGGTGTCGTTGTTGGTGGCGTTTTTTGTAAATTATATGCCATTAATTCTAAATAATTTTTTAATTTTTTATCAGCTTTGTAATAAATAAATTGACCACTCTTAAATGTAATATTACTAATAAATCCAAATAATACAACTCCAATGGCAAAAAAAAATGAAGTTGATAATAATGGAATTATTAAAAATGAAGAAATAAATCCAAAAGTTATGAAAAATGACATATAAATGAAAAAATAACTTGTACCCATTGTAAATAATGTAATAACAAAAAGACTTACTGGCAATATAGTTGCAATTGCTAGACTTGAATAAAAAAGTGTACTATATGGACTTCTTCTATATCTAATTTGAACTCTTAAAAAATTTAATTTTAATAACTTTCTTAATTGTTGTAATTGTTGTTTAATTAAATAACTTAAAGAAAAAGTTTTTGGAGGAATGGGATTATTGAAATCAAAATTTTCTCTTCCAATAATTTCAGCACTGTTTCAAAAAATAAAATATGAAATTAAAAAGATGTTTAAATTAATCCTCGAAATATTATTTTAATTAAGAGGAATTGTAAGTTTTTAATTATTATTTTATTTTTTTTTTAAAATTTAATATTCAATTAATTTCAGGTTATTTGTTTTTACTTTTCTTATTTCTTCGAGACTTTAAACTAAATCCTTCTAAATGTATTGCTGTTGTTGTTGTTGTTGTTTTCTTTTCTACTTCCCTATTTGTACAATCAGTAGTTAATATCAATTGAATTTATTTTTCTCTGAATAGCCGCCAATAAAACTAAAAAAAAAAAAAATAAGGGTACACCAAGGTAACGAACGCTATTATAAAATAATACCACAAAAAATAGAAAAAAGGAGAGAAAGAGAGACAGCGAATAGAAAGAACAATTTCAACACCAAATTATGTAAATAGGATTACATTTATTTCCAGAAAGAAAAGAAAATTAACCCTTGAAACTTCTTGGATATTTTTAAAATACAAAAATATAATTTAAAACCAACAAAAAACATTCACATATAAATTTTTTATTAAGTTAGTAAGAAAAAGAAAAATTAGTTTGGGGTTTTATTAAAAATAAACTTGAACATACCTTAAAAATCCAGCAAAATTTGGAAACCAAAAATTTAAATATAATAATGTAAACCAAAAATTTTCATAAAGTATTATTTCCATTTTTTCTAATATAAATCCAGTTTTAACAAATATTGTAAACCAATATTTTTGTAAAGTTGAATTAAATGGGAAAATTTTATTACCTGTTGTAACACTTTTATCACCAATTGTTATTAAATCATCATCATCAGTTCTTTGGTTTTTATTCTTTTTTTTATATAATGTATTTTCATTATTAAGTACAAAATTTAACATTATTGTATCAGCTTCATCTTTAGTTAAGTCAATTGTTCTACATGAATCCATTAATAAACTTAGTTTATCATCAGATGTTTCATCAATTGTATCTAAAGTTTTTGCATTATCAATAGTTTTTTTCTTAAAATCATTAAAATTTTCTTTTTTGTTATTTTTTTGTTCTTCATCTAATGAAATTAAATTTGAATCAGTTTTATTTATACTTGTAAAATGATTTTCATAATTTTTTTTCTTTGGAATAAAACTAATATCTAAAGAATCTTTTGGATTTGTGTTTAAAATTTGATTATTAAAATTATTTTCTGGAATAAAAGAATAAAATTTTACATTTGAAATATCTTTTTCATTTGAATTTTTTTTTAAATCAGAAAATGTCTTTGATCTTCTTTCATGAACTTTTGATTCATTTAATATTGCTGTCATGTTCATTGAAATAAATTTTGTTTTGTGTTTTTGGTCTTTTTTATACAACTCTCTATATATATAAAAATTATAGTCTTTCTTTTTTTTTTTTGGATAATGTTTTATTATTAAAAAAAATATATCTTATCAATGACTCTCCTCCCAAAAAAATAAAACGAAGACGTCTAAGTGTTTAAAAAGTTCTTCTTTCCCTTATAAGATGGATAGATGTAGAAAAATAATTTATCGATGTTTATATATATATATATAAATCTGTAAAACTTATCTTTTTAAAGCAGTGACTAGTAAAATGAAAGGGATGTAAGGGGAGAAAATATTAAAAATAATTCGAACTTTTTAGTATTATTTACCAATAAAGAAAAAAAACTGTAAATGACTTACAAACCTTTCTAGATATATATATGTATATATCACCTATTTCCAATCCCCCTAAATAATATAAATTTTTCAATATTTGACTTGTTCCCTTCTCTATAGTGAAAGAATAAGCCACGCCAGTACTTCCACCAGGTATATAGATATATATATATATATATATCTATATACCGATTATGGCTTTATATATTTACCCCACTTTTTTCTTTAAAAATTTTAATTCTTTAGAAAAGATGAATTCTCTCACAACGCAGAATGTAATAATTATTCTCTGTCATTTTGATGTCAATTGCCGCAACAACGAATTGAGTAACGTACCTTTAAAAAAAAAGGAGCTAAAAGTATATAGATAACACCTATTTTAGAAATTAGCCGCGCTGTGAAATTCCGGTGTTAGTGAGAACATAGAGAAAGAAACATTAAGGGAGATGCGGCTCGCATGGTTATTTCCACTCGTCCATAGTGATTGGATAAATGTTTCTAAATTGAGGGAGTGTCGGTTCTCCCATTTGTTTCGATTTTTGAATATGTTGAGTAGAATATATAAATATATAAATATATATATAGTTAACCTTGGTTGTAAAATTAATTATTTAAGTTTTGAACAAATTAAGAAATTGGTTGAACAAAAGAGGTTAACTGGATTGGTTTTACGCGATATGTACATATATATATTGCATAGTGATAATAGAATGCATATTTACTATCTTGTCAATATTCCTCTCTCACTGATTTTTAAATGAAGCAATATACAATGATGCCAATATTAATGAGTTGTATGGTTATATCACTACGTACGATAAGACACTATGGTTATATATCTATATATATATGCATATTTTTTTTCGCCTGAACTTACTTGGAATTATTTGAGAGACGAATGAAAAAAATTATTGAAAAATTAAAGTGAACGAAAATTTTTCAATGATTTCCCGTAATATTCATATTACCTTTTGTAAAGTGATGATGAACAATTAATTTCACACATTATATTTGAAAACAGTATATAGATACAGGTATACATATTACCGGTGTTTTTTGTAATTTTAAGATAATTTGGTTATAACTTATATATATTCATATAAAAAGATCCACATTAAAATAGAAATATATCATAATGAGACCTATTGTTTTAAGAGGACACGAACGTCCATTAACCCAAGTTAAATATAATAAGGATGGTGATTTAATCTTTACATGTTCCAAAGATAACTCAGCTAGTGTTTGGTTCGCAGCTAATGGTGAAAGATTGGGAACTCTAGATGGTCATATGGGTACCATTTGGTCTATTGACGTTGATTCTTTCTCTAAATATTGTGTTACAGGTTCTGCTGATTATAGTATCAAAGTTTGGGATATTTCAACTGGTAAAGATGTTTATACTTGGAAATCCTTAGTTCCAGTTAAAAATGTACAATTTTCTCCATGTGGGAACTATGTATTAGCTGTTCTAGATAATGTTATGAAATATGCAGGTTCTATTAATATCTATCAAATTAAAAGAGATGAAACTACACATGAAGCTATTGAATTTGTAGAGGAACCATTATTCACATTAGAAACTGTTGAAGGTTTAGATGCAGTTAGTGTTGCTGGCTGGTCTATTGGTGGTAAAAATATTTTTGCTGGTCATAAAGATGGTAAAGTTAGTAAATATGAAATTGATATTTCAAAAAATATTTTTAAATTTGTTGATTGTATTGAATTACATGAATCTAATATTTCTGATATGCAATTTTCACCAGATAAAACTTATTTTATTACTGCATCAAGAGATTCAAAAGCTCATTTAGTAGATTGTGCTACCTTAAAGGTTTTAAAGACTTATGAATCTGATTGTCCATTAAATTGTTCAACTATTACACCACTTAAAGAATTTGTTATATTAGGTGGTGGTCAAGCTGCTAAAGATGTTACTACTACAGGTGCAAGTGAAGGTAAATTTGAAGCAAGATTTTATCATAAAGTATTTGAAGATGAAATTGGTAGAGTTAAAGGTCATTTTGGTCCATTAAATTGTGTTGCTGTTGCACCAACTGGTACTTCTTATACATCTGGTGGTGAAGATGGTATTGTTCGTCTACATCATTTTGAAAAATCTTATTTTGACTTTAAATATGATGTTGAATTAACAGCTGAAGCTAAAGAACATATGGAAGTAGCTAATTAAACAACAATAAATAAAAGGATAAATATTTTAATATAACATACTCATTGAACATATATAATAAGCAATTAAAGAAATATAATAAAAACATTAATAATAGTAACTCTATTCTGGAAAATCAGATCTTCCTTTATTTTTTTTCCAGTGTTACATAAAAGAGAAAGAAAAAAACGTAAATCATCAGATATCCTCTAACCTATTGGGTATTTGATTGTGACTGGGAGGTATATATACTATGTTGTGAATTGATTATTGTTAAAAAGTATGCATATTCATTTCTTAAAAGTTCATAAAATAGAAAAAATTTATATAAATGTATATAAAAATAAATTATCGTCTAGCTTTAGCTTCTTTTAATTTTTCTAATTGTTCTGCAGCTTTTCTTGCATCGGCTGCAGCTTGTTTTTGTCTTAAAATATCAGCATCAGATTCCATTCTTTTCTTTGGGTCACCTTGTTTCTTGCTGCCTTTACCAGCTTCTTGTTGTTTTTTTAAGTTTTTAGCTCTAGCTAAATCTCTTTGATTACCTCTAGCCATTTTCAAATTAGTTTATATGTATATATATGTTATCCTTTTCACTGTAAACAGTATTGTATTCTTTTTGGTTAAAATATTTGAGATGTTAACTCATTATAAATTGAATTAAAAATGAGAAGACTAATAACTGCATGCATTAAGATTACTATTTGACATAATCTTAACTTACTTAAATTTCATTTCTACATGTATAAGAAAAAATGAGTGCGTCAAGAAGGAAACCAAAAAAAAGAAAAAAAAATGAAAACAGTCGAGGAGTGAGTCGGTTGCCATGGGCACTAAAATTCATTAAGAACCCGAAAAGTCACTGTATACGGATTATATCAATTAGAACCTTTATATGTATATACATATCATGTAAGACTTATTACAAACAAATTTAACAAGAATTAAGGTGTCATAGTTGAAAATAGAGTATTTCATTGTTTAAAATGAAAGGGTTTCTTTAATAAAGTGTTCTTAATACGAGAGATTAACAACAAAATAGTGTCAACATGATCTCATTCATCCGATCAGTATACTTTCTATAAGATGTGCTATTTTCCATTTCCTGTTATATTGAATCTGAGTTATTTTTTATTAACCAAATAATATTCCGATTACTATTATTATTATTATTATATGGATCGATTTGGAAATTGAAATAAATTATTCTCGTTATATTCTATCAAAACAGTAATACGTACCTTATTAAATTTAAGTCTAGCCCCGCCACACCAAATTGAATTAATTACTAACGGATCTTCATTGTTCTTAATATGATGAGGGTCTACTTCATTTTCTCTCTCTTTCTTGTAGTTGAAGAAACATGTAATATAAATTAATAGTGTATTGTATCTTTTGACCAATCAGCGTTAAAAGAATGAGGAAATATAAGAAAAATTAAGTTTTCTTTTTTTTCCAAAATTCCATTTATTTTAATGTTGTAATGTTTTTTCTCATTTGGTCCCTCTATTTCTTAGGTGAAGTACATAATGCATTAATTACTACGCTGATTTCTTTCTGTTCGGCTCATATATACTCCTTTTGTTTTAAATTGTCCTTATATTTTTTTAGTTAATTTTAATTCCGATAGAAAAAGCTGGGGAATGCTAAAGAGACACTAAAAGAGATGAGGGATTCTTTCTTTTTGTTCATAGCAAAGTCAACTTTTTTGCGGAGGTAAGAATTCTAATGTAATGTTTCAGACACACGCTAACTAATAGATCGAATATGATATGATGGTGCTATCCAATTACTCTAAAGAAGATCATGCTCACTACCAGGATGTGCCAGCGTTTGATGAATAAGCTAGTTTACTAGCAATATTATAGCTAGACATCACGCTGTTCACGTATGGTTTGTAGTAGAGTCATTCGTCTCTTCTTCTCTCTTTTCAACGACACTAATAGTGTAATAGCTGTTGTTTCAATGTGGCTATCGATCTATGTAAAATAAATACCAAGAGAGAGGGAGAGAGAGAAAAATAAGGGGGGGGGCAGATGAAATCAAGCGTTATTAAAATATAAGACAGAATAACGTTAATTAATATACATACATATTACACCCTCACCTTTTCTGAAGTGTCTTATAAGATATCGGGCATGTATTTGACGTGCATTTGTAGGCCTACTTCTTAGAACAAGAACAAAGTTAAGAGTTCATATACTTTCCCTCTCTCTCTCTCTCGCTCTCTCTCTCTTGATAATTATACGTAGTTATAATATTTTCAAGTACAAACTAATATAGTATATGCATTCTTCAGTGGATCCGTTTTACAATAAATTCAGTACGTACAGAATTTGCTTTCTCGAGTGATTTTATTTATTTTTTTTTCCACTTTGAAAGAGCCTCTTGCACACGTTTAATTGTTTCTTGGTGCATTGTGAATCAGTTAAACAAAGTACGTACATAACTAAACAAAACGTAACAAGAGAACATTGTATTACTTTTGCAAAAACGTTTATAACGGGGTTTGGGTCCATGTTGTTGCTAAGAAGAATATACTGACACAGAGAGAAGTGTGTTGTTATTATAGTAAATAGATAAACGCAGACTAGTAGTTTCTATTACTCCTTCTTGTTCTGCCATTGAATACAAAGAGCACAAGACAACAAAAATGGTTTAAAGGCTATTGTACCTACACATATTTTTCGTTTCCAAGAATTTTATCTTATATAATTTGTGAAAAAAATAGAACCAAAAATGGATCCTCAACCCCTCAATGCATTACTTTTTACGTTTTTTGTATTGTTCGTTATATAAAGCTTCTGTAGTATCGCTACGCATTTATTGCTTTTTTATAGGGTGTGTGAATGAATGTTCCTTGAATTAAAATAGAGATTCTTGTTTCCGTTATCTTTCTCTCGATTATTAAATTATATATATATATATATATATATAGATTAATTAAGAGGTCTTAATTTATTTTTTATTTTTGCATTGATCATCGATTCTTTATTATTCGAGAAATTATTCAAATAACTCAACTATATTGTCGGTAATTCTCTAGGGTTTTACAACAAAAAAGTTTTAATTTTATTTTATTTTATTTTATTTTATTAATAACATTCACAATTTTTGATTTGATTTAAGTTCATATATTCTTTCTAAACTTCGTTTTTGCTTTATTAATATTCTGTTTATTATTCATTTCATACATACTAAGAATGTTGAATTCAATTGTTAAGAAAAGTTTGTTAAATAATGGGAAATTTATTTCAACTAAACAAAATTTAATAATTAAAAATCAAAAAAATTTATTTTCAACATCATTCAAACGTTTACAAGATTCGAATAAACTTTTAATTAAAAAACCTTTATATAAAAGAGCAGGTAATGCGATTTTAAAATATGGTTTGATTGGTTCTTTCTTAGGTATATCATATGTTTCATATGCTCTTTATAAAGAAAATAATCCAAGTAAACAAACTCCACAATCTGATACTTTTTCAAATGGTTCAAAGAGAAAGACTATTGTAATTTTAGGTTCTGGTTGGGGTTCTATCTCTCTTTTAAAGAGTTTAGATACTTCTTTATATAATGTCATTGTGGTTTCACCAAGAAATTATTTTCTTTTCACACCTTTATTACCTTCAACACCTGTTGGTACAGTTGAATTGAAATCTATCATTGAACCTGTTAGATCGATTGCAAGAAGATCAAGTTCTGAAGTTACTTATTATGAAGCTGATGCTTTAAAGATTGATCCAGTAACAAAGTCTGTTCACGTTAAATCTGTTAATGAAAATGATTATGAAACAGATTTAAATTATGATTATTTAGTTATTGGTGTTGGTGCTCAACCAACAACTTTTAATATTCCAGGTGTTGATAAATTTTCTTCTTTCTTAAAAGAAATTTCGGATGCTCAGGATATTAGATTAAAAATTATGAATAGTATTGAACAAGCTGCTTTATTAGAACAAGACGATCCAGAGAGAGCAAGATTATTAAGTTTTGTTGTTGTTGGGGGTGGTCCAACTGGTGCTGAATTTGCCGCTGAATTAAAAGATTATGTTGACCAAGATTTATCAAAATGGATGCCTGCTTTAAGTAAAGAAATTAAAATTGCTATTGTTGAGGCAACTCCAAATATTTTAAGTATGTTCCCACAAAATTTAATTGATTATTCTCAAACTCTTTTCACTAAAGGTGGTATTGATTTGAAATTAAAAACTGCAGTTAAAAGAGTTGATGCAACTACTATTTATGCAGAAAATAGAGACACTCAACAAATTGAAGAAATTCCTTATGGTGTTCTTGTTTGGGCTACAGGTAATGCTCCAAGAGATGTTTCAAAGGATCTAATGCAACAATTAGGTCCAGAGAAACAAAATTCAAGACGTGGTTTGGTAATTAATGATAAAATGGAATTAGTTGGTGCAGAAGGTTCTATTTATGCCATTGGTGATTGCGCTTTCTATCCAGGTTTATTCCCAACTGCTCAAGTGGCTCATCAAGAAGGTGATTATTTGGCTACTGTCTTTGATAAGTTGCATAAGATTGATCAATTGAAATTTACCAATGAATCCTTAAATGACGCTAATAAGATTAAAAAGAATAATGCTAAGATTGATAAATTATATAATAAGATTGATAAATTCCATTATCATCATTACGGTTCATTAGCTTATATTGGTAACGAACAAGCCATTGCCGATGTTACCGTTAATGGTTTCTCCTTTAAAGGTGCCGGTGCTATGACTTTCTTATTCTGGAAATCCGCTTATTTAGGAATGTGTGTCAGTTTAAGAAATAGATTATTGGTCGCAATGGATTGGTGTAAAATTTACTTTATTGGTAGAGATTCATCCATTTAAAGAATTAGAAGAAAAGAAAGAAAAACAAACATATTTCTACATATATATGTGTCGTTTTCTTTTTGCTTTTGTTTACCTTGAATATTCGAACAATTTTATATTCCCTTTCACCCAAGAAAAACTTTATTAAAAATAATTTATATTTTTTCTTATGTATATTAATATTATTCAAAATATATCATTTTCCTCATAAACAATTAAAAATTAAGAAGTTTCTAAATAAATATATATAGATTGAATCTTTTCCTTTTTAGTACTAAAAATTCTGTTGATCTCGAAATGTTGTTTGACGGATAATGTAATATAATATATTAGCTTAATATACTGTATATAATCTATATGAAGTTATATATAGTTGGAAATATGATGTGATATCGTTACAATCATTTCATAATAAATTTAATACTTGAAATAATCATAACAATTATTATAGATTTTTATTTTGTTTGATTTTGTGATTTCTTAATTTTGAATATTTCTTTGTTTCTATTCAAATTAAGGAAGATTTAAAATTTAAATACCAATAAAAAAAATGAATGAAAAATGAAAGATAACTTTCTTTGTTTCTCTCCAAATAAATTAACGGTAAGATTTTTGGAATCTGGAACGAGCACCCTTACCACCGAATTTCTTTGGTTCTGGCATTCTGGAGTCAGCAATCAATAGAGTTCTGTCGTATAGTGTGAAGGCTCTCTTTAGTTCGTTCTTAGATTGTTCATCAACAAACTTTTGGTGGTAAGCAATTAGACCCTTAGCAATGGCTTGTCTGATAGCGTAAACTTGAGAGACGTGACCACCACCAGTAACTCTAACTCTGATGTCAATGTTGGCAAACTTGTCTAGACCGACCAATAATAATGGTTCGTAGACCTTGAATCTTAGGATTTCTGGTTGGACTAGAGTGATTGGAGCACCGTTAACCTTAATTAGACCTTTACCGGCCTTAACGTGGGCAACAGCAGTAGCAGACTTCTTCTTACCGAAGGTCTAAATAATAAAAAATATGTGTAATCATAATTTAAAATCTCATAATGGGATTTCGAGATGAGAAAATTGATTACAATAAAATTGTTAGTAAATTTGAATCCTGATAGTTTTCCAATAATTATAGTAAAGTGATATGTTAAATAGCCTGGTTTCTCTATAGTATTTCTTGCTCATAAAAGAATAGTTTCATTATCTAGGTATCTTTCCAGGAGCTATATTATCATGATATGTTATTCTTTCATAAGTTATCTCTGGTAACATTAAAAAGTATTTCAACTCTATCGTTTGTAATTGTTGTAGTCATTTTTTCATATTGATGATTCATTATAATATTCCAGGTATTCTTTAACTCATTCTTTTCTCTTAATCTCTTTAAAGATATATAAAAACTTGAAATTTCCTTCCTTATCGTTATCATTATCATTCAGATATCATGTTTTTAAGCATTATTCTAAAACATTGCTATTTCAATCATATTCACATCACGATGGAGTTCATATCTCAACATACTTGGACACTTGGGACAGTAGACATATTGTACTTTTCTTTATTCGTTGATCGGTTTATTTAAAAATTACTAAAATTCTATATATACATATACTAACTTAAAACTACTTTTAATACTAAGACTCTTTTCTATACAGTGATAGCCTAACTTCATGAAATTTTTTTGGTATCATTAACTATTTTCCCACTGTAGCATGAGAACATCAACTAACAGATCATAATACAGTCCCTTCGAGTGAATGACCAGTTAGGCTAACCTAAGCTGGTGATGTTGTTACAAAAGTGAAAATTCCATTCCTTGCTCATTACCCAAGAATATTTTCCATCAGGGAACAATAGCTCTATTGAAGGGGTTCCAGTGACAAAATGATATACTCTTCCATAACTTAAAAGAGATTCAGCTGATGACATAGCTCCTTCCAGCAGAAGTAATGGTGCGATACTGGGGACCTCAGTCTAATTTTCTCTGCCTACCTGTCTCACTCTCTGCAACTAAGATTTGTAACTGCTTCTCCGAAAAATTCATATTCCAGGAGAGCATTTTTAAACGCACCCTGTTCATTTTTCTCGTTTTTGAAAGTATATTTATTGTTTTTAGCAATTTTGAAAGGTATGGGTGTTGCGGTGTACAGATGTTTATCCGTCCAATAAAATTTCGGCAATTTGTATGACTACCACCCAGACATGCTCCACCCAGACATTGGCTACGGAAATGTTCAAAAATAAATGAAAAAGCGAAAAACTCTCTTTTTTCATTTATTTTTAAATTTTCCAAAGAATACCCGCAAAGATGAATGAAAATTGATAGTTGAAATTTTCCAATTTGCGATATCTAACAAGATATTGCCCCCAAACGATATTCTTACTACTATTCCACGAGTCAAGGTGATCTTCTCAATATTCGATGGATTCACAACATGTTTGGACAGGTCTTCTGTATGAACCTAGACAACTTCAATATTGTAGAAGTCTGTTGAAGCTGTTATTCTCCCTGTAATTGCTGGTGTATCACTAATAACATGCTCACAGTAGGCCTCTTGATAAAAGATATAGTTAGATTAAAAGCTTGCTAAATATAATAACTTGTATTTTTGTTCATTTTAAGAAAAGTACCTCAAGAATTAAGTAACAATGGGTATGTACAATATGATATTTATTGCAACAGTTGTTATAGTTAAATGCAGAAGGATGGTTAAACAATGAAACTGAATATGGAGTGGATAATAAAGATACATGACTACAAGCAAATAAATAGTTCCAATTAAATGAATACTTATGATACTATGTTTTATTGAATTTAAGTAATAAGGAAAAAATTTAGTTAAAAGAAAATAATTGATATTAGAAAAGATATGAAATACTTTATATTTTATTGAGAAAGATCAAGACATTTAATGTAATTTGTGGAATATTTTTTAAAATAAAACCTAACTGTAGATTACTGAACATAATCTGGAACAACGGTTGATTATCCATAGAAATGCGTAAACTATAACGATCTATAAAATGTCATACTATTGACATGTAATTAATGACAATATACTAACAATTTGTTTTAATATTTTCTTTATCTATTTGATAGGAATTACCAAACTTTTTTTTTAAATAGCTATCTCCAAGAACCTACCATTACTAAAGAACCATTTCAGAAAGCACTGGCAAGAACGTGTCAAGGTCCACTTCAACCAAGCTGGTAAGAAGGCTTCTAGAAGAGACGCCAGAGTCGCTAAGGCTGCTAAGATTGCCCCAAGACCATTGGACCTACTAAGACCAGTTGTCAGAGCTCCAACTATCAAGTACAACAGAAAGGTCAGAGCTGGTAGAGGTTTCACCTTCGGTGAAGTCAAGGCTGCCGGTCTAACCCCAGCTTACGCTAGAACCATCGGTATTGCTGTTGACCACAGACGTCAAAACAAAAACCAAGAAATGTTCGAACTAAACGTCCAAAGATTAAAGGAATACCAATCCAAGATCATCGTTTTCCCAAGAAACGGTAAGGTCCCAGAAACCGAACAAGTTCTATCTACTGCTGCTGCTTTCCCAATTGCTCAACCAGCTGTTGAAACTGAAACCAGAGCTGTTCAAGACAACGGTGAATCTGCCTACAGAACTCTAAGAATGGCTAGATCTGAAAAGAGATACAGAGGTATCAGAGAAAAGAGAGCTAGAGAAAAGGCTGAAGCTGAAGCTGAAAAGAAGAAATAGATCACTTAATTAATATTAATATTAAATTAAACCATCTTTATTTTCTATCTCCTTAGATTCTTCTACTTTTGTCACACCCCCAGATTTTATATCCTTTTATAAATCATTTCAATTATAAACATTTATTCAAACGGTTACTATTATTTCCAATTGGACTTTATGTTTGTAATCATATATACATTATTTCATGTATAGGGTAGTAGTACTACCCAATCATCCTTAATAAGAAAAGATATTAATATCGTATAAGTTTTTTTCATAATTTAGTTTGTTAGTTACCATTAGTGACAACATAACACTGTATGTGATCTTAACTTCATTATTCTCAGTGCTTATATGTATGTATATGTATATGTATATGTATATGTATATGTATATGTATATGTATGTGTGTCTATATTTTGAAAGTATAGACACTTAATAGGTGTCAATCAAAATGAAACCGTATATGTATAAATTAGAATATTTATTAATTTAACTATAGAGTAAACAATATATAGATATACTAATTAAATGCATAGGAAAAGAATAGAATATGGTCCTCGATATGAAAGATTTAATAGACAAAAAACTTGGTAATGTTTCCATTATTTAATTTCTTTAATCGAATAAACCGAAACCCATGTCATCATCGGATTCTTCCTTAGCTTCTTCTTCAGCTTCTTCAGCAGCTTCACCAGCGGCACCACCGGCAGCGGCACCAGCAGCACCAGCGGTAGCTGGGGCAGCAGAAGCAGAGAAGTTAACCAAAAGGTCCTTTAGGTTTTGACCTTCTAGAGCCTTGGCGAAAATGTCAGCCCAGATACCTTCAATTGGGATGTTGGCAGCTTCAACTAGAGTAACTAGCTTTTCAGAAGAGATTTCAACTTCAGCGTCAGCTAGAACTAGAGCAGCGTAAGATAGAGCGGTTTCGACGTTGTCAGACATTTTCCTTTAAATTCTTCTTTAGTTATTTCTAGAGATAATCACTTTAAGCTATTGAATATAAAATATTACAGCAGACTATTTCCTTGGTTTCTTTTATAACTTGAATAAAAAAAAAATTGAAAGGAGCATATGTAATGTAACAATGTGTACCTCTAGTTAAGCTAAAAGTTTTATAACTTCTAAAGTGAAATGTCGAAAAATTGTGCTTAACGAAATTTTCCAAGTGATATTGAAAATATTTCAAAAATCAAAAAAAAAAAATGATGCGAACTTTTTGCGTGGTCATTATATACGAGAAACTTTCCGGGTAAAATAATGTAAATCTCTAATAACCCAAAAATGGAAACAAAAATGTCGGACTCGTTGGGTAGCTCTCACGTCGTTTTCTGAAATGCTCAGATTCAGATTCTTAGTTGCAGAACTATCAGCCATCATCTATGGATTAATTAAGCCGCAATTATGATAATTAAATGGAATCAGTAGTTTTATGCATCATGCTAGAAATATATTATTAAGGAGGTTATGTATATATATATAAAACAAAACTGAATCTAATAGGAAGTTATGGTTTTCATCTGCATTTACTTAAGATTTTTTGCTTTTAGTTACTATTTCTTTTTAGGTGATTTATTTTGTTGTTCATCTTCAAGACTTAATCTAATTGCCTCCTGTATCATTTGATTCTCGAGATCATTCATACTTTGTCTAGATCTTTGTCTACTTCCTCTGGATGCACTATTACTTCCATGTCTTGAAGTAGTATTTGTAGATCTCTTTGAAGAAGACATTGTAGTATCATTACTAGTACTAGTATAATCTGGATCAATTAATTGATTACTCACATGAATAGCTGTAGCATTAGCTGATCTTCGCGCAAGTCTAATTCTTTCTTTATTTAGTTTCGTTTCCCAATCCGGACGTATATCATCTGAACTGACAATATTATTTGAAATTGGTGTTGTTACATTTTCATTTTTGTCTTTTTGTAATGGTTCAATTATTTCTGGGTTTATTTCAGAACTTATATATCTAGCTGGAGGAATACCTTGAATACCTACTTTACGAGTTAATGGTGGAGTATAAACAATTGAAAAATTTGCAGTTGCACAATAAGGACAATTTGATGGTTCTGAAGTTAGTAAATTTGGATCCTTTTCACTGTCATCTTTTATTGGTTTTGTTGGGTCAACTTCTTCGTGAGGGAAATGTGGTTCTGCTCTCTTTATTTGAACGAAACATTCTGTACAAATTGGTTGTTGACAGCATTTGGAATAATTTAATGGTTCAGGAAAATAAAGGAAACAAATTGGACATTCAGATCCATTTGAATATAAATCAAATTTTAAATCATCACTTGGTAAATAACTATTTTGTGCTTTACCTTCTCTAACTTCTAATTTTGTCTCTAAAAATGATTCATTTTCTGTCTCTTGCCAAATTATCCTCTTTCTATACAATCTTGCTTTAAAAATTTTTGAATGCATATTACGATATTCTTTCTTACTTACATTTTTATTAATTAAATGATCAAAATTGGATTTATTTAAATCTCCAATAGGTATATCTTCAAACTCTTCGGGATTTTCATCAAACGATGCATGTAATGGTAATCCGTCAACAATTTTTAATAATTCTTCTCTTGACCATGATGAATCAAAATCTTGTAAAGGTGTGTAAAATGGAGCTAATCTTCTTTGAATAATTAAAGATTTCACTACCGTTGTATCATAATCTAATTTATCATAACTATATGATCCAAATGGAGCCATAAACCCTCCATCAACAGATTCATCATATTTTACAAGTATATTTCTTGCATGTTGTTCTTTTAATTGTTCTTTTTCTTTTGTACTACGTCTCTTATGAGGCGAATGATAAGTACCATCTTGCATAGATCCACTACGGTATCGATTACCTGTATTTAAAAAACTACTCACTAAAGATGATGCTCTCCTATTCCTCGTTTTTGTATCGTTACCAGATTGTGTACTTATAGTAGTTCCTGTACTCGATGGTCCAGTAGTACCAGATGGATAACCAGGTCTAGAAACAGGTTCAATGGGATTACCATCTTGGTCTAATTTTGTTGGAACGTTACCCATTATAATAAAAACAAACTTTTGAAAAGAGAAACGATCGGCTATTCAGATGTGTGTGTGTGTGATTTATAAGAAAGAACTGAAACACAACGATACAGATTCTTGGGTCTAACTCTTGACGTATGTTTTTGTAAAGGTCTATCACTATTAAATAATATTCAATATCACAAAAAAATTTGAAAGTCGAGAAGTAAAAGGAAAAGAAAAAAGGGGTTTTGCAATTATAATATACCGAGGGATCGATCGACTCTTTGCACGATAATGATATGTACTTAAATTGAATATTATTTGTAATATTATTATTAAGGATAACGAAGACTGTTAATTAAAAAAAAACCTTTTAACCATATATAGAAGTGGCTAAATTGAATTCCTTTTGTTTTCCACTTTTCATAGTCCCCCTTTTTTTTCGTATTATTATTTAGTGGTTCAAGTCTGTTTTTTCTCTTTGTTGTGGTAGGTATTAGTTTATAGTGTGGAATGAGTCGCTCGCTGATCGCGAAATTTTGTTCGGTTTGTTTTTTTCAATTGCCTCCTTTTAGTGTGTGAATAACGTTTCAAAGAGACAGAAACAGTGACAGAGAGACAGAGAGAGAGTCCAGCTGGATAAATGAATTATTAATGAGGAATAACATCTGACCATATACAGCGATATATGCTGACATTTGTGAATTAAGTTATATATATATATATAGTTAATATGGGTAGTATATAGGATTGAAAGATTTGTCTTAGTAAGCTGAATATTTTGTACTTTCCCTTTTTTCCCATCTCACTTCTGGGTTTCAAATTGATTCGATAAAAACAGTTTCTTGAAGATTTGGTACGCTCAAATTCTGAAACGGTTAAAACATAAACTTGGACCTCGTGTCATGTATGGTACTAATGCATACAATTAACATTATAAAATGTTTGTTCATTCAATTGTAATATGGTACAGTAGTGATTATGTAATAATATAGATCGTCACTAAATTCCGATACTTATTAAAAATTTTGCACAAGTACATTATTACGTTTAGAAATAGACAAGTAGTGGCTTGTGAAGGTAAAAATTAAAGAGAATAATAAACACAAAACTAAAATATTAAAATACTGATTGAAATATCTGAAACGAGCATGTAGTTTAATCTCTCTTCCTCCCCCTTCTTAACTATGGATTACAAGAGTTTAAAGGATAAAAAAATTAATGTCCCCCACATAATGAGAATTGTGTCTATTTTTCATTGTGGAAACCTTATGTAACTTTGTAATGAGCACTAATTAAAATTATATTATTGTTTGTTCTCATTTAGTATTTTAACTTTCAGCATTTTTCGCTTGTTCATTTTAAGAAATGTCCCACTATATAATGAAACTCTCCGGAGAAAACTCCAAATAATTTATTTATGCATCTCATCTTATAGTGAAACAATAGCTTCCACTGCAAAAAAAAATGTAGATGTAATTTTTTTGGATCCTAAATCCAGAGCCATTATTATTAAGGGATGATTTATGAGGATTGATAAGGGGTATATGGGGAAACTCACCAAATGATGTCCGGCCAGAATTAGAACTTAAGAATTAGATCAGTTGTCAATAAAGCTACATTAGCATTGCATCAACATTACATGTAATTGCAGAGTTGCCTATTGTATTCAATTCCTGTATCTGTGTCTCGAGATATTAATCTTTTTCAAAAAGGAGTTTACTCGTTTGGGTATTCATTTTTTAAACGTTGATTCTTAGCACAGTTCACAAAGAGTTGATATTGTTTTCTTTAGAGGCAACTTTTGTGATGATTATTTTTTGTTTCTAATTCAACTTTTGTAACAGCTGATTTCGCTGGTTTATGAATCTGGGACCTTAAGGCAACGAAAAATAATCTTATTATTTCTATAAGTGTCGTATTCTCCAATAAAATAAGATTGTATTTTATGCCACAATTCTTGTATTATTCAATAGTGTTGGATATGATAAAAAGAAGGCCCAGATTTTCTTATTATAAACTAATATTTTTGTAAATTCTAGCCGACGTAAGTGAAGTTCACTGTTTTGAGTCATTTATAAGAAAGATGGTGTTATCTTGAAATTTGAGAGAGAATGGCCTCCTTTATAGCATCAATGCCTTCACCACTAATTGCACTACATCTTATAAAATCGACCTCTCTTCTTTTATTTATTATATCGATGGAGTTTAGCATATTATCACCATTTTCAATATTAAAACTATTTTGAATTTTCTCCTCAATATTTAAAATTATATCACTATTAGTCATATCGTCATCGTCTAATAGATCAATTTTGTTTAGAATAACAACTACATGGCAATCATATCCAATCCTATCACCATTTTTAACAATTAGATTTTGTAATTCAGAAAATGATTCATTGAATCGGACTGGTAGACTAATATCAATACACCAAATTAGTACATCTGTCTTATTGAAATAGTTCTCCCAGAATGGTCTTAATGAATTTTGACCACCGACATCCCATAAATTGATATTGAAAGTATTGTCAATGGTAAAAGTCTTTATTTGAAAACCAATGGTAGGTGTAATTTTATCCTCACGTTCATCCTCGGGTAATAATCGATTCACTATAGTAGACTTACCAGAATTATCCAAACCAATGACAAGACATCTAACTTCTTTATCCTTCTGCTTCTGCTTCTTTATTATAGTAAGTAATCCCATTAGTTCATGGTATAGTTATGAAGAGTACCCACCGATATTAAATGTGTACAGTTTGAAATAACAATTTGAAAAAATGAAAAGAAATTAAAGTAAAAGTATGGACAACTAACTTGTAGTAGAACAAAGAACGACAATATGTAATCGATAAGTAGAAAACACTTATGATTAAATTTAGCCCTATTGTGTGTAGTTTCTTTGCCTATAAGTTCATAACATTTAATGCTAAGTATTTTATCTGTACTATTGTTCGGTGTATAGAGAAAAAGAAAAAACAATATGATGAAAAATTAGGACACATCAACTTATAACACATTAAAAAACTATTTTACTCATTGATAGTAATCGATAAAATATCAAAACGCTAGCAGTGTTTTTTAAGTACTATAATAATACAGTTGTTAAACTATTTTAATATTTAACTGCTATATTTTGGAACACTACTCCGGTATAATTTTGAAGTTCTTTAAATCGTAGTATAACAAGCTATTCTCATCCCAAATGAGTCCATGATCCTAGATGGCAAGAAAGTCTATAGTAGAAATCAGGAATTCTGATGTCAGATTAAAAACACGGAGTTCTCAATATGGTAAAAGAAGTGGTACCGGTGGTAGCTCTGTAGGTTCAAAGAGAACTAGTCTGATGCAGACCAGGAATAGGAAAAGGCAAAAACGACTATTCGAGTATAATATTCCAACTACCTCGAGTCCTCCGATACGTAAGAGGAACCAAAATGGTTCAATAATGGACCTGAATGACGATCCCATACTGATTGACGAAGAAACCAGTGATGATAATTATAAAGAGAACGTAGGAGGAGACGATGATCTGCAAGTTTTAGACAAGGAACCATTGCCACTTGAAATTGAGGGTATCCATATTGATTTATCAGATGATTGTGTTTCTCTACCAGTAGAAGAAGAAGTTCAAGAAGAAATAGACGGTCTCATGGAGAATACAAATGTAGAATCTAATAACGAAGAAATTATTAGATGCCCTATCTGTAACCATGATTTATCAAATTTTGAATTGTACGAAAAAGAAGCCCATTGTGAGACTTGCTTAGAAAAATTAAACAACAACGAAAATGAAATTTGCATTGAAAGAGATCTAGCAGAAGCATCCACAACGATAAGCAACGCAGAAGAACAAATTGAGCATAATATTACTGCAATGCGTTCTACTAAGGTTATTCATCTGAAAACTACAACAAAGCGTTTACATCCAGAAATGATTAAGCAAAAGAGTTCACCAAAGCCAAAAAAACCGTTACCAAGAATAAAAATATTAACCTTTAACAGCGGTTATAGGGTTGTAGTTGATGGTTTTAATTTTGCTGCTGATGAAGAGATATCGAAGTATTTTTTGTCGCATTTTCATTCAGATCATTATATAGGTTTGAAGAAATCATGGGAACAAGGTACAGTTTATTGTTCTGAAATAACCAGTAGGTTATTGCAGTATAAATTTAAATTCCCGGAGGAAAAAATAAATGTTTTGATTAATGAGGAACGATCATGGATTACAGAGACGATATCTGTTACCGCATTTGATGCTAATCATTGTCCAGGTGCTCAAGTATATTTATTCCAAGAATATAATAGTAAGGCCGATTTGAAGAAGCCCATAAAGCAAATCATTCATACAGGAGATTTCAGGAGTAATGACAAGATAATTGAGGAATTTTCTAACGAACACCCAATTGATGCCATCTATTTGGACACAACGTATCTATCACATACTAACGATTTTCCTTTACAACGTGAAATTGTTGAGAAGACCAGTAATTATGTTAAAAATTATTTCAAAAAGAAAGATGAAGTCAATGCGAAGCATAGTAATTTTAGTGTAATACCTGTTCCTACAAAGAAACTAGTGTTAGTAGGTGCGTATGCTATTGGGAAAGAGAAATTAGCAATTAATATAACTGCTGAATTAGGCTGTCAATGTTATGTTTACAATCAAGAGTTAAGATCCCATTACATGGATTGCGGTGATCAGAGTATAAATTCAAGTATAAATGTTCATTTAGTGCCTCTTGGCGTCCTAAAAAGCGAAGAAACGATTTTAAAATACCTTAAGGAGGTTGTTAAAGTTAAATGGCTTGATGTAATGGTTGTTGGTATTGTACCAACAGGATGGACTTATGGTAATATGTGGGAGAGTCGAAATTTAATGTTATCAAAACTTGAAAAGGAATTAGTTTCAAAGACAGCATGGGAAAATAAGAATAAAGATTTACTTCCAGAAAATTGGTTTATAAAACAAGTCAATGCAAATAAAAAATTTCAAATATTCAAAGTACCTTATTCAGAACATTCGAGTTTTTCTGAATTAATAAGGTTTGCAACTAGTGGTAAATTTAAATGGGAAGAAATCTTTGCGACAGTAAATTTAGAGAACATAGAACGAACTAGAGATATGGTAGAATGGTTCGATGTTTGGAAAACCATTAATAACAAAAAGTTTGAAGAAGATAATAATTAATATTACTAATATTGCATCACGGCATCATCATTGGTATATAGTAGATGTATATTTGGGTACACGTATAAATATTCAACTTTGACAGTAATAAAAAAAAAGTAGGTATGGTAATGAATATATGTATTAATATATATATATACTAGGAAGTATAAAGGTTTATGTGAGAAACTTTATCGTAATAAATAAGCACAAGCATTGTAAACTGATTAAGTAAATTTTCTCTTTTCCTCTTTTTCCCTGCCTCATGAAATTAAAAACTTCTTAGAAATATGAATATTATCTTAAATTTTTCATATAAGCGAAAGCTATATATATATATATTAGAAATTTTTATGCCATTCTTAGTGAAAAGGAATGAAATAAAATTTGGGTATTCTAAGTCATGAACCACAATGAGATAGGAATCAAGCGTAATTGAGAATATTTTATGAAAAATGCAGTTACAAGTTAAGTTGGAATATTAAATGGACTCCCTGATGGAGTGATAGTCAGAATCCAATGTGGCATCATTGTTAAATTTTTCTATAATGTTGTTTGGAACATTGACATTCAAAGGAATTCTTCTATCCATAGGATTGATTAGTTTGTTGAACCTCATTATCAAATTAGCGTTCTTAGTATCAAATCTTTTGATTAGCTTTCTATAATACAAACCACATGCATTACATAAGGTTCTATTACCGTAAGGACCACGTCTCCATTCAGGTGTTTGGACTTCACCACAATGGAAACATTTTATCAATCTAACGTCCTTCTTCTTTTTGTTATAGACTCTTTTCTTCATTATTTTTTTCTTTTGATCCTTTGTTATAGAGCATAGTGCATGAGCGGTGAATAGAGTACTAGTGCTGTTACTTGTACGAAGCATTGGTTGTTGTTGTTGTTGTTGTTGTTGTTGTTGAGCAGAATATAAAGACATCGGTGGAGTTAAAGGAGAATGTGGATAACTGTTTGCCTTTTGGATGTAATAACTGCCAGAGTTATTTGATTCGGTAGTGCTACCATTCATCATAGGGTTAATGATAGGGCTTTGCCTATTTGGGATCATATTGTTAATGGAATTAGTATTACTGGTAGTGGATGTAGTGGAATTATTTTTGTTGTTATTATCATTTGGAAGTTGTTGAGTTAAAACTTGTAGAGATGGTAATTGTTTATTATCATCTAATTTATTTTCACCTCTTAACGATTTTAATTCAGAGGATAATTTGTTATATTCAACTAATAATTTATTTAAAAATTGAGGATCTTGAAAAGTTGGTACTGTTGTTGAACCAGCAACGTTTGAAATGCCATTGATGGTATTTACATTAGCAATCTGATTGGTACAAGTATTAGTATTACATTGAAGAACATCATTACCTTGAGAAACAATACTTCCATCAATATCGCCAGAAATGGTAGTATAATTGTTATTTCCGTTATTATTATTGATGCTTCCTGGAGTTGGAGGGATAACATTACCTAAAGGGGAACCAGTATTATTAGAACTTTGAGCGCTATTATTACTAGCAGCTGCGGCTGCAGCTTGTTGTTGATGTGATAGTGGTTGCACTGGTGTATATGAATTACACAAAAGATTCTTAATAGGCGGAAGTACAGTTATAGGTCTTTGTGTCTGAGCAATAGTAGAATAAGGAATATTAGTCTGTTGTTGTCGTTGTTGTTGAAAGATAGGAATTGGTTGATATAGTTGGTGTTGAAACTGTTGTGGTGGTGGTTGAGTTAATTGATATAATTGAGGTTGTAATAATTGTGAATTATTTAAATGATTATATTGATGAGGTATCATTTGTGTAGAATTTTGTGAAGGCATCGCTATAATTTCATCCTTAACCGGACCATTTCTATTACTTGAATTCATCATCATTGTAGTCTTGTTATAAATATGTGAAATATTATCAAAAAAAAAAAATCAAGACACAAATAACTTAAGTTAATGATATTCTTTTTTATGATAATATTAGTTTTATATTAATTTTAAATAATCAATATTCAAAAAAAAAAAGGATTAAAGGATCTCTTAAAAGGGGAAAATGATAAAAAAATTTAAGGGTTCTCTAAAGTTACTTTTTGTTTAAAATATAATTATAACAATAACCAAAGATTAGATATATATATCCTTTAAAATTTAATTATAGTATTATCAAAAGATTTTTTATTTTATTTTATTTTATATCTGAAAACTTTAAAAAAAATTGGGAAATCTTACCTTTTTTGTATGTTGTATATATGTCTTTTGAAGGGTACCAAAAATTTTAAAAAAAAATCAAATAATAATAATGATGGAGAAAAGAAAATAATTTTGTAATGATATACTGTAACTTTGAATATATTTCTTTAAAAAGTACAGTATTTCTTTTAACCAAAAAAGAAAATTGTAGTATATTTAAGTATTTTTTTTTATTAGTAATTAATTAATCTGCTAATGACCAAAAAGTTTAAGTAAAATAATATAAAACTAAATCAAAAAAATACTGAGAAATCAAAAAAAAAAAAATATGATGATTATGATTATGATTATTGATTTGAGATTATATTCAAAGTGTTTATATATATATTAAAAATACCAAAAATATAAATAAATAAATATCTAAGGCCATCATCAACGTCAATAGTAAGTAAAAGAAAAGGAGTAGAAGAAGAATATACAAACAAAAGAATAAGGCAAGACCAAACTATGATGCTGATGGAGAATTAAGTTTTCTTTGAACTAGAATGGAGAGATTTTTTTTTCCCTCTGTTAGCATATATTGTTCAGATAATAACTAGAGAATAAGACCCCAATTGTTGAATAAAGAAAACGGTCAAACAACATAATAGTAATTTAAACGGAAGAATTGAAAAGAGTATATACACAAACAGTACCTCTAGGAGTAAGCCATTAATTAACTTCATCGTAATAAGTTGATATAGATGAACCTGTAAGAGTTAAAGTTAATTAAATTCTTTATCCACAGGAAGAACTGAAGAAAAGAAAGAAAAGTTTAAAGGCATCTTTTTGTGTATTACATCTTGTACGTCGACAAAATGGAACTAAAAAATGTATGTACAGAGTGATTAAAAGAATAAGAATGATGTGTAAGTACGTTAGATTAAGAGTCGCAGGTTCAAATAAAAACGAAAGATTCACACGAAAGGAATGTAGAGAGAGATAGCGATAATTTCAATGATTTGTATTATTATTATTACTCTTATTTTATTTTATGTTTTTGATTTTTGTGCTTCTTCTTCAGTTGTCAGATTAATTGACATGCAAGTCAGTTTTGCATAAGAAATAAGCACGGAACTATAACCCAAGAAAAAAATAAGAATACATTTATTTATATCTGACAAACATAGAAAATTGTTCTGCGTGCAACAAACTGCAAACACAAGAGCATAATAAGAAACAAACAAAAAATGTCCTGATTTAAAAGAAGAAGTATAATATATAAACATGACTTGTGTTATTACTGGTGTCTTCGGGTACAAGTATTGTGTATACACTCTGGCATGAGAATAGCGAAATACAGACAGAAAAGAGATATGAGAAGGTATGTAAAAACAATACGATATATAACAGTAGATTATTAACGTTTTTCTTTATCTCCTCTAAAATGTGAAAGAGGAGATATAATAGTTGTTTACTTGGTAGTAACTGTAGGAAAGTTATAAGATATATATTTTGATAGACTTGAAGTCTATTATTTGAAAAAGAATAATAAGCACCCTCTCTATAGAAAGAGAGGATCTCCGGAATACGCAACATTAATCGATTTAATTAAGAACAAAAGAACAAAAAAAAGCATTAACTTGAAAGTAGTCTCATTTTTTCTTTAATTTGAAATTCTATTTAGTTGTTTGTTCATTTCAACATTCCGAATTAAAATATTATGGTAAGACAATAAGGTAGAATCAATTAAAATGAACAATTGGAATGAAATGAATGTATTAGTACAGAACCAGGGTGTACAATATAGGAGAGAGAGTAAGTGTGTGTGTAACAATAATGATGCCTATTTGATTAATAATTTATTTGGATCGTACTCAGACAGACTCTTAGTCTCGTTTTTCTTTCTCTTCGGTTCATTCTTTTCTTTTTTTTTGGGGGGGGCGGATTTGATTCAGTGTGCCACGTATGTCTCCACGAGGTATGTCTCCGATGACTTAGTAGAAAAGTTCTACGGGCATCAAAAAGAAGACGAAAGATAGTTATTCTCTACGCGAATCTATGTGTCACCATTCGGGAAATGTGTGTGTATTGTGCTGTACATAAAATGATGTATGAGTATGAGACAACAACCCTTGTTCGGGCGTATGAGTTACTTGCATGCACTACGCGACGATTTTCTTTTTTTCCCATCTTTGTGATATTTTATCGAACGGAATGTCGCCAAAGCACCACGGAGAAAAAGAGGTAGGTGTAGAGAGAGAGAAAGGATAAAAAGTTGTACCACATAAAAAGAATTATAATAGGACTAAGACAATAATAGGTATCGAATTCGCAGAAGAACAAGTGGAACCCTCTCCAGTTTTTTTTTCTGTCTCTCCTTCTCTCCATCTAGTTCTTTGCAGTTATTTAAAAAGAAAAGAAACCATTTGAAAAAATCTGAATTCGTCCGTCCATTATTAACTTGCCTCATTTGAGTTTAAACTTTTTTTCTCTTTTTGTCTAAAAATTTAATTCAATCTTGAAATAAAGCTCATTTAAAGATTTTTTAGTTTTACGAATAATCATGCGCAGAGAATTATAATTTTTGATTCGACATTTAAATATTGGGCACGCAATCATAATTTATGTCAAAGCTGTTGTATTTCTTAAGACTACATCGCATAAATTTAACTTATAGGTCCGTTTTTTACAAAGAATAATTTTGTTTGTCCGTTCTTTCATTGATTACTCTCCTCCCCGGGAATCGCCTCCATATACACCTAGCTATCCAAAAGAGTAAATAGAGAACAAGCAAGACACAGACACAGACAATAAGGTTTGGTTGGTAGTTTTTTGCTGGTTTCCTCTCTTCCGTGTTCTGTTAAGAAAGATTTTAGTTGTTCGTATTTTCTGTGAGGGAGGAAAGGCATTCAGGGAAATGATAAAATATTCAATTTTTAGAATATGACGAATTCCACATGTTCTATATATCCACACCTGTGGAGAGAAAACGAAAACAAGTATATTTATCTGTATATGTACGTAGTGGATAGAAAGATTGTTTGTTTGTTTGAACTATTGTTTTTTTCTTGTCTTATTGCCTAATTTGGAAAACTTCTCAGAGATTCATGCGCAGTTACAAGGTGAGTACTTTACATAAAGCAAGGAAAAAAGAAAGAATCATTAATATATCATTACGTTGTTTATTGCGAGTATTTAATACTCAAGAAAAGAAGAAAAAAATACTATTTTTAAAATCGGTAAAAGAGATCGCAGGTTGTTTTTTTTTTGTAGAAAAAGGGTGAACTTTTTAATCTTGTTCTGTATATTCAGCATATTCTTGATATTCCTTTCTTCAGGGTCAAAACAGCTAAAACCCAGTAGTATGTAATTATAGGAGGAAAAATAAGTGGGAAAGAAAGAAAAAACAGGAAGCAGAGAACATAACGAGAAAATGAGATCCGTGTTAAATGTACGTACAAATTTATTTTATGCAAGAAAAGAAAGGAGAAATTTCTCGGCCTGAAGATGTGTGGATGGATATACGGAGTTCAATCAAAAATGTACAGCACAAATTAAAAAAATTATTTTCTAGTTCTTAATCTCTGTAATAAGAATACGACAATAATAATAACAATAAAAGTAATAGTAAATAATTGAACGAGCTTACAAGTAATTCAAGCTATTATCTTTATATTATAATATCTTTCAGATAAAAGAGAAAAACAATTAATAACATTTAAATAATAAAACAATATGTTTTAATATTGAGGAGTCACTTTATTTACATAGTGATATGTTTGTAATTACACCAGACTTAATACAATAGCAATTCAAAAAAGGAAATGTTGAAGAAAAGTAGTATCTTTATTCCTTTGTATGGATACACACATGTACTCTTGCGTTCCACTTGCATCCTTGTCTCTAAAATAGCCCAATTTAGTAAATTTTGTAAAAAATAGTGTTTTCAGAAATGTGTGTTGAGTTGCAAAGAAAAACAAAAGAATAATAAGAAAAGCTGTCGCAAGATTATGATATGCGACTTTCAATTTCTTCCACGGGTTTTGATTGTTGATAATTGTTATTATAGACAATTTATGAAATACACTCGTAGTAACAAATATTCAATTATTGTAGGTTGTTTGTACTATTGCTATTTAATACGATGAAAAGAAATGGACAGAAATTCGAAGAATATCAATATGACGATTAGAATAGACAAAAATTAATACATAAATGGATTTTTAAAATTCTTATCTTATACTATTAGGGTTTGTAAAGTAATAGTTGATCATTGATAATTGATTTCCAAGCTTTTTGATTGAAAGTATAAGTTTTTTTTTATATCTATCGAGATAACATAATCTGTGTTTTGATTCCTTTGTTTTTAGATTTATTTAAATATTCTAATCATAAGTTAAATAACAAAATAATCACATATATACTATGAAATATCAAAGATTATGAAAATATAATATGTATGAATTGTTAGTGGGGGAGTTCATTTAGTGTATTATTTAATTGACTGAAAGAATTGCAAATGTATTAAAATTAAAATAAAAGTCGTTGAATATTATTAAAAGGAGATGATAACTAAAATTTCATATCGGAAGAGGAATGATTATAACCTTTGATGCTTATTAATAGTAACAAATGAAAGTTATTTCCAATATATTGTATTTGTTTAGTATCAACTACACCTCTTTATTTCTTTTATTTGTCTTCAAGGAAAATAATACATAAAAAGAATGAGAATAATTTATCCCATAAAAGGGCCTATTGTTATCATTCGTTTGTTTATTCACATTTTTTACTGTATTATTATGAATGTCCGTCGTTGTTCTGATGCATGTGTTTTGAGTAATATTTGCCTCCTCTCTATCTTATTATGTTCTTTTGTTCTTTTGTGTTCGAAGGAATAAAAGGTTTCAAAAATGAATTTGGAAAAATCTGACACTTAAAACCTTATTGGTAAATAGCGTTGCTTTGTAAACTTGCTGGGTTTGTTTGTTCTTACGCTATTCTATTTTCAACAAATATGATCTCCTCTTGTTATTTGAATCATCTATTCACCTTTTCTTAATTACAAAATGAAAGTTTATTTCCACATTTTCCTTGATTGAATAAATTAGACTCCGATTGGTAAAAATAGGAGATTTATCGTATTTATCTTAAATATACAAGCTATTATTTCTTTGACTTACCTTCCAACTATTGTCTACATCTATATAAATGAGATAGTAGCCAATAACATAGGTGTTTTTGTACTTAGTATATCAAATATTTGTTATATTATATTTAACAACAATAATATTCATATCTTGAATATAATATCTTATTATTATTTTACTGTTTTTCATTTGTTTCCTTCTTTATCAAAAGCAATATTATCATTTTAATGGTAATGAGACGTTACCCTCGCTGTCGCTTTAACGACTATAAAAATTTAAAAAAAAATATTGATAATAAGTGAGCTACCAATACAAAAAAAAAGGGTCAGACAGGTAACTCTGATTAGTACCATTATAAATTTGAATGATGGAAGAGAAAGAGAGATAGAAATATGATCAATCTTTTTAAATTATTAAGTAATAAAAGGTAAATTATATTAAATTTCAAGTGTTTCTAATTATTTAAAATAATAGAACTACATTATTGATATTAAGAGGCATAGTTATACGGACGGACCCTTTGTTCATAAAGGTAGAATCATCTCATCTGAAATAAAAGTAAATAACATACCACTCAATGAGTCCTAAATACTATACAGGAAAGACATTTACTCCAGAAAGTTGGAAAGAAAAAGTGATTAGAGATAAGCAATTAGTTCCAGGAGTAGATCAAAATACAGAAATTGCTGTTCCAAGATTATTATTAAATTATTTCATTATCAATGCTTACGAAGATGCTAGTTGCAGGATGGCTAAAGAATTAGGTTATATTACAAATAATAAAGATTTATTACAATTTAATTCATTGTTTAAGATTACTGAACGTGCAACAATTCTTCATTTGGTCAAATTAGGTCAAATATCTAAAGCTATGGAGATAATTAATTCTAATTTTGGTCTTGAAATTTTACAAAATGATGATCAACATTATAGTCCACCTGAACCAGTAATTCATAATTCCAATGAGAATTATAATGAACATAATAATGCCTTCACTCGTAATCCATTAGGCGAAAGTGTAGATTTTGAACAGGAGGATGATTTACATTATAAATTATTGTTATTAAACCTTATAGAAATGATAAGGAATAACAAAAAAAGACAAGGAAATGAAGTTGATAAAGAATTTATTATAAACTTGATAAATTATTCAAAGGAAAAATTAGCACCAAAGGCTTTAAAAAATAAATCACATATGAAACAACTTGAACTTATAATGACTTTGCTTTTAATACCACAAGATTTAGAAGTAGAACTTCCTTATAATTTAAACAAACTCTATTCTCTTTCATTGAGGTCAAAAGTTGCAACTTTAATAAATCAGAAATTGCTTAAATCGATATATCCTGATATTACAAATCAAACAAAATTCCCAAATATATTACAATCTCCTGAGAGTTTGGATATTCTTGATTTCAAATCATCAAATTTTAATTCAATATTAAAGACAAATGTTAAATCACAAGACTTACAGAAAAGTGCAGTAGCAACAAACACAGCCTCCTCGTCATCTAACCCAACTTCAGCGGCTTTATCAACGGCATCATTAGATAATCCAACGTCTACACTTACATCTATTGCTATCACTGGAAGTAATGATGGTTCATTACGAACACATGCTAGCTCTGATAGATCTATACATGATTCATCTTCAACATCAAAAGATAATAACCTAATGAAGAATATGTTGTCTAATAGTGATGACCCATTAACTAATCAAGATGCTATTCTTATCCCCGACCTTCAATTTGAATCTAAATTGTCCCAAATTATTAAATTATGGGCTTGGTGTGAAAACGAATTACATACCAATAATATAGGTGTGCCAAGGGTACAAAATAAAGCTTAATAAGTTATATATATAAATGCATACATATTATACTATTGGGATGCAACTTTAATATAACAAGAAATATTATTCTATAGCAAACTCACATTTGATTGTATCACCAGTTTCTATCTTTAAGAAACATAATTGAACCTCATCTAAATTAACCTCTAATTCTTCTCCAAATTTGTTGTAAACCTTGACATTGCCGGATATGGTGAATGGATTAGTTTTATTACTGTATTCTTTATAGAGAGTAGAATCTTTGAAAAGGTGATATAATTTCAATCTTAAGACATGTAGTGAACAACCGAAATCTTGTCTCTTTTCACTTTCAAAATCCTCAGGAGAGAATTCAATATGATATTTTAATGGTTTATCAAGGACTTGCTGGCCATTAACAATGATATAACCATCAACAAAAATATCGGAAACATGAACGGGTTTAGCAAAGAACTTATCCATGTCTTCAAACTCTTCTACAATAATTCCGGATTGTTCATCCTTATATTCTTTACTATGATATTCATCACTGAGTATCATACGATGCAATTTAATTCCTTCGTCAATTCTTCCAACATTCAATTCGTCATATGTTTCCTTTTGTAGTAACGTCATTTCGATACTAACCCATATTTCCTGAATCAAAGCAAATCCTCCGAGAATTATTAAATATAATGTAATTCTACCACTTATTGGATCTCCGTGGATGAATTGATGAATATACGGTGTAGTCTTTAGGAGATTTATTAGGTGATTCTCTACCTCAAAATATTGTGTGACAATTTTATCTGTATAGTTCCCCATATTTTCTGTTCTATCCTTTGAGTAAGTCTTTCTGTAAGTCTATTCTGTCTTCCTCAGTCTCCAGGTTAGATCTATTTTCTTCTATGAATAGTCTTGTGAACAACGCCCAGAACACATTTATTTTTCAACCTTTCAATAACAATATCTTCTTTCTGTTAAATACGTATGTGAAAAATCCTTCAGGTAACGCCATTTCTTAAACGAGCAGTTCGGGATGATATTTTTTCGGTGCCACTTTTCCGCATGTACCGGTTAATAAATGCAAAACATGGAACGACAATTATAATTTAACTTAAAGGTACATATAACAGGTTCAATTATAATGCCACTCCGGTTAATCAGTTTTCTTAGACATTCGGGTTAAAATGCCTTCAACTGTGTCTACCTATTTATAAATATAAATTTTAGATGTATCGAAAGATCATTTTATGGTTTGTTAGTAACGTCACAAAAAAGGCGACTAGAGTGAGTTCCCCCAACTTAAGAGAAATTTATAAATTTTGAATCTAAAAGTTAGATTTTAATACATACCCATTTCATAAATTTTTTGTTATTCAGTTTTTCTTTTATTATTTTTTTAGTTATTTTGATTCTTATCTTTCCCGGTTTCTTTAAAGAATGTTTCGCATTCTTGATTTCCGGCTTTAGTGTCTCAATTACAGAGTCACATTCGGGAACTTTGTTCTCTTGTAAACTTTTAGTCTTCGCATCGTCCGATCTTTCATGCGAACTTCCAACTTTGTTTACTTCAAGAACCGGTAATGAATTCAAAGTTGGAAATTTTGCTGAAAGTGTGTTAGGTGAGTCGACATTCTTTGGAGAAGTATTCTGTATGCCTTTAATTGGTACCATTCTTACGTCATTCAATTTTTTATTAATGAAAGGCATATTATGATTTATGGCTGGTTTACATTCTTGAATTCCATATATATTATTGTCGTGAACTAATGAATTGTCGCTTAATTGAGAATTCAAAGTGGTCTCATAGTCGATTCCGGTTCCTCTTGGGGGATAACAAGATATTTTCTGGGGTAAAACACCACTATTTAATTTGGCTCTTGGATCTATTATATTTTCTATATTTGTTTGTCGTTGGTGATCCGTATTCTTTTCTTCTTCTGTTCCTATTGTGTGTTGAATAAGGAAGTCAATTGATGGAAGTTTATTGTGAATACTAATGGGAGTATTCTTGAAGCCCTTATCTTTTATCCCACCAGTATTGTTTTTAAGACATGTGGAGCTTTCGACCTGACTATTAATTAATGGTGGTTCATGATATTTGTTAAATTCATTAGTGATGTTTTCATTGTCACAAATAGAATTGAAAGGTTTGCTTATTTGGCCCGTTAATGAATTCTCTATTTGATATTGACTGTAATTGATAATATTGTTATTGCTACTACAATTTTTTTTCATGGTTTGTTGTGTATGTACTGGAGGAAATTCTTTAATATTAAGTCTTATTGCTTGTAATGTTTTCTTTACGGATGAAAACTCTGTGCTATTATTAAATTCTAATTGAAATCTTTTTAACACTTGTACTCTATTTTCTTGTTTTAAATATTTGAAAGATAAAGATGGACAACGAGATGAGCATCGAATACCTTCATTCAAACCATCTACGGTAGTGAGAATATCATCTAACAACGTTGTACTGCCCATCACTGTTCTAATAGATATTAACTTTTCTTGAACAATTTCAATTAAAAAGGTGATTTGATAATTATGATTAAAGTGTTGCCATTTCTTGTTATCAAATTGCGGGGAGAGACTATTAAATCCATAAGGAGCAATAATCGTACCATCATACTTTGAATATGTCTTTATAGGAATTGAAAAGTTGAAAGCCATGGTTTTGTTATTACCGAAACGTTTAAGGGTGGGAGAAATAGAGATTGCCAACAATTGATTAGTTGTAAAAGTATCTGCCAGTGACAACCAGTTAATGATAGCTGGGTAGTGAAAGGTTTTATACTGATAAACTGTTGAAAGTTATTCTGAATGGTATTTCTTTTATTCACAAATTATGTATTTGGGGAGTTTCGGAATAGCCGCCGAACTTTGAAAACTTTTGTCATAGATGTATGATGAAAGACGGACATTTACAAAAAAATAGTATATATACAATAACTATAGACTTCTCTGTGTCAGCGTTATAGAATGAATAATCTATATACATCAAAAAACACGTTCAGTGAAAGCTTTCTTTAAGAGAGTTCAACTACAAAACTAATAGAAGGACTACATGTACATATCATGTTTTTTCAAAGACTACTCATGGATCAAAAGAAAATTTCATAAGAAAATTGTCTAAACAAGTCTGTCGTTTAATAATAGTTTTTTAGCGTGCTATGGCGTCAACTTTAATGCATTATTTCCTCAAAAAAAAATATGAAATTTAACTTCAACTTAAACTTAAACTGTGTTTTTCTATTAAAAATGTCCTTAATTTGAGACTATCAAATTTCCACTCTACTAAGAACTGTACAAATAAGGATTTTTTTACAACCGGTGCACTGTCGGCTTCCCATTGTTGTGCGTATTTTTTTTTGCTTCACAAGTTATATGCGGTGACCAAGTGAAAAAAAAAAAGAAGCAGAATACATATATACCACCGGCTAGTTGTTGTAAATTTACAGATACTATGTATTATTTTAAGACTAGTTTTCCCAACTTTCTTTTTTCAATTACGTTGAATTATAGATAAGTAACACAATAGTGAATTGAGTTTCATTTCAGTAGTGGTGCATTATGGTGTATTTTTATGAATCTAAAAATGATGAAAATGATATCCCACATATGATAGTTACTGGGAAGGATAAATTCGAAAATGATTTCTTAATAAAATATGGTTACAAAGAATTGCAATATATTTGGTTTCACGCAGATAAGTACTCTAGTGGTCATATTTATTTACAATTAACTAATGGTGAAAAGACGTTAGAAGATGTCCCCAATGAAGTAATTAATGATTGCCTACAACTTTGCAAAGCATCATCTATTGCTGGTAATAAATTACCAGAATGTACTATTTTAATTACTCCATGGACAAATTTGAAAAAAAATAAGTATCATAACCCCGGTGAAGTATCATTTAAAACGCTTAAAAATTGTAAGAGACGGAAATGTTTTGGCAGAGATAATAAGATCCTTAATAGACTAACAAAGACAAGGGTCGAGATGGCAGATAATGTAGAAGAGACCTTACACCGTGCCAAAAAGAGTAAAGATGAATTTTTTTTCAACAAATATCTTGCTGCAAATAAACAAAGGTTAATTGACGTAGAGATACAAAGAAACAAACTAAAAAAAGAACAAAAAAAGTTAAAAAAGAAGAAAATCGAAGAAGAGGAATTTGTTGACTTCAATGTTGAAAATGGTCAGGAAAAAATGACGAATATATAAACATCTCACATGTCAGCCATGAAAGAATAATGAGAGCATTTGCGTGCAAAAACGAATCTAGAACTCTTGATTCATGCTAAAACAAAATCTTGAAAACTTTCAAAAAAAAGAAAAAAAAATTGTTTACCCACGTTTACTGTCCCTAGGGAATAGTCACAAACGCGCATATCTGATTAATGATTACATTCAAACAATGGATCAAAAATCGAACTCATCCTGAAAGAAAGCAAAAAATATGCGTACAGTTGTTGGGTTTCTCTTGAATGTCCTACAGATCTGAGATCTTGAAGCCCGCACCTCTCTCGGTAAAAATAACATTTCTCTGATTGTACGATCATTACGGTCATTTCTTAGCTAGATAATTTTAAAGCTTAAAATTGGTTAACCTTAAAATAAACAACATCCCGAAATGAAGAAAAGAAACTTTTTTGACGCATTTCCCGATTAGGAAGCTGCCATTTTTGTAGTTCGCGTTGCATTTGCTTTTGGTTTCGTTTCTTTTTTTTGAAATTTTTGAGGTCACGTGAAACTTTTAATTTTTGGCTACAAATTTTTTGCGCTTGAAATTTGAAAGAAAAAAAGGAAAAATTTTCAGGTTGAACAAGAGAGATGCGATGAGTTGTAATTTTTCACTTTAGATGTTATTATGGAGTTTGTTATAATTTCTTGATCTGCACACTTGTAATAATTGGTTAGTATAGATTGTTTTGTTGAAGTATATCATATTTAAATAATTTAGTGAGTTTTAAAGTATCTTCCATACGAGACTAAACAAAAGTAAAGGAAAATATAATCCTATCATATAATAATATTTATTATATCACGTAATGTCTAAAAGATCGTTGGATAGAGATGAAGAGGATAGAGTAGTATCCGCAAGAACGGAAAATAATGGTGGACCAGCTGTTAAAGGTTCAGCTGACGGAGACTCAGATATGATTGATGATGGTCAATTCAGCGATGCTTTTGAAAGTGATGAAGAAATTGTAGAACTTGATGACGATGATATTGATGTAGAGGATGAAGGTGAATTGTTAGAAGTTTCCGAAGAGAAAGCGGCAGAAATGTTAAAAAGGGATCAAGAAGCTGATAATGTAGCTAATGGTGGTAAAGAACTATATTTACCAAATATATCTCGTCCTTTGGGACCTGATGAAGTTCTGGAAGCTGATCCAACTGTGTATGAGATGTTACATAATGTTAATCTTCCATGGCCATGTATGACTTTAGATATTATTCCTGATACACTTGGTTCCGAACGTAGAAGTTATCCACAATCTATACTAATGACAACTGCAACTCAGGCCTCTAAGAAAAAGGATAATGAAATGATTGTTTTATCTCTAACTCAATTGAATAAGACTTTAGTAAAGGAAGATGGTACAGAAGATGACGAGGAGGAGGATAATGAGGATAATGATGATGATCCAATTATTGAAAATGAAAATATACCACTTAGAGATACAACTAATAGATTAAAGGTTTCACCTTTTGCCCAATCTAATCAAGAAGTTCTTACTGCAACAATGAGTGAAAATGGTGAAGTTTATATTTTCGATATTGGCCCACAATCAAGAGCTTTTTCTACACCTGGCTACCAAATTCCAAAGACAGCTAAGAGACCAATACATACAATTAAGAACCACGGAAATGTCGAAGGGTATGCTTTGGACTGGTCTCCAATGATTAGAGGCGGTGCATTATTGACTGGTGATTGCTCTGGTCAAATTTATTTGACTCAAAGGGGTACCTCAAAATGGAATACTGATAAACAACCATTTAGTGTTGGCAACAACAAATCTGTCGAAGATTTACAATGGTCTTCTACTGAAAATACAGTCTTTGCATCTTGTGGTGTTGATGGTTTTATAAGAATCTGGGATACTAGATCAAAGAAACATATTCCAGCTCTTTCAGTCAAGGCTTCTAATACAGATGTGAACGTTATCAGTTGGAGTTCGAAAGTGGGCTATTTATTGGCAAGTGGTGATGATAACGGTTCTTGGGGTGTTTGGGATTTGAGACAATTCTCCGCGGATAATATCAATAATGTACAACCTGTTGCACAATATGATTTCCATAAAGGTGCTATTACTTCAATTAGTTTTAACCCATTGGATGAATCTGTGATAGCAGTGGCATCTGAAGATAATACTGTAACGCTATGGGATTTATCTGTGGAAGCAGATGATGAAGAAATTAAACAGCAAAAGGCAGAGACTAAAGAATTGGAACAAATTCCACCACAACTTCTTTTTGTTCACTGGCAAAAAGAAGTTAAAGATGTTAAATGGCATAAGCAAATTCCAGGTTGTTTGGTAAGTACAGGTACTGATGGTCTAAACATATGGAAGACCATTAGTGTATAAGCGGAATCAAATACTGTCATACGATTCATTGTATAATTATCTCAATAATTTTATATATACAAACATATAAGATCCAAGATTACAGATTTCATCATTATGTATGCAAAATTATGCAAACGTTCTGCAATCACGGGACATTTTAGGAACTTCATTTCATTTGAAATTTTTAAAAATAAGGGACAATGCTAGAATATCTTTTAGATGGATGACACAGCTATCTGCTCAAGTTTCATATCTAAATTTTTATTTAAAAGAAAAATTGTTTAAATGCATATAGGTTAGGTAAAATAAAACTAGTGGTTGTCAATTGGACACCACTATCTTCATCCTTGCATGATTCCCATATTTTACTCATTGTTTGGTCAACTTTTTGAATTGACAAGTTGTGATCGGAAAATTTTGAACCGATAAGTACATTTTCGTCAAGGTACCCATGACTGTTATTCCTATCAATTAGGACACTATTCCAACCTGCAGCTTGAGCGCCTTGAAGGTCATTTTTTAACTCGTCACCAACGTGCCAGCATTTTGTTTTCAATGTAGAAAGAGATTCTTTATCTTGAAGAATATTTGGCCGTTTTTTAATTATATCCTTAAAAACAAACTCAAAAAATCTTGTGTCTGGTTTTGACAATTCAAGATCGTAGGAGAAGTATGTGAAGTTCTCGAAATATTTCAAGATTCCGAGATTCTCTAGTAATTTATATACTTTGGGGTCAGTATTACTAATGATTCCAATAACTACTTCAGGATGATTTTCTTTTAGGAATTGTAATAGTTCCAAAACATCTGGATACACAGCATATGCTTGTTTACCTTCGAACCTCTTCAAGATATTTTGGACAATTTCATTTGGAACTTTATGAGGTTTAAAAATATCCCTTATTAGAATACTCCACCACTCATCGGCATCCATACCGCTAAATTTACCATAGTTTGGATATTTTTCTTTTATCTTGCTAAAACACTTTGGGAAACGTTCAGTGAGAACCTGAGCAGGGACATCAATGCCACATTTCTTAGCTTCATTACTGTACTGTTCCATAACAGGTAACGTAGTACAATATAGAGTATTGTATGCATCAAAAGTTATTATCTTTGGTTGGGTAAATTTCAAATGGTTAAACCAATAACTTGATGAAAGCTTCTTAGGAAATGTCATATTCGATCTCTTCATAGATATTGACAGATTATCACTTTTATTTTTTTGTTTACTCTAGTGTACCCTTCTTCAAGTTTCGTACGTTTTTCTCAAGGTTTATTTATAAAAAGTTTAACGGATTTTTATGTTAAGTTGAATTTTTACTACTTTAGTCGAAGTAAAAAACAAACAGATATTGATGTAAGATTCAAAAAAGTTTCATTAAAAGGAAATATATAATATACGTAAGACAAATCAATGTATTAAAATTGAGTGTGCAAATAATAATTGGTATGAAAAGTTATTAATATTAATTATCAAAAAATGCATCATTTTTGGCGAAACAGAATGCATCTGAAATTTCAATTGCTTCATAAGTACCTTGTAGGCTTGTGACTACCCTATACTGATAGGTAAATATATCAGTTACTTTATGTGTTTCTACCACTTGAGGTCTTCTCATCATAATGCCGTTGGTGTCAGATTCTGTATCTTCTGTTCTAACATATGTCAATGAGAATGGTGGAGTACCCTCAAAAGTAAACAACACTTCAGCCTGCCCACCTTCGTGGATATCCTCAACTACGTAATTACCTTGAGAAACTGTCACAGATGGAATTGGGTGAACATTCAAAGACAATCTCTTTAACTCTTTCTCCATTCCTGGCTTAGTAAAGTTGACTAAACATTGTGACGTGGAGTCCTCAATCGAATCAATTGTAATGAGACCAGGTTCGGATGCTAACCTAACGAATTGCGAAGAATGTTCTTGTGTCTTTAATAATACATCGTTAAATGTATACTGGATAGTGAATGGAGCTATTCCATTTAGTTGGTATGTTACGTAATCTCCAACACAATATTCAACTTGGGAATCCAACAAATGAATTTTGGGTACGTCAGTGATAGAAATGGAGATGTGGTTCCTACTAATGGCACTCTCTTCTTCACTAATAAAGTTCTCAATGCCGTCACGTACATAGCGCTTCAATTGAGTATTTTTGACATTTCTCAAATCATTAGTACAACCATTTGCATCTGTTATTTTTACAATAGATATGACATGGTTCCCTAATTTCAGGCCATCATACAACTTCTGGAATGGGAAGCGGTCAGGTGATACATTTTCAAGCGTTAGTTCTTCTGTTCTACTAGTACTTTCGTGGTAAACATTAAACGCAACGGTAAATGGCCCTCTACCAGAATACTGCTTAATCTTGATTGGGTCTAATAATGCCTCTTGATCAATATTTGCTGAACAAGTCCTGAATGTTTTTTCTTGACTGGCAAATTCTATATATGGCAGTGGATTTACAACTTGCTTGATAATCTTTTCATCGGGGTCATTATTAATAGTAGCACCAGATTTTGATTCTAGCTCTTCATAGTTAGAGTCGTAGATACTTTTTATAGTAACCACATACTCACCAGCTTCATTATTTGGTATCTTAAGTGATGTATACTTTGTAGCAACCTGTATCTTTTCGCTCATTACATTACCGTTTGGTGTAATTAGGTCGTAATTTAGAATAAATGGCGGAGAACCAGTCAATAGAAGATCGATCGTTTCACCAGTATCTTGACAAACAGGCGGATTAGTAAATACAGAATCAGTGATTTTCTTAAGTTTAGAAAATTTGTCTTGAATTGTAAATGTAGGTTTCTTTAAATATGAGACTTTAAACAATTCTTCTCCTTGAATAATCTCCCCACGGCAGCTGGAGTCTCGTACGTCTAACAATTTGTACAGACCTTCTTTACTGACCTTTAGACTGGCCTTGTAACTTGTCTCAAATCTATTCTCAAATGAACCAAGAACGTGTCCATCCGATCCCATATGTTGATACTTAACCTTAAAGGGACCTTCACCTGATAATTTTAATGGAATTTCTACTACCGTATTTTGCTTGATACTAATGTGATTATCAGAGCCATCTCTATTTAATCGATTAAAGGAAGCTGAAGGAATATCTCCTCTTACCTTAATTCTAACGTCAGGTTCACTTAGGGATACTGCACAACCTGTATTATCCTTCACCGATACTAAAGTAACAATGTAATCACCACCTAGATTAAATTCAGGTGTATTAAATTCGTAACCGTTGGAATTAACATCTTCAATTGAATATGACATTCTATTGTTTGTAGTAGTTTCGAGAATATCGTATTTGAAAGAGAAAGGAGGTTCACCACGAAGCGCAATTGGAATCTTTGCCGCTTGATTTAAACACAATTTTAATGAATCCTTATAGTTCCTGAGCGATATGCTAGCAGATGGTTTAACTCTCATGGACGTCTCAAATGTATAGAGTTCAGATGGAGTTAAAATGATTGGATCTCTATATAAGTCATTCGAAATCTGGTCAAATGTGATCTCATACTGACCTTCCATCGATGGGTTGTAAGTGAATTGATTTCTTGAACCCTTTGATATTAATCTTTTAGTTTCAAAGAGTTTTCTTCTTTCTCCTTCTATTTTGAAAATCTTCATACCATAATGGAATGGCGGAATACCGGTGAAGGCCAAATCAAAATTCAGACCTACTTGTCCAATACATTGATCAATGATTGGGGTAGATGATACATTCAAATGAGGAGGGATTGGCTTAGAAATTGTGACACTAGACTTTCCAATAATAATACCAGAACAATATCTCGAACTAATGGATTGCAAAATATATCTACCAGGTTTTTCGGCATGGAATGACTTCGACAATTGGTTTAACTCGACATCAAATGTTTCGACATCACCATTAATACCTTCTCCAGTATTAGATCCAATATAAGACACCTTTGCAGAAAGGGGTAGGTCTTTATCCCAATTTTTAAGACGTTCAAAGTTAATAGTAATATCTCTCTTGGTTGGAGAGTCTGAGTTGAAAGATTCATCCATAGATGCTCTTGGTGCATTATATACATCGAATTCATTCATTAGATCATATTTCTTGTTTAATTGATCAGATAATATAGTGAAATCCATAACGTTGCCTAGCCTATCAGTTAGTTTATCAATCTTGTATGTATAATGGCCATCAGCAACTGTAGTGGAGTTTAATGAAATCATAACTTTATGGTTACGAGCCCAAGTTAAATCTTCCAAATCTGTAGTGGAAAAAGTTTTCTTAGAGTTAAGGATATTTGATTGTTTTAATGGGGATTTAAAGAATTCTGGTTCTAAATTTGTATCCACGAATGAATAAACTTTATCATCAATTACCTTAGAGTAACTTAATTTTAGAGGTGGAACACCATGTAATTCAATACTAATCTCATCTTTATCACCTAGACATCTATTTTCGTTTCCTGAGGCAATCATTGAAGCCGTTGGACAATGTGGAACAATTACATGGGATTGATATATTTTCAAGTTCAAATTCTTGGTATCAATTATTTTCTTAATCTGGTAAAACCCAATCTGTTGAAGTGGAATGTTAATATAGCGCATTGTTGATTTTTTATCACCCGAAGTAACCGTTGAATCCCTATCATTTACAATATCGCTTTCATAGAGACTCTTATCCTTAGATAAAAGAGAAGAAGGGTTTAAAATTTTTTGAAAATCTCTTGTGGTTAAATTCCTAGATTCAATTTCATTTGTATATAGGTCTCTAAATTCTAATTCAATCAATTTAATCTCTTCGGTAGAATTGATTCTAACAGGGATATTAATTTGTGTACCTCTATTTTCGCTATCAAGTAATGAGGTAAACGAGGAATCTAATGGTAAACAATATGATTCATGTAATGGATTCAACATTGCTGTATTTTCAGGTAATATTTTAATGGTTAAAGCACCTTTAAAATGTGACGAGTAATCAATCAATTTTTGATGTCTATTGATGGAAGCACCTGTTACAGTTAAATCCTTTTGAAAATACAATTTCCTCCATCTCGATAATACCATGACAATAATGAAAAAATCTTGTTCTCTTGTGAGGAAAATAGTCAATAAGGCCATTATAAATATTTGTAGATATGTCATATATTTTTTGAAAGTCAACCTTGGTATCTTAAAGTATGGTAAGAAATATAAAAACAAGGAGTCTATAATGAAATATTTCGATAAGAAATTGAAATAGGAATTATGTGATGTTAACCCAGAGACAGTCAATCCTGTCTTCAACAATATGAGATCATATATCTTGTATATTTGTATTATTAAAAAGGTTACCAACGCTAAACTCCTTTGTTTTGAAACATCCAGAATCTCTGTAGATAACAAAGGCAATGTTTCAGCGTATATTTTCACATTTGGGTCACTGAAGTTAAATTTTTTATCATTCAGAGGATTGGTATTACTACCACTAATATTTTCCTTGTTTTTAGTACTTTTAGAAGGAGGATTTCTCTCTTCTCTGTGTGACTGTCGCGTTTGGTCATTGGTTAATATATTATCTCTGTCAAATGAAGATGTATTAATATTATGACGGGAGGGAGATGCTCCCATCCAATGATTACCTCGAGGGGTATCATTGAATGCATTGAATCTGTGTGTCATTTTTTCAAACGTCTTGAATTCGCTTCAAATACTATTATGCTGGACAAAGTTTAAACTTATCTTGTTGCCTTATCTCGTGTATTTAAGATCAATTTTATTTTCTAAATTTTTTTGTTTAGTATTTTAGTATGAATAAATACAAAATCAACAAACAAACTGTCTTCTTAACAATTACAAGTAGAATACAGGTATTGAAAGATTTGAGCCAATTGTTTCTTATGTACTTGTGAATGACTGGTATTCTTATTCTTACTCCTTTGTTTCACTAGCTTTTGAATCTATGTTTTATAAATCCTATCTCATCGACTTTAACCACTTCAAAATTGGTTCGTATTCTATTTTATTCATTCTGTAAATAGACGATCTGCTCTTTCTCTTTCGCACACAAATTTTTTTCCCTGAGTTTTAGGCGTCGTTAACAATGATGCTACGAATAGCATTTACGCCAAAATCTCGATGGGCCTTTTACTTGGAACCAGTTTGGTGTTTTGAAGTTTTAAAGAACAGGAGTAATTGTTGTTACAATGTCGCTGAGAAGATCTGTTAAAGTTAATCTATCAAATTACTTGTGCCCGTGTAGTATAGGTTTAAGGATCAGGTTTTGGTTCAGATTTCTCAATAACAGTCACTAGATCAGAGCTTTCCCTTTAAATCACTAAGAGAGTCAAAACTATCAAAAAAATATGAAGAAGAGAAGAGAAGATCCTAAAGTAAGAGGGACTAGAGTAACTCAGATCAATACAACTACCACCGAACCTAAAATAAAGAGAACCAAGAGAACCAAAAAAACGAAAGTTGCTAAGAAAACGATTCAAAAAAAATTACCCAAGGACGATGATGCATTATATGGAATATTAGATGAACCAAACATTAATTATATACAATTTGGCGTAGACAAGAGATTTCATACATGGTACGGTACTAATATATATTTCGAAAATGGTAGTAGAGACCTTGGTATTGTCACTGAGAATGGTGTAGATCGCGGAGGTGTAATAGAGTCTGAATTGGTGAAGAAAAAACCGACTACCAAGAAAGCTTCAAAGATGTGGTTAGATACTTTATATGTTTGTGAATATTGTTTTAAATATACTGATATCAAGCAACATTTAATCGATCATACCAAGGTTTGTACATTTAAGAGCCATTGTCCTCCGGGCAAGATAAAATATAAATCTCCAAAATATACTATAAGAAGAGTGAAGGGTGTCAAGCATAGATTATTTTGTCAGTGTCTTTGCTTATTTACTAAATTATTTCTTGATAATAAGTCGATGTATTTCAAAGTGGATAACTATGAATTCTATGTGTTATATGAAACCAATGACAATAAACCGATTGGTTTTTTTTCAAAGGATCTCCTATCATACCAACAAAACAACTTGGCGTGTATCTTAGTGTTCCCCCCATATCAAAGAAGACAATTAGGTACACTATTGATTGAGTTTTCGTACAAATTATCAAGACTACAAAATCTAATTACTGGACCGGAATTACCTTTATCACCATTTGGACTAATAGGATATATGTATTATTGGTCAAGTATTATTGCTTATGAAGTCATAGATGGAGAATTGTCCAACAGATCAACGATGTCATTGAACGAGCTTTCCCTTGCGACAGGAATACGAACTAACGATGTGGTGATGACTCTAAAACATTTAAATTGCTTAGATTCAAAAAATAGAATAAACATTCAAATAATTCGTGAATGGTTCAAGAAACAAAAAACATCTAAGAAACAAACAATAGATGATACAGGTAATATTATGATAGAAGAAAAATACCTTCTTATTGATGATTGAAATGTATCACAATAATGGTCTGTTCTTTCCTCTTACCCATATCCGTTATTATCACTTTGCACGCTGTGCAAATGTTTTATAACCCATTATTTTCGCATTGTCGCTGTAAACCAAAATAATAAGGCATCGTTCTCATCAATAATAATAATAATAATAATAATAATAGTACAGCTACTACTACCGATAATAATGAGTGCAGTCAATGCTAACGGTAGGAAGTGCACGCATACCACATTTTAAGAGGATAGTAATATATCTACGGATTAGTACTGACAATTACACACCCGTACATGAATTGATACGACATATAAACACATTACGATCCCTATGAGAACAATAATTTATCACTAAACAGATAATCGTATATATATTACATTTATTTATTGTTCCTTTATCATCTGACATTGACATTGACTTTTTTTAATTTGTTTTAGTTACATAAACATAAGCCTCAAGTTCAATACACAATTTTCAGGGTCTTTTTAACAATCCCGAACGCATTTGTAACTACCCTGATACATACACACATATTTCAATGTGGAAGCCGTCTAGAAAGATTAGAGACTTTCTGTATCGAAGTACATTTGCTCTGTTTACATTGTTACTAATACTGTTTTCGGCAGTCTTACCAATTGATACCATTGCTCAAGCTGCAGAATCTGAAAATAATGCATTTAACACATTTATTGTAGTCGGTGCATTAGTCGTATTTGTTGTAGTGTGTGTTACATTACTTGTAGGTAGGATATTATACTATAGAAGTTGTTTAATAGATATACCGAGAAGGTATTTACCGATAACGCCTGCTGATCTACCTCACGAAGAGAGTCGAGAATTCATTGTTAACTCTATGGAAAGATCAAAAAAATTGACTGTTTTATTTAATACTCCACAGGAACCTGTGATACACGCAGGGTTAGAACCTCCTAGGCGATGTGATATCCCCAACTATGATAAGATATTTCCAGAATATCTAGATTACAAAGCCGCAATGAAATCTATTAGAAGTAAATTCAAATATACAGGTGTGTTTTTACCTGTGTCGAAGACAAGAGCAGATATTGATGAAACCATTTCAGACCTGATGAACTCCAATTATATTAAAAATGATTACTCTGATAAAGAGGAAACAATAAAGGCAAAAAGATTTATACAACTGTATGAATATTGTACATTTTCAGGAGAAGACGTCACACGGGAACAGTTTCTAGAATTTGTTGAGCTGTATATATATTTTGCCGATACAATAACGTCATCACTTTCCAATGCCAATATTTCCAATTCGAATGAAAGTTTGCAACTGAAGGATTCAGAATCCGTTGTTCATGCAAATACTACAAGCAGTGGCTATACACATACCACCAATAATGAGAATGAAAAGTCCCATGAAAATTATGGTGTTGATAATAACCGCGACAAAAATATTAGATATGATGTGATGGATGAACCAAACAGTGCTTATGAGTTATCATTAAATGCCAACGATGATAACAGTAATTACACTCCATATTTCCCAGCATCTAATAATCTAAATTTACAAACACTCGAAAGTGCTCCATCAATTCACTCAACTCGTAGGAGGGTTCAAAATAGAAACCAAGATAATATAAGTGAATATTCTGTTAGTTCACCCAAAAATGATAGTCATAGTTCTGTAATTCACAGATAATCGCGTAAATAATAATACAGAGACAACAGTTAAGCCACAATACTCCATACCTGATCTGACAGATATGTATCCATACCTTCTTCAACACTATCGTCTCCTCTCATTTGTAATACAATATTCCAAATTTCTGCATACTTAAAAAATGTTGTACCCAACAACATAGCATATTCAAATATTTTAACATTTGAAACAGTATATTAATAACATAGTATACTACATACTCACACCCTAGATATATTTTTTCAATATGATTATATCAAGTTCAACTAGCTTAACCAATTTTTATACATTAAATAAGACACACAAACATATATATCTAAATTATTATACAACTATTCCTCCCACAGTATTATATTAGATTTGGGGTACCTCATTAATCCATTCCAACAATTGTTTTTGAGTCGGTTCATGAGAAATCACATTGGTCATACCGGTGGTGAATTTCTCAACCAAAGGAAGATATTGAGAAGAATATTTTCTCAAAATACTCTTCACAAAACCAAGGGTGGCAAAATATTTCCAAATGATCTCTAATTTTGGTAATTCATTTATTGGATCTATTTCAGATTGTTGACTCAAGTCTGGCAAGACTATATTATCAGCTTGGGAAACACCAATGGTTTCAATAGAGCTTTTTAAACCCAGACATAACTTTTCAAATACAAATTCGAAAGCTTCATTATCGCCAGCATTAGTAATTAATTGTTGGGATAACGTTCTGAAAATCGTATCGATAGCTGTTATATCCGCCAATGCATACACTCTGCCATTCTTTTCACTTAGACAGTGGTTTAGAACAGATTTTGCACTTACTAATTCAGAAAATTTTAATGCATCGACAATCAAATAACCAGTTTGAGAATTAATATTCCAATAGGCCAATACTGCATCAATTATTGCCTGTTCCTTGGCCTCATTTTCTATTTCAAGTTTGTTGAAGATTGCGGTTAACTCATCCTTCAAATCAGTTATATACTTATTAGCGTGTGATAAGGATCTGCTACCACAATGAACAACAACTTGAGTCAATAGAACAACAATAAATCTGTCAAAATTCGTAATTTCTGATGAATACTCTCTTAATTTCTCAATAATAGCCTCTAATTCACTTATTTCTCTGACATCATTTTGTTTGTGAACGTAATCGGCTAAGTCACGGACTATTGATTCAAATGGAATATCGCTTTGAGTAAATAATAGATCATTTTTCTTTGCATCTTCTAATTTGACTTGATAATTTGTAAATAGAGATTGGTAGAATTCTTGTACTTCTTCGGCTGGAAGGTATGATGTTTCCATGAATTTCTTGAATTCATTTGGTAAACTGTCATCCACTTCGCTGACGTTCGATGTCAATCTCAATTCCTTTCTAACTAAATTCTTCATAAATATTATTTTTGGATTGTAAAATGAATCGCGGAACTTTTCTGAATCCTCTTCCCACTCATTCCATTTCCAAGAAAAGTTGAAGTTACTCATTTGAACAGAGAACCAGTCTAAAAATCTTTGTCTTAATTCAAAGTCCAAACTTTCGATATTGTTATAGAAAAATCTGAATGCTCTACCAAATACAGGTGCAATCGCCTTTGGGTTATTTTGACATATGTCAACCAATAGCGTGTAAAAATACGCAAATGGTTGAGAAACATCAGGAAGTTTAAAGATTAAACTCAGAATAGCTTCAATTTCCAAATCTTCCAATTTAAATGTTGAGGCCAAAGGATTTTCTTCGTAAATAGCGGCAATTTGAGCAATTGAATCACCCATATTGGCAAATATACCTTCCTTAAAGAAAAGTGGTAAAATGTTTAGTTGTTTGCAAACCTCTTTTCTGTTAAATTCTAAACTTTGAACAACATCGATAACAACATCGTTAAATAATTGACCAGCGTACGAGGAAACTGGGAGAACTGTATCGAATTCACCGGAAGAATGAGGTAGATAAACATGGAAACAGTATCTTGGACCCTTCCACATGTTATCAACAGAACCAACGCCATTCAACAAAGAACTGTAATTGGACAATTTTTCGATATCCGGTAACCTTAGGGCATCGTTGAAACCATAGTTGTCAGGTTGCTCTGGTAACAAATCTTTCCAGTCACAGAACAATTGAGACAATTGGTCCATATTATTAGCCAAAACTTTTTTAACATTTGGTAATGCTACTTGAATTAGTTCAGTGATCTCATATGGACTATTGGAGTCATACTCACTTAAAAGCTTAATGTTACTAATTCTCATTTTGTACGCACCTTCAACAGTGGTAATCAATTCTTCAACATGATTCTTCAAGGTTTCATCATCTCCCCTTTTGAAATAGAAAAGGTATGGAATGTTCAGAATTGTATTAGTGAAAATAGCCTCAGAAAGTGCGTTTCTCTTGTTCTCGTCAATATTGTTCAATTGGACGGCAAGATCTAAGAGCCTTTGATAAATTCCGATTATATCATCATTGATGATCATTGGTGATAGAAGAGAGAGCATTCTCAGGTACAATTTAACTTTATTCCATGGACCTGTATCATTTGATTCACTTGGTCCAGTATCCTCAGCACTGGCATCGCAGCATTTTTGTAATTCATCAAAAAAGAAGTTTAAGATGCTCTTACCAGCGACCTGGTTACCTGAATTAATAGCCAAAATTAAAAGAGCAATTGCCGGTTGTTTATGAGGTTGTTCTAGGGTAACAGAACGTAACGTATTTAAGAAGGCGTTATTGAAATATTCTTCATGCCCATATTCATTTACCACAGCTTCGCTTAAAAACTTGATATCATCAGCGAAAGCTTTTGGAGATTCCCCAATAGTGCAAATATCAGGCATCATTTCCTTACATAATTGAACTACGGGTGGGATTCTTTGTCTTTTTGGGACCCTTGGTCTGTAGTCCTGGAAGGACTCGTCATCATCTTCGTAGGCTCTCTTTCTCTTTCTGTCCACCATCGTAGCTACTATAGTAAATATGTCAATTGGTCAGCGTAGGGATTTTACACTTTTCTAACAGAATTCAAGATAGTACACTATTATCAAAATGTTTCAATTCTGTTGTTGTTCTATCCTTTAATAGTGCTTTTCAAAAAATTATTTGAACATTTTCAGTTCTTTCAACCACGGACAAGTTAACGCCTTGAAGCTCTCATAGTATTTTTTTTCTCAAAGAAATTTATTTAAAATGGGAAGCATTTTGTACGAAATAGACACATCCCTTGTAATTTAAACATGAAAGACCAACCAATGACATAAAGTAGCTAACTCATGTAGATTAATTCATTAAGTGATAAATGACATACACATATACATATATCTATAAAATTTGTAAAATTTAAAGTATTTCAATAACTAAAGTTTACGTTACAACATATGCGTTAAGTGTTTATATTTCTTTTTATGGTCACTGATAGTAACCATGTTAGGCATCGATGTGTTGCTTTAAAGTCTCAATCTCACTATCTTTTTCTCGTAATTTATTCTTTAACTCGGTTATTTCACTAATAAGTTCAATGGTACTAGGCCTTGCATTAACTTCGCTCAATAAAATTTGTTCTTCTGCAATGAACCTCTTCAACCTTTCATCATTTAAGGATTGTATTAATTCTAAAATCTTTGAAGATTTTTTCCTTAGTTCACTCTCAAAATCGGATAAAGATACAGAGGTATCTTCCCTAGTTTCGCTAAATGGATTTAAACTATCTATCTTGTTAAGCTTTTCACTTAGCATAGTTTCTCTCTTAATTGATTCCCCCAACTCAGATGATAACAACGTCATTTCTCTCATTAAAGATTTATTTTGGGTTAAAATAGATAACTGTTCACCAGTAATCTTTATAGATTCAATTTTTCTATCTACCGAGTCTGTATAACTTTCATTTAGTGTGTTATCAAACAAGAAATCATCAATATTCGAAGTAGGGGCTTTGTTCAGCTCAGAAGGCTGATGGGCTTTATTATCTCTTTCAGTTATGGCAGATGGTGTGACGCCATGGTTGCTCTGTTGTCTGTAATCGAAGGTATCATCTACATCATCCGCTTCATGGTCAAGATTTAACTTAACACCTGTTGAGGTAGACATACTGGAGACCCTGTTGTTGTTCGATGAAGAAACGTTCGATGGCATCTCTCTCAACGTGCTATTTACAGTATCCGTAACCGTACCAGCTGAAACGATTTTTTCTAAGGAGGGTGTTGATGCAGCAGGTTTTGCAACAGTGGCAGAGTTGACAGAGCTCCTTAAATCCTGAGCCGTGACGAATTCATGGGCATCTGATCCATTTTCTAGTTCATACAATCCAGTATGTGCAGGAAGTTTTGATCTAACTTTATTTGGAGAATCACTAAATGCTGATGTGTAGGTCTGTGTTGATTCTCTATTTTCACCAATAGTAGAACTTCCATTTAGGTTCAAAGATTTTAAGCCGGATTCTAGCAAGGATGTTGGCCTTAAACCTAGATCATCTGATTGAGGTCTAGATGCCATTCTATTTGTTTGGATTATATTTTCTATGCCCGATGATACTTGGGTGAAAGGCTCCGTAGATATTTCCTTCTCATGCAGTTCCTTTTTCTGAGGATCAGAAAGTTTTAGGACATTTAGTTTTGCTTTAGGTTGGCTATCCTGTAATATTCTTGTCCCTTCTTCTTGATTTGAATTAGAAAGAGGCGCTACTACTTGCTCTTGGCTGTGGATTGTGGTAGCTGATGTACCACTACCAATGTAACTTATCTCAGATCCTACAGGTGTTGGGGTAGCTGACGACGAGGAATTATGATAATTATATCCGTTTGGGCCATTTGTGACTTGGGCTCTTGATAGAGGATTTGTCTGCAACGACATTGTACGATATTCATCTTGTGGGCCTTGTTGTTGTTGCTGCTGCTGTTGATTCTGCGGGTAGTTTTGGTTTGTATAGCCTTGTACCGGTCCTCTAAATTGGGTTTCATTTAGATTATTGTTAAATTTTTGAACTTCAAATCTTTGTAAATTTTGGTTAGAATTATTGGCCAATGACATGGCTCGAGGTTGCTCATTATTTTGAGAAAATCCTCCTTGCTGTTGAATTGGTAATGCCTGTTGTTTTTGAAATGGTCCATTTGGACCTCTATCCATGGAAAATGGTTGGGTTCCCTGTTGACCTGGTATGTAATTAAAACTCGAAGGTGGGCCAGTAGCTAGCGAATTGGCTCTACCATTTGTCGCACTACCACCAACATTGTTATTCATATTTTGATATGGGAGATTTGGTCTCTGTTGCTGCTGCTGCTGCTGCTGCTGAAGATATGGGTTTTGATTAGTTTGTAATGACATTGCTCTTGGGTTTGAATTTATTCCTTGCATATTGTTATTGGGGCTCTGCATCATTTTGTTTTGTTTAGCCATAGCCGTATATGCTGTCTTCTTTTGATTTGTCATATATTTTCTGTATTCAGTGTTATTCATATTTTTACCTTCTTTTGTAACTAAAGTAGGAATGATTGGAGCTGTTGTGTCTCCCATACCAAGTTTATCACCTTTCTTATAAGTGATTGTTGTAATATCGTCAAATGTCATTATAGAGGTATCTGGTTCATCTAATAAAGTATCCCCACCATCTTCATCATCATCACCACCACCTCCTATCCTATTTGAACGATGATCAGCGTTACCTCTTTGAGCCCGTTTCCCCATATTAAAACCCATCTGATGACTCTTACCTTTAAAAAAATTTGAGATAGATTTTTGGTTTAAGGAATACGCTTTCTTTTCTTGATGCTGTTGTTGATGTTTGGCATTATTATGAGCATTTTGATTATTACGATAGTTTTGCATTCTTTGATAAGGCTTCTGTTGTTGAGGAGATAAGTTCATTTGTTGTTGTGGCGAAGTGAACCTTTGTTGCTGTTGCGGTGAAAGGAATCCTTGTTGCTGAGAGTACTGTTGGCTTTGTTGTGTGTATTGTTGGCTTTGTTGCTGTGAGTACTGTTGGTTTTGCTGCTGAGGGTACTGCTGGTTTGGTGAAGTGTAATATTGTTGGTTTCGTTGTTGTTGTTGAGAATTATAAGCTTGTTGATGTGCCATCTGTTGATGTTGTTGCTGAGGGTACTGTTGTTGTTGGGAATAATCATTCACCTGTAAGTCATCTTGAGATGAAGATTCATTCATATTAATTGGTCTTTCCTGAGTAACATCAATATCACCAATATCGCTGTGTAACAGATTATTTCTTAATTGAGCTCTAGCGGAAGGATGAGGACCTCCCATCATATTATTCTGATTGGGCATCATTGTTGGACCTAGAAAAAAAATTTTTATTCCCCCTGGATGTGATTGCAAATATTCCTTGAAATAGGTTAATTTAACGATACTAGGACTAAAATTTGATTAATTCCAAATCGAATACGAATGTTCCTTGAAAATTGTTTTTTTCTAAACAGGAGTTAAAATTTTCACTAGTGGTTACCAAGCAAACACAGCCGTAAAATAAAATAAATAAAAATAGTAGTGTTCAAAAAGTTAGATCTATTGACCGTTACCACTAATCTTTTCTTTTTGGTATCTTTACTTGTTAGAATATATAAATATTGATAATCGTTATCTTAAAAAGATGAGAATCTTAATGATTCAATAAATATCAAACGTTGACAATAATTAGAAGTTTAGCGACTAAAACAATGAGATTTTCGTCTTCCTTATTTTATTTTTAATTCTTTCTTTTTTAAATTTGGGTCCTTTTGAGCGGACAAAAAAGAAGCAGAAAAAATGTGGGTAATGAGGGAGAGTCTTCTGTATGTGAAGAGATACTGTAGTTTAAGAAAAGGTATCTAGATATATATACATATAGATATATATATGATTAGAGGTGCCAACCATGTACAAGTCATAACATGCAAAAATAGGTTAATATTATTTAATGATGGTGTCTTTTTATATATATGTGTAAATGTATATATATTATTGTAAATTTTTTCTTTTTTTGAGTAGATGTACGGTTTTCCTTATTAATTTCTCGATTCAAGCTTTTCTGGATTTTGTAGTACTACTTTTCTTTTCAGTTGCTGTTGTAGATGCTTTATCCTCCTTAATTGATTCTTTATTTTCATTTTTATTTTCATTTTCTTCATTTATTTCTAATTGTTGATTTGATAATAATTGTGCAGATTTTAATTCATTAATAAACCATATAACGGTAATCCATAATAATGTAGCAATAATAAATAACATAATAAAATGAATATTACCATGTGTAACAAAAATCAACCATGCTAAAGTAATTAATAATGCCGTGAAAGAAAGGTGCGTAGCTAAAATTAATTGAGGTGATGTACCTGGCTGAAAGACACTTTCCCATAGTCCCGTTACAAAAGATGCCATATTGTATATTTTTCTATTTCGTTGTTTGAGTATTAGTATATTATTACAAGGTATATACGTTAATATCTCGATGGATCTTAACAATCATATTATTATTGTATGTGGTTGCTTATATAAAATTACGTTTTCGATGCTGTCAGAAAAAAATTGAAAAATATCAGAAAAAGATCGATATATGTACACATTTTTTTGTCAGCGGGAAAAAATTGACATACGGTGCAAATTTAGGGTTGTCGTTATATATGTATATTGTTATTAAATTGATATGTAAGGGTAGAGCATTCATTTGAATGAAGCAAAACTTTTGTCAATATATTAAATGTCTAATCAATTTTAAATATAAGTTTATCATTGTATTAAATTTATAATATATAATACATAGGAATGTGGATGCTAGATTACTGGGGAAGGGATTAAAAGTATTTTAAATAAAACACACATATATATATAAACATATATATAT